TCTCTATGTATAATCAGGTATTATCGAAATTATACGAGGTAACTTAACTAAATTGAACGTTTTAATTGGTTAAAAGTTATACGAAAAAAATAATCAGCTTTATCCTCCTAGAGAGGTTAAAAATAATAAAAAATACTAAAAATTTATAAATTAAACATTCCGCCACTGAATACAATACTTCGTTTACAAAAGTCACCATAGAATTTTCCTGGTGCCGATGTTGAGCAACGGTTTAAACTAACCAAAACTCAATAAGTGACGTTCAGAAGACCCAACAAGTCACCATACTCAACTGTTGCGTCGGCTGAACGCGCCCAATAAAATGGAACGTAGAAGTCAAAGATAGGAAACACTCATAAGAAGCCAATGCTTAACAACGACCAGCTTGAACGAAGTTAACATCTGACCCACTATGTGGTGCTTTCATCGATATCAAACAACGCAGCGGGATATTCAAAGGTTATATAAATATCGACTGCATTCTCATGTTCTTGTAAATAAATTTAATCAATGTAATTACGTTAAATTATTTATTAAAAAGAATACTACACTTACAGTCTATTATCGATTAATTATTGTAAATCTATTCATGACAAATATTGTTTAATTTTTGATCGTTTTTGTTCTTATTTTCCAAACGAATGGCCAATGGTGTCTTATTTAAAAATGTTGAGTGTAAACTCAATAATGGGAATTCAGATATTTTTCTTCCTATATCAAATCTTCTTTCTAACGTTTTGAAGCCATTTTCTTGTTCTAAAACAATTAATAATAAATAAATACCTACTTTGTATTATACCACGAGACTAACGTGCGTTTTAATCACTCTCTGGATAAAAAAAAGACACTTTAGTCCCTTGGTACATAATATACTATTCTATTTCACTATTTCTACATTACACATAGATACGGGATAAACAGAAAAATAAAACTAGAAATTTGGCAACAAAATATAAGTTACAAATTTTAAAATTGAATAATATTTCTTGGACAAAATTTAGCCAAAGACTTTGTAATGATAAAATTTCCTATGGACTATTTAAAAAGAGGAATATTATAGCTAATTGAAGACGATAAAAACATTTTAATGTCTAGCAAATATTTTCCATCATTTTATGCCGTAATATTTAGATTTAGTCATAAACAATGGTTATAAGTAAACTAGTTTGAGACTTAAAAACAGTTTGTGTGTTAATTACACCATAAAATGTCTATTTTAGTTTGTTTCCTTTTTTGGAATACATTACGCTGGGGTCAACAAATCAACTAAAGAATGTTTTTAAACATCGATTTTTATCTAATATCTTGATCGAAGAATGTTAATTAGGAATATCATTTTTAGATAAGTGTTTTTTTTGCGATAAGTATCTGAGCAAAATTTGACCATCTTTACTCTATTGATTCAAGAAATACGAAAATTCGCATTGAAACGAAATATTTTTGGATTGGTTTAAACTTTGTGTACGTGCTTAATTTAATTTATATTACTGTTATGTATACGCGTATTTCATTATCACGATGAGAAAGTAAGATGAGGGAAATAGAGCAAGTTTAGTAAAATAGTAGCAAAATACATGTAATTACAAAATAGGTATATCATAAATTAGAGAAAGTATCAATAATTAGAAAATAATTTACATTGTTTCGAATATACGAGGGATGTCCGAAAAATAAAGTCACTAATTTTTTGTTCGTAGAAAAATACGTCTTTTTGCAATGAATTATACTTTGTTGTTGGAATGTTTAGATTTTCTACTATTTTTTTACATAATCGTTCTTTCGATCGATACATTTATTTATGCTGTGTAGCATTTTCGGTATACCTACCCACAACATAAAACTATCCTGCCGTTGCGTGCAGATAGAGTACGCCCTCTTCTTCTCGTCGGTCTTGAAATTTTTCTCTCCCAGTTGTGTTTTCAATGCAATAAAAATATGATAATCGTAAGATCAAACGAACTTTCCTTAAGTGAAGTTCGATCTTGATTATACTGTGACGATAGTCTAATTTATTTATAGTTTATTTAAAACACACTATTTACAATTTATTTATGACGTACTAATTTATTTATTACAATTTAACTTTTCCGTCTTACTTTTTACTAAACTAAACTGTCCGCTGATAAGTAGGACTATTTATACCAAGTCCAACTCTGGTGCGAGAAGTCTCTAGACGCTTGCTTTAGACAGAGACGGCATAGGAATTTTCATGACAATACACTGCGCTCCTTTCGAAGATGATAAGTAAGCGTAGTACTTATTTATGAGCTAGTTGTGCATCATAGTCCAAAGCCAAAAACTTATAACCTAATTCTCTATGTAGTTCCCACATTCTGTGGGCATGGCTATCGCTTTTTTAAAACTTTGTCGCTATACTGGGATGATCTGGGAAGGCGATCTCTGCTGTGGATTAATATTGATGTCTCTGAGGTCTTTTACAAGGTTTCTCTTGGTGTATCCCTGGGCATGAGTACTTCTGTTGTCTGTGGGACCATTTGCAGTTTAAAGTCTGCTTCAAATCTTCATATTCTTCAATTAGCTTCGATTTCAACTTAGCCTCCTTTACTCCTTCCAAAAGGTCACTTTTAAATCCTAACGTGAGATTTCTTCTAGTTTCAGAATGTTTTCAATGAGTATCGCATAGGAAACGGGCAACATCACTTAGTTAGCTTCTTCTCATCCAAGAATTAAGATAAGTGCCTTACCAACTAAGGATAGACTAGACCCTAACTTGTTCTATAAAGTCTTTAGCCTCATTTAAGAACTGTATATTGGAATCTGCTGCCTTAGTATCTGGGTTGACTTTGGGTGACGCCATCAAAATGGCAATTTAAGGATATCGCACTCTTGCTTCAAAAGTGACACAACTCAAAATTCATATTTTTTTTTTGAGTTAATACTATGAATGTGAATAATAAACAATTCTACATCAATCATCAAAATGGTTTTAACTTAGAGAAAAGACTAGTCTAGATGGCGCCTTTGTTATTTTTGAGATTTAGATGTAGTTTACTAATCCCATTCATATCCTAATCCCAAAAGAAGTGAATTTAGAGTTATGTCACTTTTGAAGCAAGGGTGCGATATATGGATCAAGATATGATTTGTAATAGTGCTGAACCCAAGATGTCTAGTCATGAGGCGACTATCTCTCTTTGAATATCTCCTCCATATTAAGTCCATTGCCCAAATTTTAAGTATATTTTCATGTAATTTTTATAGCTTGTACAATTCGTTAGAACTCAGAAGCGGCAGAGATTATTTTATGAGGATTTATTTACCTGCTTAAAACCATAAATAAATATATTACAGTTATAAACAATTTCGGCTGCAATAAATCAGGTGCATACTTAAATAAATCTGTATGATATTTTGGATAACATCATTTATAACCTCAATTTTGTTGTATTAAGGTGCGTTTAGTCAACTTGATTTTGTTTTAAGCATTAACATAGACATAAACATAAATGTAAGGATTTTAAAACAAAACCGTTTATACTGGTACAGAAAATTTAAACAGTAACATAAGATTTGACAAATCATTTAAAATGGAAAAAAGACATATGTTAACTGCTTCTGAAATTGCTCTGCTAACTATCTCACAATTACTATTAATAAAAAGTGTAGAAAAAGAGTTTAGAAGTTCGAAAGTGTAAAATTAGGGCTTAGACCTAATCTAACAATTAGGGCAATAGCTTAACCTCGCTTTTTAAACGCAATTCTCACCAGGCTTTAATAAGACAGAGCCAGACTTAAATATGTTTAATGACTTTGAATTTGTTCTTCTAATTATCATTTTTAACGAAAAGTTTTCCATCAGCGATGTACTTTTTGATGTATTGCAGAAACGTTCTTTAGATATAAATTACTATGTATGTCAAATTAAAAATGCGTAGAATCAACTAAACGCTAAAAAAGTGAAGTTATTTTTGCAAATATAATTGATTCAGTGTCCCTAAGAACAGAACTGCCCACTGAGCACCGTGATGGGCGCAGACAAGTCTTGACAAGATATAAAGTAGTTCAAAAATATAAAATTCTGTATTATGAAATCTTGGACACAATTTTAGAACAAATCAACACTCGTTGTCAGGATAATAATAAGCTTCAGTTCATAACATTAATGGACATTTTCAAATTTTCTGTTTATTCAGAGAGTTTTCCTATAGAAGCTCTTAATAATTTAGTTCAAACGTATCCTAGTAAATTAAATGACTTACAAAGGTTAAAAAATGAGTTACAGTACGAAATACAATAACAGAAGATCGACTTACCAATTTAGCAAAAATTTTAATTGAAAAGACACTCTTAAATGAACTTATACGATCAGAGTCATTTTTTTGCTGATATAATAGATAATTTTGCAAGTTTAAAGGATATGAAAATCGACCTTATGTACAAAAAATAAAAAAAAAGTCGATTTTTTCAAACCCACGAGCCGCCACTGGTCAGAACAATCACGAATACTATTAATATTTAACATACATGTACTGATGGCTTTTGTAGAAACCAATTAGCAAACTAGTGTAAGTGATATAATTCTGATTCATCTCTATCTTTACTAATATTGTTACTGATGAGATAAAAATTGGTTTTCTTTTACCCTTTCTCAAGTTTCCATGATTTATATCGCATTAAACAACTAATAACTCCTAGATGCCTCTTCTACAATTACTTAAATTGAACGGCTTGTGGTATACCTACTAAATAATCAATTTATTTTTAAAACTCTAATTAAAAATACTGTTCATCCTTGGTGCGACAATAATACTGAAGAAGCTGAAGAACCAATAAACTATATAGATGGAAATTCTTATCAATTAGAAAAAAATATATTAAAAAATGTTTATGAAGGACTCTCGTATCAAAGGCCTTTACATAAACTGCTTTGTTAACTTCTTACTAGGTACTAATTTAGAATATGATTTTTGGCTTGGCTGATATCTGGACGTCCTTTAACAAATCTAAAATTCGTATTTATCTGTTAAATATTTTTTTAGGCTCAAGCACTACAGAAAGCGATAAACAACAACGAGACTCCCGTAAAACAGAAACATGTTCGCTCAGCCATCATCGGTACCTTCCATACTCAGAGCGCTAAAATATTTTGGGCGTACGCTCTACGTCTTCCCGCAATGGATGACAGGATTGTGGCATGGAAATTGTGCCACGTCGTACACAAGGTAATTATAACGTAGGTCTGGCGGTCGCTGGCCATTAATTTAATACTATTATCTTCATACAATACAGGGTGTAACTAAATAAGTGTAAAACATTTAAGGGGGTGATTCCTCATCGAAAAAAAGATAGGATCTTTCATATAAAGAAACTTTATTGGAGCATCCCTTGTTAAGATACAGCCCCTTAAAGGGGGTACATAAAATTTGTTTAACAATTTTTTTCACAAGCACTAAACAAGTTACAATATTGAAATTAACCTGTCATGTTCTACTACCAAAAAGACACTTAGCCAGTAATTTATTTGGTTTACCCCATGGTTTTAAGGGGTGGAAAACGCAACCCCTAAAATTTCGTTCCAACGTAACTTTTTGTCTTATTATTTGTTTACCATTTAAAATTTTATTTCCGATAGCCTGTTTCATTCTAAACAAAAAATGTCTCTTGAATTTTTTGCCCAAAATAAACCAGTTCGCAGCAAAAAATTATTTTACGAACAAGATAGATATCGCCATAAAACGAAAATACGAAACTAATTTATCTAGTAGGCCGCTATTAGCGATACTGACAATTACATTGAAATCAAGCTGTCAGTTTGTAAATTTTTGAAATTGAATACCTTAGATAAAAGAGACCGGAGATGTAACATTGCACATTGCGCATGTTGTCTATTCCAAACCTAAGTAACCCACCAATTAAAAATCATTGTGTTCACGACGTCACCCGAATTGCTCCGAAATTTCTATTCTTTGCTTGTCTCCGCGCGAGTAAATCATTTATGGACCGCCGTTTTTGAATTATTTGTTGGTGTTATTAGCAATTTAAAGTGTTTTAGTTATTCAATTTCAAGTTGAAAATGCCACGATGTATGGTGAAAAATTGTATATACAAATAATATGTGTCAATGTTATGAAAAATAAGAAATATATTCGTTTTCAGCGGTAAATATTTGTTGACGTTTTGACATAAAGTCGCCATGATTCTTTGAGCTGAATACTTCAGATCCGCATTAAGGGGTTTCAATAAATATTTAATCTAAATAAGAAGTAAATAGGCATTGTTACTAACGAAATTTTGTTTTTAAAAAGTAGTTTTATAAGAATATTTACTAAAAGTGGTTTTTAGCCCTTTATTAGATATTTTTACAAGAATATTAGATGAAATACAGGTTCACCTACTTAAAATTTCAAGGTTTATTTTATTTGCGGTTAAATCAAATGTGACATTTGAATCTTAAAACAAAGTAAAACGCGCAATATGATCTAGTATAAGCAAAAAATACTAAAGTTACGGAAATTAGTCATATTATTAGTAAAATGTTACATTATAAACCCCTAAACAACTCGAAAAATATCTTCGTTTACTAAAAAAAATCTAAATTCTAGCAATATTTATTATACAATCGAATGCGGTTTCAAAGATAATAGGATCAATAAATCCGAATCTCCAAATTTTGGAGCTAAATGCTCTGATAAAAGCATGCGACCGATAGGGGTTACAAAAATAATCGATTTATCGTTTTCATGAAAATCGATTTATCCGTTATAATTAATCGATTATCTTTAATAGATTATTTTTGAATAATCGAACATTTTTAATAAATTTTTTTCGTTTTTTTTAGGTAATGGAATAATCGATTATAAAGGAATTACAAAAAGAGAGTAGATTTATTCAAAATATTCGATTTATTGAAATTAATCGATTATTTTCGATTAATCGATTATTTTAGATAATTCGATTATTTTCGATTTTTCAAAGGTATTCAAATAATTTGTTTTAAAATACAAAAAATAGATTATATAAAAATAATCGATTGATCGAATATAATCGGTTATATTATATAATCGATATTTCGGTTATTTTATAGAATTATTGATTTATCGGTAAATCAGCTTTTTATCAATCAATTATTTTCGATTTTTCAAAGAAAATTAAATAATCAGTTTTAAAAGGAATATAAAAAAGAAAAGGATTATTTGTAAATAATCAATAATTATTCAGTTTCTTTTTTGGAAAATCGATTTATCGTAGAATCTTCTTAATTAATTGGTTATTTTCCGTTAATCGATTATTTTCGATGTTTCAAAAATGATCGAATAATTGATTTTAAAGGAAATAAATCTTTTTATTTTTTAAAAATCGATTAATTGATTATTTTAGATTTTTCAAAGATTATCGAATAATGTTTCAATGGAAATACGAAAAAAAAAATAGAAATTAAAAATAATCGATTATTTAAAATAAACGATAATTCGTTTATTATTTTTTGTAAACACTGATTTATCGGTTAATTGGCTTTTTAATTAATCTATTTTTTTTTATTTTTTAAAGATGATCAAGTAGTCAATTTTAAAGGAAATACGAACAAAAATAGATTGTTTGAAAATAATCGATTGATCGAAAATAATCGATTATTATTAATGATCAATAATTTATTTCGATAATCACCCACTCCTAGCGACCAAATGACTTTTAATAGGTTTAAATTTTAAAATGTTATCTGGTTTCAGACATATACATTTCTAGAGTTTTATGTGACGCATCCTCTATATTAATTAATATTCCTAAAGAAACAAGCTTTAATATATCTTTTTCTGAGGTTATAATACAAAACAGCATTTTCTTATTTTGACTAAATTTTAATATTATGTGATAGTCGTAGAAAAAATATAATGTTCAGCTCACAAGTTTTGATTTGCAGTATTCGCCTGCGCACATGCTTTTTTATAATACTCTTAGACAATGAGTACCATTTCTTACTCGATTAACAATATTCTATTTCAACATTTTACTGTAGTCTCTTAGAGAAAAGTCCATAGTAAATAATAGCTAACGAAATATTCTATTAAAGGTCTTCTCTTTACATAAAATATCGTGGCATCTGTTTGATATTAAAAAATCACGTTAAATTTATTTCATAATACAAAATTCCATTAAACGTATATTTTAAATAAATCTAATAGTTCATTATGATGCTAATAAACAAAGTCCGGTCCCTGTCACAGAGTTCGAGTCCCTGCCCAGTACCCCCACTCCGTTAACCTTTCTTTAGAAACTGGCAACATTTGCGCAGGTTAAACACCGGTGTATGTTATATCTCTGGCAGTGTTGCCAGTTTATTACAATTGTAACAAATCTATTACATTTATGAAGGGTTTATTACATTATTACATTTCCAGTAAATCTATTACATCTTCAGTAAATCTATTTTCAGTAAATCTATTACATTTTCAGTAAATCTTATTACAAATTTCACGAACCTAACGATTTAACGTAACCGTGTTGTCTGGATTTTGATTTTATCGTTTACTCCAAACAAATAATATAATAACAAGACGTACTGATTTACATTTTTATGCTCAGGGGGGTAATTTGGTTATTAATTAATAATGGATTTAGTTTTTGTAGCTATGTTTGTGTAAATATGTTCTGATATTTTTGCAAACAGATTTTAATTTTATATTATAAATAACTTATTAAATTTGTGATAAAGAAACCAAAAGCTGCGACTACCGCTATGTACACAAATAGTGCAAAAAATCAAAGAAAGAAAAAACACATTTTACGTTGACTGAAACTATTACATTTTCCTTAAATTTGTTACAATTTTGAGAGCTCCTCTATTACATTCCTTCGGAATGCTCTGGCAACACTGATCTCTGGTCTCTTTTATCTAAGAGTAATACTAATTGTGTATTGTTGTTTTTTTTTTTTCAGGTGCTAAGGGAGGGTCATCCGCTTTGTCTGGTAGACAGTCAAAAGCATAAACATGAATTGGACGAAATAGGAAAACTGTGGGGGCATTTAAAAGAAGGTTATGGAAGAATGATTAAATTATATACGGCTTTATTGATAAATAAATTGGAATTTCACAAAAGGAATCCGAGATTTCCCGGGCATTTGGGCGTTACAGCTGACGAGCTGGAATCTATTGCCGGGAATGATATAAATAATTAGTAAGGCAAAAAACTATTATATTACAAAACCGCGTTAATTATTGTTTTTCTATTTCAGTTTTGAAATGACTGTTGAAATGTTTGATTATTTGGATCACATATTGGACTTACAAGAAGCAGGTAAATGTTTCTTTATAGTGTGGCCAGGCAAAAAACGTACCAGAACCAAGTTTTTATCGAAGGGGCATAGGCATTTTCTAATATTCAACAAAATGCACTGTTATTAATCTTATGACAGTTGAGAGTATGGTAGAAAGATGATTAATTAAAAATTGGCTTCTGTATAAAATGTTGACGTACTTCTGTTGCAATTATTAGCTATGCGTAAAAGAGGTTTTAAATAGCTGATAAAGTTCAATATAAAATTGTATACAGTAATAATGACATCTGTCATAAGTGTCATATGTCTTAATTTCGTGTAGATTTTAGATGATTAGCGATGGCGATAGCTCTAATACCTGTCAAAAGTTAAAAAACGTTGACGTACTTGTACAAAAAAAAATAATACACTTAAATTTTCTTCTTTTTAGTGTTTGGTTCCCTAAACATGGCCAGATCGAATTCAATGACGAGCGCTGGACAGTGCCGCCTAGCCCCTTTGATCGCTTGTATACAGGACGCCTCGAAATTATACGACTACTGCGTTAAGATAATGTTTAAACTGCACATGACCCTCCCTCCTGATACCTTGTCGGGTCATCGAGAAAGGTTCTTGAAACAGTTCAGACTGCTGAGGAAATTCTATGAGAGCACCAGCAACATGCAGTATTTCAAGGATTTGATAGCGATACCGCCTTTACCTGAGGTAATGGATTTAGAAGAAGAGTTAATAAAATGTATATCTTTAAAAGAGGTTGAAATAGCGCATGAAAGTGGCGATAATAATGAAAATGATAACGTAAATAATAGTAGTGACAGCGTGGAAACGTCGCGAGACGAAAGCGTTGGTGTACTGATTGATTTAAGCTAAAAAAAAATATTAAAACGGGTTTGATTTGAATAGAGTCCCTTATTTTCCATTTTGCTTTTGTTGTTTTGGGGGAATATATGTAAACTATTCATTTTAATACAGTCCAATCTCAGTTAAACAAAAATAAATAGGTATTAGACGCCATTTAATATAATCTGTAGCCAGTATTACCAGACGTTTGACAGTTTGGTTCTCCAATGGCGAATCGAAGTAGTTGTTTCGTCAGAATCCTAAGGTTTTTTTTTTAAATATTTTACAAAGTATAGGTTAAAAGAAAAATGCAATTCAAACGTAACATAAAACCGGTTTTCTACTCCCTCGAATTCAAGAATAGCCACCCTGAACAGTGTACTGGGGGTTGTTGCACTTTTTCGTTAAGTTTCTGCCTAATTATCGGTCGTACTTATCATTAATTAATGCGGCGCGGTTTTGCCTGATTACTCTACAAATATCCCTAGATCTGGGGAAAAATCGCTGATATATATGATTCTAGTAGTTGGACATATGTCAACAGGACAAATTTATTTATTTTCAATAGTAGGACTGAATGCCACGCTTTATCGAAGGCTTTTGAGATATCAAGAAATACTGGGTAACAAATTTTGTTCTGCTCTCATTTTTATTTATTTTGCAATGTATCTAATTAATGGTTTATCCCGAAATCCGAATTGATGGGATAGGATAAGTTATTTTTTGTCAATTATCTTATTTAGTTTTCTTAAGAGCAACTTCTCAAATAGTTTCGATATCACAGGTAGAAGCGAGATTGGCCTCTATGATGTTATTTCATTGTTGGGTTTTCTCTATATCACTAATTCAATTTAATTTTTTTCACCTTCTCTTGAGTTAAGGTGGAAGATGCGTTCTAAATAGTTGACACAAGCATCAACTTTTTGTTTGCAACTTTTTGTCCATATCCCATTTTCTGTTCGTATTGGGGGTATATGTTGAATTAGTTTGTTTTTGTGTTTATAACTGCTTTCCATAGAGAGTAATCAGTGATTTGGTCATCTGAGAGCTCTCTCAGATATTTGTTAGTCGACTCATTTTTATTTTTTCAATCTCTCTTCTTAGCTGTTGTGTAAGTCTATTTAATTTGTGATTGTTCTCTTCGTTTCTCATTTTTTGCCAATCCTTTCTAGCCTTCCTCTTGTTTTGTATTACATCCCTTATTTCTTTGGGGTAGTTAAAACCTATGGTTTTCCTTTGTATTAATGGCATATTAAACATTACAGCTTCCGTTTCTGTAGCCAAATTTTTCACTGCAAGTTCAAGTTGAAAGCTTTCAGTCTGTATGTTTGTTGATCAGTGTGGGGTTGAGTTCTCTAGTGACATTTTCAGTTATTTTTAAGAGTATTGGAGAGTGATCAAATATTAAATGCGCAATATCTTTTCTATCTTTATAAAATTTGCTGCAATATTTCTGGAAATAAATAAGTCCAGAAGGTCTGGTATTGATCATTTATGATCTTTGATAGCTTCGATCAGTTTATTTCCTTCGGTTGTAGTAAGTCTTGAGCCTCAGCAGACATTTTTTGCATTAAAATCATCACCTAATATAAATTTAGGATTTGCTACTTTAGACAATGTCACTCTCCAATTAGTAGGAAAATAACCTTCAGTCAAACAAAAGTTGTAAATGTGCGTTACGTTATATGAAGTAAAATATGCGGACAACAAAGTTTTATCATATCTAAAGTTATAAATGTATTGTGTTGCTGGGGTTCGGTTGGTGTATATCAAAACACGTTGGAAGGTACGAACTGTTTATTGCAGATATTAAATATATAAAGTTGAATGATATAATAATATATTATTGTCGAGCGATCATCCGCCTATTTGGTTGCCATGTCAAGTGTCAGCCATGAATTGACACTTGATATTCAATGAGTGACAGTAGGGTCGTTCGACAATTAATAATCTAATCTGGGGTTAGTAACCAATTTTACCAACTACCGTAGAATTAGATTTAACACTTCATATTGCATTATTTGAAACATCACTTTTCAAACCAACTTGTAAAATGAAACCTGGACCATTTAAGACTTGTATTGTAATAATTAACTAACTCAGGATCTATTTCACATCGCAAATCTAAAACTGAGTCTACAAAATAATTATTTATCAAATCGAGATCACTTATATCTTTTAGAATATTTACACTTAGTTGTTTTAAAGCTCGCCATTTATCCCTACTATTACCAATTCTCTTATTATTACCCCTGTCAATCCTCAAACATTCATAACATCGTTAGCTGCTTCATCTTTCAACCACGTTTCTGTTATGCCTAAAACATTAACAAATATTTGATATTATAAACAACAGGGTTAAAGGACCGTACATTAACATGACAAATGTTAAAAAAATTTGCTCCAGGCCGCACAGGTTAGGTAAATTAGTTGGGTTTTTAAATTTTTCTCATTTAATGTTTAATTTTTTTATGAAACATCTCTGGACGTGTTTATCTGAGTTTTAAATGGCTGAAAACAGATTTCGAAATTCAGTCATTTTGATTTAGCAAATGGATCATATGTGTATTGATATGATACATTTACAAAAGTAACTTTTAACTTTTAAAAGGGCTAAGATGGCATTTAAGGGACTCTTAACTATTTTTTTTTTCTGTAGTATAAGTACTATTTGTGATAGATTAGAAACATTTTATTATTATTTAATAAAGAGTTTATTTTCATGCATGTGTTTTTATGAGTGATGATTTGAAAATTAACCAAAAAAAAAAGTATATTGGCTTGTTTGTTTGTAGTATTACTGAAATAAAGACGTCACTGCATACATAATTGTTATTTTGGTGAAAGATTTAAAAATAATTGTAAATTTAAATTTTAGCCCATGAAATTTATAATAGCATGTTATTACTAATTAGCTGTTGCTTCATTAATGCTAAGACAGATACATATTTTTTTATAATTTATCTTGAAAATATAAATAATGCGTTATAAGTTATAAAGCTTTCGAATGTCAATGGATTTGATGACATTCACCAGCCATTAACTTTTAATATATTCATTATTTTGAACGTTACTGAATCTAAACATTAATATGATAATAAATAAATTGTGAGAGTGTCAAAATTGACCAATTTTAAAGAATTTAATTTTGATAAACTGTAGAATAAAACCTTTAAATTTACCTAGGTGTAAAATCTTAAAGATATAAACGTAATTATAATGAATATCGAATAGAGTTGTCTAATATTTCACGAACTGTTATTTAGTTATTTTAATTTTGACAAACTCACATTCTTTACAAGTTTTTCGATGGATTTCTCAAATATTTTCCAGGAAAATATTAAACAATCGATACGTTTTGAATGATTTAAGGAAACATAATCTCATATTTGAATAATTACTAATCACAGTGACGATTGAAAAATGCGGCATCGACCAACTCTTATTTTTTCTTTTAATTGATGTTTCAATTCATGGGCGTCCGGAGGGACTATTCCCCCCATGGTTTTCAATTTGTTAATTCTCTATTACTACATTTGTATACATACACAATTTAGTTGTTGAAAAACTGAAACTTTTTTTGTTTCATGTTTCTATTTTTGATAATTTATAGGTAGGTAACTATTTAAAAGTTCTTCATGAATAAGGATCTAAATTATTTAAGAAATAACTGCACAGAATAAACTTGCGGAATAAGTAAAATATTCTGATAAAATTAATATTTTGCCTGTTCTTCATTCTAATTCTTGTAATTTATATTCTCATGTTTTCATTTTCCTAGAGATTTATTATCTAAATCTAAAGAGTTGCAGGAACTACTACAATTATTAATATTAAAAAAAAAAAAGTTGTTTCGAATCATTTTGATTATATTTAATGATATTTTTACTACTATAAATACTCGAGTATTCCAAGTTTCCTATGTACACTGGTGTTCCATTCAGAAACTAATAATAGTACAGCCTTGGGGAAAAATATTTCTAATAAAAACAGTCAAGAGAAATTGCTGGAAATTAGTTTCAAGTTTCTAGAATGGCCGCTAGAGGCCTAATTGTGACGTCAAAATATAAAAATGTAATTTTCTCAAAAAAATACCAAGTAAAGTATATTGATAAATATTTTAATCTTCTATGTTTTATGAACAAAAAAACTTAAGGTGTAATTTTTGTCAGCTGTGAAATAGAGTGGTGGGGGAAGGTTACACTTTAATTTGGAAAAATGCTTATAACTCTGGATTGGCTTTACCGAATTTAATGAACTTGGTTTCGTTTCGAAGAGCTTTTTCAACCCCATTTTCAGCTGTATAAACTGTGGCTGCTTACGTTTTACGAACGCTGCTACAGGATGTTAAGTTAAAAAATGATATATTACGAAAATTTTCGAAAAATTTAAATACATCACCATTTCCAAACTAATTGTTTTATAGACTTCAGAATTTGAAAAAATATTTACAGAAAGTTTAGAAATTTATTTTTGAAGATCACATTTTGAAATTTCAACAAGTTTTGAAGTTACAAACGCATTAAAGTTAAACTTGGGATTTTTTAACAATTTGACATTGTTGCCTTTATTTCATCACCATTTCCAAACTAATTGATTTATAGACTTCAAAATTGGAAAAAATAACAAAAACTGTAGAAATTTATTTATAAAGACCACATTATGTATAAGGCAAGAATTATAGAGAATGATATCACAAACTTTTATTCAAACAATTTTCTTAAAAATTGGAATTTTTTACTCTTTGTCAAATTTCTCGAATACAGACCATTGTAGGAAAATTTTTATGCAACATACATTATAGAGAGTAATATTACAAGCAACTTTTATTTAAAGAATTTTCTTCTTTAACTGTAAATAACATATATTCCATAAAATAGAAAAAGGTACCTCATAAAGTACCCCCTCAGATGTTCCGACCATACCCAAAATCTAATCATCTCACTGCAGGATGGATTAAAGCTTAAGTTTGGAATTTGGTGTGTTTCACACACACACACAAAGACATCATCGCGAAAATAATCAAAACAGATTCAGGGGACCCCAAAACGTAGAAATCCCTCGAAAACTCGATGTTGAAAAACTGGAAAGTAAAAAGGGGCTATAAAAATAGGGCTACGAAGGACTGTCTTAAAAGCAATTTATACAATCTGAAATTTTGGATAATAATGATTGACACATTGCAAGGACAAATGATTTCTTTTTAACAAAACTAGCCATTTAAATTTAACAAGGCAAAAATAAGGACAAAAATCGAAACTATATTAATATTAATGTAAACAAAATTATCACATAATACATTCATATCTTTATGATACCTGCCAAGTACACATTTAAATATAAATACTGGCCTCAAATATTTACATACACTTTCACCAAAATTTTCAAAAGATAACTGACAGTATTTTTACAATCCAACATATATTTTGATGAATAATAGTGACAAATAGTTTTTTCTCATTAGAAATATATTTAAACTGAATGTTATTTAAAATATTTGTAATTCCTAAATAAATAATAAATTCATCTGGTTGATATGGAGTCATAATGATTGTGGTAAATGTTATATATTATTAGTTGCTCATTTGGTACACTGCTGATAAATAAGAGGATATTTTAAAGATTTATCTTTCAATTTCTGTTAATAAATCATCATGAGACTTGAACAGGTAAATTTTATTTAAAAAAATATATAATTGTTTATAAATAAAAAGTACCATACTTTTTTATATGAATATAGCAATGGTATTAAATTATCCAAAGTTAGTATCATTTTGTAAGTTGGCTACCTGTAATAAACTTGTCATTTTTAACCAATGTAAATATAACAAAACGTATTATTAAATAACACAAAATTAATTTTAATAAAACACATTTGCAGAATCCTCCTAATTTTCTAATAATGGGGGATTTTAGAACGTACGTTACCCAAGAGGTGGTGGTTCCACAAGAACCAGAACACGAGGAAGAACCTCTTATTGAAGCCAACCTTATCGATACTACTGACGAAGCGCCTATCCAAGAAGCTGTTAATAACCACATGCTACTTGCCGCCCAAGACGAACTTATTAAGGAAAGAGAGTTTTTGAGGGCTCAATGTGAAAAATTGAGGTATGTTTTAAAAAAATTGAGAATCAAGAGTGTCAATGGTGACATAACACCCATTTATTTGGTTTGTTCCAGTAGATGTTCCAAACTAATCAAACATGCACAATTTAAAAATAGAAATTGAATGAGATGCTTAAAAACTTTAGAACTTGCTGTTGGAACAAACCTATAAAAAAGGAAAGTTCTTTAATTATTCTATATTAGAGATGACGTAATCTGTTTTCCATTGACAGTGACAATAGATTTATAATAATAGAGGTTATAGGTGTTTATTAACGTTTTATTTCTATTATTTTGAAGATTTTACTCATTTAAATATTAAAAATAATTTTGTTACATACCTTTAACCTTTTTATGTTCTGCAAACATTAAAAAATCTAAATATGTCAAATTCAATGACAGAATGGTTCGTTTTTGTTAACTTTATACATTGACTGAAATGCAAATTTTTTTAGATTTTTTTTATTGAAGGCGTGGAAAAATGTAATGCAAACAAATTTTTCTTATTGATTTGAGATAAAATATTTAAGACAAAAATTTTAGGCAAGAAATACGCCGTAATATGTTCTTAACATTAGATCGTTCGAAAATGTTATCCCATCAGCTGCAAAATATAATTTTTATAGCTTCCTCTTTTAAAAACTCACCGCTACTCAACTAAGAAAGGATGCATTACTTTTTTCGCACACTGTATAAAATATTTTATATTTGACTGTTTATAAAGTTTACATCACAGGTTCACATAATATACGCTGTTAGCGATGACGTAATTTGTGTTATCCTATTATAAAATTTGTTTACTTTTGGAGATGGAGTTAGTTTGAACTACTCCAGCTATAGTGAGTGTAATTTGCTTTATATGTCATTTCACGGCCAACCTGGCTGACATTTCCAAATTTTTATTGACATTTTCACATAATTTTTACAACTCATCGACATGTTTAGGCACGAAGTAACCGCCATCATAAGACGAAACGAAAAAGACGTTACGAAATTACAAAATAAAATTGGACATTTGGAGACTGAACTTGCCACCAAAGAGAGCGAACTCGTTCAAGAACGTCACGTCAAAGAGGATTTGTTAAACCAATCGTTTGCTGTTGCGCAAACGCAGGATTCCGAACGTAAGTACCATTTAAAAGATGTCCTCAATTTAAAATTTGTCTTAAAAACGGAACGTCGTTCTTGTGGATTTTTTTGATAACATTTCACCATATCCAATCAACATGGAGTGCCGTCTTAACCATTAGACAGTTTAGAAAAAGTACAACACGTTAAATGAGACTTACATTAGTTTTTAAATTACTTCTTATCTTTAAGCATCAAAATTTCACGACCTGAAACGTCAGAGTATAAACGTAACATTTGGGAAGGCGAGACTGCCCTGTTACAAGTGCTGCCGCCTTTCTTGTATCGGCCGCGTTGTCCCAAATGTTTCTCATTTAATTACATATCTTCAGACGTGAAGAGACCGTTTTCAGTCGCTTTACGCCTGTCGCCTTACTCGGTCTCCCAAATGGTACCTTTAATGTTGTTTAACCTATTGTTTTAGATTTCTTACAGTGAAAAGGGCTAAATAGTAACATTAGATCATCTATAGAGGAATAAGTAATACACATTTATTGTAATGGCTAATATTTCAAAACGCCTTGAAAATTACGGGTACATTACCACCTCTTAATAAAACAACTATTTCTTCTTTTCAGAAAAAGTAAAAAATGAAAAATTTGACAAACTTAAAGAGCTTTACGTAAAATTAAGGGATGAACACATTCATAAAATTAGAGAGGTGAGCACAATTAAATTTTGAAACAATATTCGTTTGCGAGAAAATAAATACCTTTCAATTTTGATTAACATTGTTGGGGTTTTCAGAAAGCTGAAGTGGAAAAAAAACTCGTCGGTGCCTTGAAAACTATTGAACGGCTGTCCGAATTAGAAAGAGAAAACGAACGATTGCAAGAAGATGAAAAACAAAAATGTACCGAGCTCTCTGCCTTACAAAAAGATAAGGAACTTTTCAATATGGAGACTGAAGTAAGCGAGTATTTTGGATAAAAGTTTATCATCTTCATGTAAACATTTTTATTTTAGATACTCAAAAAAAGTGTGATAGACGCGTGCCGAGAAAAAGATAACGTGAAAACCGAATTAGCTATGATAATTCAAGAGAAAGAGGAGCTTAAAAAGTCTTCAGAGCAGTTGTCTTACAAGCTTTTGGACCTAGAAAGGCAGTTAGACAAAGGTACACGTCATTACAGTATTCTTTTTATTCATTGTATTAGCTTTTTCCCTCAAGGCTCTTCATCCTTATTGTTGACTTTCATCTTTGGACAAAATCTCGAATGTTCTACTCCCCTTCCTTTTTTACCCTTTCTGGCATCCTTCTGCTACCTCTGAGGGGTTCTGGCACGGTGGAGCATCCAGAGTTTAAGTCTGGAGAGAGGTAGTGATTTATGACTTTATTTCTGATAATAATACATAATATTTAGTAATTTCCCCTATTATTCCTCGTATATACGTCCCTGTTCCGACAGACTACCTTAATCAGGCTAGGTTTACAATGCTAGCACTGCAGTCCTCTCTTGTAATCGGTGTTATTGCGAGAAAATTAAATTTAATTTAATAATACATTAACAATAATAATATTTTTAGAACAAAAAGAAGTACAAAACAAACTAAAAGAAATGGTTACCAGATGTGTGGAGAGCAGCGAAGGGATACTGCAGCATGCTATCGAAGAAGTCGACAACCCAGCATTGACTGCGTTGACTTGCACTCCTGATTACCTTAGAAGTTTAACGAAAGGTTGTAAAGAGTCATTAGAAGAAAGCAACAATATTTCTAGTACAGATTATGCTACAATCGTGACAGTTGCGAACAGGCTGGCACATAGACATGCGACTTATATTTTACAAGGAAGAGCCACTTGTAATACCAGTCCAGATATCACGTTTGGTGAAAGTAAGTTCAAAAATATAAATATATAAAGTACCTAACTAAGTTTTGGTGTAATTTTTAGAAGTGGCAGAAGCTTGCAAAGTTCTAGGAAAAATTGTTCTTAAACTTCTACATTCGTTAAAACAAAACGACAACACTGAAGAAATTGTCAAAGAAGCGAACGAGAAATTAGAAGAATTAGCGTCATTGGCCGATAGTATTAGCGCTTCTCTTTTAGGAGAAAAAGCTGAAACCCTTGCCGATATGTTGGAGAGCGAAATGAGTGCTATGGATAAGGCAATTGAAGAAGCTGCAAATCGAATACAGGTAAAAATATATTTTTTATGTATATGCAGCATTTTATCACTTTTATGTCATTATTATCACTTTTATGTCATTATTATCACTTATATGTCATTATTATCACTTATATTTCATTATTATCACTTTTATATCATTATTATCATTTATATGTCATTATTATCACTTCTATGCCGTAGTTGTCACTTATCTCATTAGTATCACTAATATGTCATAAGTGTCATTTATTTGTCATTGTAGTTACTTAATTGTTATAGTTCTCGGTTATATATCAAAATTATCCTTTCAGTAAGGGATATTCTGATAGAGAAAGTATTAATATTGTTATTATCAATTATATGTCATTATTATCATTTATATGCAATACTTGTCATTTATATGTCACTATTAGCACTTACATACCATATTGTCACTAGAATCACTTAATCGTCATAGTTCTTGGTTATATACCAAAATTGGCACTTTGGTATGGGATTTTCTGATAATTCTTGTGTATTTTCTTCAGGATATGTTGACCAGGTCACGGGCAGCAGATTCTGGAATAAAATTGGAGGTGAACGAGAAAATTTTAGATTCTTGTACGACATTGATGCAAGCTATTAGGTTATTAGTTCAAAAATCGAAGTTTCTGCAAGCAGAAATTATCGGTCAAGGGCGGGTGAGTAATGAATTAATCATATAATTTGTTTGTGGAGTTTTATTTTACCAATTGTTTCAGGGGACGGCAAGTGCAAAAGAATTTTATAAAAGAAACCATCAATGGACTGACGGGTTTATTTCGGCGGCCAAAGCGGTTGCAGTAGCAGCTAAACTTTTATTGTAAGTATATCTGTCAATATTGTCAAACAACCGATTGATAAATAAACGACATGTTATAGGGCCGCTGCTGACAAAGTAGTTATCAGTAACGGTAAACTGGAACAATTGGTAGTGGCTGCTCAAGAAATAGCTGCTTCTACAGCTCAACTAGTTGTAGCCAGTCGCGTAAAGGCTGATAGAAATAGTAATAATTTACAACAGTTGACGCAGGCGTCTAAAGGAGTTACCACGGCGACGGGTGCAGTTGTCGCCACTGTTAAAGATTGTAGCGAACTTATAGATGAAACTGGTGAGAATTACTTTAATTACTAAGTTTTCATTATATTTACGTACATTTTTTTGCCCTCAGAGGAACTTGACGTTACGAATTTGACCCTTCATCAGGCCAAGAGACTAGAAATGGATTCCCAAGTACGAGTTCTAGAGCTAGAAAAAGAATTGGAGCAGGAACGATACAGGCTAGCGAAGCTTAGGAAACACCATTATCAATTGGCAGGAGAAAATGAGACTTGAATCGTTAAATGTTGATATATATATTAAAGACATACCTGCACGTTATCTAACTATTTATTAACATAGATCATAAGTAAAATGGTAAGAAAGAAAATTCCGTTGTCTATATATGACGAGTTTTTCTCTCAACAGTTGTTGGTGTTGATATATACAATTGTAGTTTATATAAATTCATTTTACCATTAATATATTTTATATGTTTGTATTCATTGGATTTATAATGTAATATTTACACTATTAAATATTAAATTATTGTATTAAATTAATTAAATCGTTTTTTTACCTCGCTAACAAAGAGCTAAAATATGCGAGTAGAAATTTCGACTTTAAGGGAATTAAGGGAAACATCAACATATATCGCAATCCTTGCGATCATCGGCGACATTTAACAAATAAGTGATAAAATCGCTACACAAAGTTGTTTTGATACAAGTTATAATCGTTGTACAGAAGGAATTGTCTTCTGCAAAAAAATTAATTCCTCAAAAATGACAATGTACTTTTTACTTTCCTTTATACAGATAAGGGAAGTATAGTAATGAACGGATACAGAAAAAAAAACCAAATTTTAAACTTGAGCTCTATTCTGGCATGCATTGCTGAGTTTGGTAAATGAGTTTGACTGTACTGTTACTGAAACATGGTTGTCTGCAAATATTGATACAAACACCATTTCAATTCTTGAATTCAATTTTTACCGACTTGATAGACAATCTAGAGGTGGTGGTGGTGTTGGTATCTATTTAAATAATTATATTACTGGTTTACAATTAATTGAATTTAATTCCTCTGACTTAAACTGTGAGCAAATGTGGATTAAATTTACAATAAACGGTTTTCGCGTTTGCATTGGAATTATATATCGACCACCTAAAGGTAATGGGTGCGTTCACCAGACGTCAGCAGTTAACTTTAAGCGCTAAACGGCTGGGTATTAATATCCGGCAGCAGATGTAAATTGGCTGAACGCTCCGTTGACCATGGAGTCTCTGTCTGTCACAGAACTGTCAGATTAGACTGTTGAACATAACCTTATATTGTTTGCAATTATTGGCTGATGCTGATCCACGTCAGAAAACACCAAACTGTAGGTTGACAAATTTTCTGTATTAGTTTCCATAATATGTACGTTTTAAAAATCAAAAAAGCACGCGCAACAATGAACTGTCATCTCACTGCGCATGTCTAAGCATATGTTGAGTCGGCTCAGCGTAAATTCATCGCGCTGGGTGAAATTTGCAGCTGATGACATTCAGTGTAAAGTCATCGTGCCTGCCGAACGCGATCGCTTACTCAACTGTTGCCGTCTGGTGAACGCACCCAATGTGTCTCTTTTTATTGATAGTATTGACTACTTTGTCAAAAATTCTACCTACAGTTGATCACATTATTAGCGTAGGTGACATAAATATTGATTTGTTGATAAATGATAATCCATCTTGTTTTGATGCGTACAACTTATATTAATCTATAACTGAACCTACTAGAATAACATCTACCTTGATGACTCTGCTTGATCATATTTAAGTGATTGTAGTTTAATAATAAACCAAACAAATTTTCTGACTGGATACTCTTTCTGAAATTTTCAAAAATAAGAAAAACCTAATTTTACAGGTTTAGAGATTTTAAAAATCTTGACTATAACAGTTTTTACAATAATTTAATAAAAACTCCATTTCATAAAATATTGATGATATAGTGCAGTTTCTCGCAGAATAAGTTATTCTCTTGTTTGATAAACATGCGCCATTAAAAACTATACGAATTACTAAACCTTATGCGCCCTGGTTAACTTATCCAATCAAATTCTAATTAAAGAAAGAAATTTTGCTTTAAGCAAACAAGATTACACACTGATTGGGATAGGTATAAGGAATTAAGAAATTTCTCTCCTCTATACGTCGTGAAAAAGAGCTTATTTTGACAACCTGTTTAATTCCCATAAATCCGTACCTATTTCAATGCATAAACCCCAAGAAATAAATAATTCCTCTGTTCTGGTAATGAAGTAGATGATAATTCAGCACTACCTAATTTGCATAGAAACAAACTAGCATTTGATTTTATAACTGTCAGAGAATTTAATAAACTACTTCATATCAAATCTAATGCCATGCTGTGTCAATCTCCTTGAAGTACTGTAGTCCGCATCTTCTAACTAAACTGTTGTATTCAAAGAAATTACTTTCCAACATCTTGAAAAATTACAACCATTAGACCACTTTGTAAAGTTGCACAACCTCAACATTTTTCTGATTTAAGGCCTATTAGTATTCAAATAGGGTGTTTGTCAACCCCAAAGCGAATTTTCCGAGTATTTAATAAGAGTCAAATGTCTCCGCTCGTAGACATAGAAACAAATTATTCTTTTCACCATAAGTTGGGTACAACTATCACTAACGTGTCCTAAAGAGAATGATTTGCAAGAACAAATAGGGCGTCAATCAATACCAAAGGGAATTTTCCAAGTATTTAATAAGAATCAAATATCTCCGCTCCTAGACATAGAAACAAATTTTTCTTTTTACCATAAGTTGGATACAAATAAAACTTTTTGTCCTAAAGAGAACAATTTGCAAGATCAAATAGGGCGTCAATCAACTCCAAAGGGAATTTTCCGAGTATTTAATAAGAATCAAATATCTCTGCTCCTAGACAAAGAAACAAATTTTTCTTTTTACCATAAGTTGGGTACAAATACCACTTTAACGTGTCCTAAAGAGAACGATTTTCAAGATCGACCTCAAAAGAGAAAATAGTCGCTATCAAATATCTCGGTTCCTAGACATAAAAATATCCTTATTTTCTAGCATTGTCATCATTATTATAAAATATTGTAAAATAAAAAACGTAGTTTTAGAAAAATTGTATTACTAGAAACTTGCTACAGTATCATTATTATTAAAGTACGTCGCTTTAATATAATTTCTTTTCAGTGAATTATTCAAGTTAATTGACTCTAATATTAAGTCACAACTCAACAAATTACCAACCCGTTTAGACTTATCAATTCCTTCCTGCCCGATAGATACTATATTTAAACGGCGTACTAGTACATTTTGTATTAAATAGACTAGACTATTTCAGACAAACGATCGTTTGAATATATACATACATATACATGTAAGGTCGGTATATGAAACAATAGTAGTTACCTGTAAGTTAACAAAAATAGCACCAGTTTTATACATACTAAAAATTTCGATGTTATTGGTCTATTAAAAAAAATGAGTGTTGATTGCATTTTCTACATAGCAAAGTAAATTGGAGGTGACGCAGTTATTATTGAACACACTGATTAAGGCAACTGATAATTTAATACATCGGTACCAGTGCTACACTTTTGATTACGTAATATTTTTAAGGGTAATAAAAGTGGCACCCCAGTATAATAGCGAAAGACAATTGTTTTATGAGAGGTCCATATTTTAATGCATTTTATTTAGATATTTCTGTTAAACAAAACTAGGGCAAAGTTATTTTGCAGTTACTTTTTACATAAACTATCCATAAAAGTCTGATCAGTTCGACATCAAAAGAGGCGACTACGAAGTTTAGGAGCCGACTCAAGCTATCGGTACTGTATTGTTTATACTGGGGTGGTACTCTCATTAGTTTTGTTTGCGGAGGTATACGATTTGTCGCTGAAAAATAATCAAAAACTGTGCGCAACTCCGATTTGTAACAAAACTCTGACGAGAGATCACAGCTAAATGACTTGCGTACATCATAAAGTTAGCTGCAAATGAAAATTAGACATACAATTGTGAATTACAAAGGTTTTATTTTTGAAAGAAAATAGAAGAATTTCAATTAAACAAATTTTTGTAAATAATATAATTTTAATAATTTTTTATGACTAGATCTTTATCTAGAAATACGGTGATCATCTGAGGAATTCAGAGCGATTGTACCAAAGTGCAAACCTAACTCCGCTCAAATGCTAATGAGATGTCCCAAGCAAGGCGAAGTGGCCCTTTCTTTTCAAGGAAGTCCTTTACTGGCCAGTGAAGTCGCTGAAGACGCTACTGCCAATATAAAAATTCCACTTCATGATGGAAAAATGTTAAGCTTGCTACCACAACGAGGTTTAAGGATGTCTCAGATCCCCCCGTTGGACACTGAAAATTTAAAGCAGTTAAAAACACTGCACCAATACATCGACATGATTTTATACAAAAATTCATAAAAATATTGTCTGTAAAGAATTGAATTTGTTTATTTTCTTTTTCCAATTTTATATTTCTGTTCATCAGTCTTGTTCTTTGTTTCACTTTTTGCATTGTATAATTTTCTTTGGTAATGGCATTTTTCAATCGGCAAAGGTCAAATTTCAAATGTCTGTCCTTCTTTTTATAAAGTTTGCGAAATTGACTGTAGTTGGCATGTCGAATAACAGCGGTATCAATTTTCTATGTAAGTCAATGTAAAGTGAAGTGTTTGTTTTTAAAAATTGGAAAAAAGAATCAAAATAATGTGTACAAGTAACATGAGTGACAAAAACCATCAAAGCAAGATTTACTTCGTTCCAGATTGTAAAACGGGATACAAATCAGATGTAAAATACAAGGAGAAATCAATTCAATGTTTTAAAGCTTCTAATGTATGTAAAATAATGTATTTGTCTAAATATAATATTTATTGTAAACTAGTCACCATTTAACAAATCTTTTCGAATTTGGTCGTATACTTACCAAATTTGGCAATAAACAAGTTTATTTTTATTATTTTGACAAAATTATGTAAAATTCCCATATTTTGAACTGCACTACTAGCACCAGCGCTCTTGCGGTAAATTAAAAAAGCTCAATTAGTGTTGTTTTTTTGGGACCGTATTTCGACTATGCCGATTCGCCTCCTTATCTTCATAGTTAAAATCCCTGGTTTATTTCGGGAACGCGTAAAATTTAAATGCACATGTTCATATCGTCTACTTGTCGACCACAGGCTCCGACAACGCTATAGTAGACCTTGATATAAATGTTTGTTTGTTTATTAGGTCCATTTACTTTTATTTTCCTAGGTTGCCTTAAAGCTTTTTAATTTGGTATATTAAATATATCTAATAAAAAAATTCAAATTAAATTTGTTCAATTAATCCATTTTTATAAAAAAAAAATGTATATATGTATTACTTTGCTATTAGAGAAAATACCAGATTATTCAGTAATTATTTATCGAAAATGTATGAAAAAAACTATTTTAAAAATATACACTTCTTTTATTTTACTCTTATTACAATAACCTGCCTGATAAATTGTAAAGTTTTTTGGTCCAACAACATGACCTATCATCTTAGCTAAATATTATTCTAGTTACATATACCTATATGAAAAAAACTCCTTTAATTTCATTTAATCTCAAATATAAGTAGTGAGAATTTTTGCTAGAATCTCAAAGAGTACGGCAAATGGAGGCGATTTTTGTTTTTGGTAAAGTTGCTATTGGCATCCTCAGATGACATTGATCTAAAGCATTATTTACCTGGAATTACAGGTAAGAACATATTTGTCACGAAATGAATTTTGAAATCTGTAACTTGGAATTTAATCAGCCAATAAAAAAGAAATGATTTTCGACCAGCAATAAATCAATATGCTCCTGAATTCCGAACAAAACAGTCACAGTTTTAAGAGCAGGTACTTCAGAGGATCAGCAGTCTTTAACGTATTTACGATGAATGTACCTTCTCCGGCTGTTAGAGATATAGAAGGCAGCTGATTGTGGAGTGGCCACCTACATCATCAGATTTAACTCTTCTAGAATTCAGTTCATGGGGAAATTTGAAAATAAAAGTATGTAAAACTGTAGAAAACATAGATAACTTTCGACCAGCAATAAGTCAAAGTGATACGTTTCTGAAACCTAAACGAAACAGTGTAAGTTTTAGAAGTAGATATTTTAAAGGATCAGCAGTTTTTAACATAAATATAATGCAGCAGTATCTACGATGAATGCACTTTCCCCGGTCGTTCGAGAGGTAAAATACAACCGATGATGTAGTGGCCACCTGGATCACCAGATTTAACGCTCCTAGATTTCAGTTCGTGGCTATATTTGAAAACAAAAGTAATTATAACTCAATTTTTTGTTTTCTCTTTAGTGTTTTGAGAAGGAAAAACATAGCAAGTTTACCAAAAAACTAAAAAAAATCAAATCCGTAAAAGACATTATCAGTAGTTTTGATTTGACTATTATTTGACAAAAATTGGCACGCTTAAGTCAGACGAGACTATTTAAGACTACCATTGTTTATAATACACTTTTCTATGATCTAAAAAACGTTTCTAATCTTCTTACAATATGAAAATAGAATTACAAAATAGTTTTTGATAAGTTTTACGAGAATACAAATATAATATAGGAATATTTTTTGGGGAATGGATAAATATTGGTAAAAAAAAACAGTTAATAACTACAAAAATTAATCCTCAGTTTCGGCTCTGTAGGAAATAACGTTTTTTTTTTGTGAATTATTGCATTAACTAGTAAATATATCTATAATCCCTATCATGGTACATTAAAAAATTTAATTGAGTGTTAAAGGATACGCATAATATACAATGTGAACCATTTAAAATCATTAGAATTTTTTTTTTAATTATTTCTGATCAACAGTGTTTAATATAGATTCAAAAAAAAAACAAATTTAATATACAAATAAGAAAAACTAAAGTTTTTGAATATTAAAAGATAAATTGTCAGTTCAAATCCTTCAGATTCAATAATAAAAGATGGCACTCGGAAATCTTCACGCATTTTCAGTTAAAATTTTATGCAACATTTGAACTAATAGGAATAATCGGTTGCCATTAAATGTATTTAAAAAAATCGCCTTAAAAAGATTTTCTATCATAATAAAAACAATTTAAACATATAAAATTTATAAATATATATAAAAACGAGAATATGCATAAATTTAATTTAAAAAAAATAAAGCAATAATTCTATAAAGATCTTACAGAGCTAAACTGAAAAAGATACAAATTAAAAGAATCACAGTGACTTAGAATTACCACAAAAACGATAAAAATTACACAAGAAGTGTTTTTTTTTCGTAGTTCAAAGCTGCTAAATTAAATCGTTCATTTCTTATTAACCAGTTTCCAGATTTTAAGTGTTTGATAATTTTAATATGGGTTCAGGTAATCGGTAATTTCAGAGCCAAAATCGAAAATTGTAATTGACAGATTTACGGTGCTGTATAGAGTGATAGAAGACATTTGAGAAAATCTATTACACCTCTTGTAACATATTTCAAAACAGAAAAAAATATTTCTGTCAAATATTTTACTGCACAGTTTTGTGACTGTGTCTGTCATCTTCTGTACTGCCGTCCTAGCAAGAAAGGTCCTATCTGAACATTTGTTGTTTGGAAATAATCGAGTTTTTAACTATTTTTCTCAGACATATATTTGTTATCTTTTAAACCTCTTTTGTGAAACTCTTTAACGTTTTAGTACCTTTACGACGCAAATAGGACATTCCGCTTTGGTATCAAAAAAGACAAAATGCAAATGCAGAGATTGAAAAAACTGCTAATTTTGCAGATAGGACTTTTCTTGTTAAGACTAATAACTTTCAAACATTTTAAATGGATACCACAGTAATCTATGAAGTAAACTAAAGATATCGGATAGAATAGATTGTCAGACATGTTGTCAGATCTTTCAAAAATATTGTATTATATTTTATTTAATATTTTCAATAATATTCTCTATTAGGAACAAAAGAAAAATAAAAAAACTGAAAGAATTACCATTTTTATGAATTACAATCAATTAAAATTTTTATATAATGATTTTATTTGTATTATATATATAACGATATGGTCAATAATAATAATAATAAATTGCAATGTTGGGCCCTACATTTTTTATTTACGCTCTTTGTATTAGAATAACAAATTGGTAATAATTCAGCATTTGAAAATACTAACAATGTTCCTCCATTTGAGTAACTATTTTAATCTATATAAAAATATGCAGATAAGCTTTTTGAATATATTTTTAAATATGTTATATAAATTCGTTTGTAATTTTTTAAATTCTTACTGAACATGTATCGATAATAAAGGTTTGAACATTAAATCGTTTTTATATATTATAAATGAACCTTTCCGAAACAGTACGCTATTATGTATTGTGCCCTATCCCTTTTCCCGTCAGGTTTATGATGTGGACAAAACATTGTATTGTTTAGACAGTGTCAGATAATATTATGTCTATGTAGTAAATCAACAGTAATTTAAAAACTTTAGTTAAAATTGATTACCAAACTTATAAACTATCATAAATTAACAACTATTCTTTATCAAAGATTGTAGCGTTTTCCATTTAATAATGCACTTTTGACAGATTTAAATTGAAGTGCCACTGTTTTAACGTAAATACACTAGCGAACCTAGCGGATTTTTACTCATACTCTAATCAATTTTAGCCATTTTTAAAAACACCTTTTAGTTAGACCGTGATGGAAACCAAAGAAGAACGACTTTAAATGTTTTTGAAAGAAATGAACGATCAAATTTCTTCAAACCAAACGACCTAACAATCAGAACTTTTTTCAGTACCGGTACCAGCAACAGTGCCGTTCTCTTTGTGTATGACGGGGAAAGAATAACTTTCGACGGGACTCAATACGTCGATTTCCTCGCGACGTTTCGGCCTTTCTAGACTCCCCCCGAGATCGAAACTGGAATTTAAAGAAGACAGCGAAGATTTCGGAGGTATCGGAGGGGGATTTTCGTTTTCGATCTTCGGACTGGTGCTGCTGCTGCTGTTGATATTCATCTCCGATTGGTTAGTACGGAAGTCGTAGTCTTCGTAGCTTGCCGTATTAAAGTTGTTCAATGGGGGTTCAGTCATACTGATGCCGGAGTCTCTGAGGTCGTGGCTATCCACGTGCGTCGACAGGCTGTTGGTAGATGTCGCTAGACTGGATTCTTGTTGCGCTTCGTCTAGAGGGAGATAATCGACGCTGCAGATGGAAGGGGTCGATTTTTTCTGGCCGCGTTTCGGGATGTTTGGTGGGATTTCCGATGTTATACCTTGAATTCGTTTGTCTGGCGCTAAAAAAATATAGACTTTGGTTTTTAAAGATTGATGATTAATTATTAGACAGTTATATGGAATTTCTTTGATACTAGAAAGAAATAAAAGACAAACCTCAACTTATGTTCCTTTATAAAAAAAAAATACCAATTTACTCAATGATTTACAATTTATATTTAAACAAAATATTTACCTAATGGCTTTAGATGATTACATAAACAAACAAATAAACTAACATTACTAAATATGGCAATAAATGAAATCAAAGTATGTAATATGCATGAACCCAAAAGAAAATAAATTTACCAACGTGTGGCACGGTTGGTCATTAGCTTGGTACTAGACGAAGGACGCTTGTGCAAGATGGTATGCAAAAATTTTGAGATCTTAATTTCTACCTTTACATAAGCAGTGAAATATAAAAAAAATCATGTGCATATCCGCACCTATATCTCAACATCAACGTTTAATGTTGAAACAAAAAAAACACTCTCCAAGTTGGAAGAAGTTACCTGCTTAACTCATAGTTAAGACCAAATTATTTATAAGAAAAATATTAAACCATGAAATTTTATAATCAATGTAAATCATGAAGCAAAATTAAAAGAAAATGTAATGAACACAAAAAAATATTAACACACAATAAAGGACTTTACGACACAGAGGTTATTTACTGATACTCCCAGATTGGAAGAGGTTAATTTACTTAATTTAAACTCTGACTTCATGGGTCTTAAGAGTCTGCTTAACCTATAGTTAAGTCTTGTTTAATTATAAGCTCTTATCTTTTTTCCGTATATTTAAACAAGGCGAGTCGAATTTTCGTCTAGTAATTTGAGCGGCTCAAAATGCACGTTACACCAATAATTCCATTGTACTACCAGCTGCCCTACTTAATAATTTTATTTTCCTCCTTTGACGGATTATATCGCATTTGAGCATAACACCAAATATTTAACTTACTGTGTGATCTGGGAGGCAGTGGCGGCGCTTCTTCTAAATTTCCACTTTCGGGCCAAGAATTTCTAAGATGTGGACCGTCGGTGGGAGTCATAGACATGGCGTGTCTCAACAGTCGCGGCGAAGGTGGTTTTGTCAAAGATCTCTCTCTAGTGTGGGTCGGTTTTGGTGGAAGAGGTATATCGCCAGATTCGCTGTCTCTGAAATATATAAGTATGCAACGATTCAAATATAAGCCAAAATTCCTTGTAAGAAATATAATTTTGTTTGTTACCTGGATTTCATAGAAGGTAAACTGGCACTGTTATATTCCAAAGGGCCTCTAGTGGGAGTCTTCAGTTCAGTAAAATTAGAATTACTAAAACCCTGAGATCGCGGTCTGCATTCTCTTAAAGGTATAGGTGGAGCACCGTTATTTATTGGCAAACCCATTGGTAGAGAAAGGTTTTCTCTTTGTAAAGTTGGTCTATCATTTTCCTAAAATAAAAAACATTTTTATTTTATATAATAAGCAGATGATTGACTGGAAATATTTATGTACTTACGGCAGGTTTTGTATAAATATTGTCATAATCTGCAGTATGATGTTCGACTAAATGTCCGTAATTCCCGCTAGATCCCGAAGAACGATTACTGCCATTTTCCATAATTAATCTCTTGTCAGTGGGCACAGGAGGTAAGGGAGTACTAAAATACAAAATTAACGTTGTTTATTACAATCGAGAAGTCTCCTAGAAAAATATAAATAATTCAATAATCTACGAAAGTTCTAAAATATTTAATCATCTGCCAGATGCCTTTCAATCAATATTAAATCTCCATCTTTATTTAGTATTACTATAAAAAAATTATCTGCTGGAGTTCTTTAATGGCGAATTTTAAAAGTAATAACTATTTATGCAACCAATTACGAAATGTCTTGTTTTATGTAACAAGTGAATCTCTGCGAGACAAGAATAGTGAGATTCCACCAAAAGTAACTTTTGAAGGACGTCCAAATATAATTATAGGTATATCATCTTTATTTTGCTTGATGCATTGGTCAACAATTTCTTAAATAAAAAAATAAGACATTTTGATTCTAATTAACTCACTTTATAATGCTATTGACTGTTTGGTGATTGAAGGCTCCTAAACTTTCTTTGAGTTGAACGAATCTTTCCAGAAGCCTTTGGTGAAGAGGTTGCACACTCTGCGGTGCTAATTTCCCATGCAGAATTAGACCCTCTTCTATTACCTGAAATACGTTTATACATAAAATAAATGTTGAATTGATGGGTCTTTATTGAAAAATTCAAGAAATCTGAAGTAAAATTAACGATTAAATGTGGGATCAGATTTTAAAATAATCAAAGTATAATTTCATAGAGTAATTATCATTGCCGAAGAACTTATAACGGTTTTCACCTTTTAAATATCATTGGTAAAAATAAAAATTATTCAAATTTAAAATATGTGGTACTAGCGATACTACCAGATAATCGACGTAATTAAACAACTTCTTCTTTTCTAATGTAATAAAAAGAGAAATAAAAGTAGCCAATAAGTTTTATATTATTAAAACTTCTAACATCAAATTTAGGTTACTGACAACATACATTTCTAATGGGATTATCTGAGGTAATAATTCAAGAAATATTTACTTTCTGCTACTAGTGCGTTTTCGTAGAAATAAATATTTATATTGAGAAATAACTTACTCTAGTAGCGTTGATAATCAATTCTTTCAAATTTTCAGCGTACACTTTATGCTCTGGATACAATTTCGTAAATTCCTTGGTGAAAAAGGCTTGTTGGTACTTGCTGATACCGCCTTGCACGTTAGCATCGATTATACCCTGTAGTCTCATGGTGAACGGGTTCAAATTCCTTTTGTGATCCACCGAATGGATGGTTATTAGTTGCCTGAGTTCGTTTTCGACGTTTCTCATCGTTTCGCAAGCGTATTGTACGGGTGGTATTTCTTCGGTTTGCCGGTTGATCACTTCGAACCATCTAAGGATGCCCGGTAGGGAGTTGCTTATTTCTAGGATCATTCGTTCTATCCAGAGCGTCTAAAATCAAAAATACATTAGGAAAAAATAACAAGCTATCCCGGTATTGGTAATTTCATGGAACTGGAGACACTGTAAGTAATAAATAATATACAAAGGTGGGATCTGTTCTGTGTCGAGTAACTTGATCCCAATAAAATTTGATATGTTCTCACTTCGGAAATTCTACAAATTAATGAGACATTTAAACTACTCTGACTTTTGAAAGTCAAACAGCAAAAATTAAATCGTATTTGTTTAGCCTTGAGGTGAATTATTTATTTTTATGTTTATGAGTGAGGGGTACAGGTAGCATAAGGTAAAGTCATATTAACAAGTTTCTTCCAAGTTAGAAGGGGACAGTCTTCAACAAACGTTTGGATAACGGTGAAAAAAAAAAAATTGTGGTGAGAAAGAATTTTAGTTTTCTCTAGAATGGTTGGAAAAGCTAAGGAGTTAGATATCGATTTTTCTGTCAATCTATATTCTTAAAAAAACGATTGGAAATAGAATTTATAAGATTTGTGTTATTAAAGTACGTAAATATTCGGATGGACACTATATATATTTCCTTTATATATGTATTTTTTTATAATGGGGATTTTCTATATTATAATAAACAAAACAATCTACTTTACTTACCTTAATTTCATTGTCTTTGTCAATGATGCCCTTATGAACTGGACGGTCACACTGGAATCTTCTCACATCGTTGTAATAATAAAATCTTGATATTTTTTCGGGAATATCAGTCGCCAAAGTAATAGCATTCGGTTCAGGTATAGGTTTTACGTTACAAATTTGAATATCTAGAAAATCATTAAGGAAAATATACCTTAAAACCTTTTAATATTTCAAAATTGCTTAAATAACTGATAAAAAATTTAGTGTGCATTAATTAAAAAAAAAAAAGGATACATTGTGTATCTGAGTTGATAATGGCATCGTCCGGAGGAGTATTTTTCATTAAAATCTGAGCAGCAGGGAATTCTGTCTGTAATCTCTGAGTAAAGGCACCTATTCTTTCATATTCCAATCCTCTATATACAAATTGCTTATTCTAAAACAAAATAATTTAATTTTTATTTTATGCATATAGGTATGTATTTCAATAACAATGGATAATTCTGATTTTACTCACCCTTACAAATAATGGAAAACTTAGACCGTAAAATCCTACACGGAAATATTCCGGTTCAGGACGGAGTTGAGTTAAAATATTATCGTAAAATTTGGCTTGGCATCTCAACATATCACTAAGGAGTTTGTAGTCGAAGAAAATCGATTCATACAAATTCGCCAATTCTTTGAGCAAGGGTATTCCCTTCTCCCAACACTAAAAAATAAGAATATATAACCTGTTAAATTTTACTATCATAATTGCAAAAAACACCCCTAACTAGGAGTGTTTTTCGACTGTACTTGTTGTTTTGCAAACTAACTCATCTCATATGTTTTTTGGATCGCTGATTTCGAAAATCGGGGTGTCGAGACTGGAAATCAATCGGATATAAACTCGTCCCAATTTTTACTTCAAAACCATTATTACCTGATAAATGTCTAAAACAGTTTACATGCAGTTGCAAGAAGAAATGTTCTTGCAAAAAAGTGGGATTGCGTTGCACCCAATTCTGCAAAGGATGTAAAGGCAGAGACTGCAAGAATAGCGAAAACGTGTTGACTATCCAAGACTTTGATGAAGACGAAGATTTTGAAGAGGAAATGTTGCGTAACCGAACGGTTCAAGGCCCATGTAATAGTTATTTTATTTGATAGCGTCCAACTCGATCTTTTTGTAAACGATCCGTATCGATTGTAGAGCCATTCGAGATCTGGCCCTTGAGAGAGATACATTAATGGCATGTTAACGTTTTTGTTCCGTTCAATAAATCATAGTGAAAAAGGTAGTGTTTAATTTAAAACAATAACCAATAGAAAAAATACTTCTACAGACGGTAGATAAACAGGAAATAGAATTAGAATTTGAGCCAGAAATACTGATTCAGTAAACTGAAAATCAATGGGATACGAGCGATTTTTGCGATTCACAGATAAGTACAGAAGTTGATTGGACCGAAACAACAACAGAATTTGACGAGGATGAAGAAATTTCTCCATGCAAAATACCAAGACTAGATTTGAATACAACTGAATAGTGATATCTTGTAAGAAGTTTGATACTTGTCATATTTCATATCTATTAATAAAAATATATTCCATTTTTATTCTTTGTATTTTATATTTAATTTTTCACCAAAATCCACCGATTGGGAGGGGTGTTTCTGGCATGTGTCACCCAACTCTATTTGACATTAATTATAATGACATCTCTATCTTTAAGGATTTATATGTGGGTAAATTTAAAAAGGATATAAGATTAATAAAAATTAGTTTTTTTTTTTGTTTAAATTACCTTTCCTTTATCATAATAGTTGATGATTTGTCTGTAGAGCAGCTCTTTGACTTGGCATTCTGAATGACCCGGATAATTGGGATCCGACACTTGGTTGCTGTTCCAATTTAATTGATCCGCGTACAATTTCAATGTAAAAGCAGCTTCGGTATAGTTTTCCGCCGATAAATGTAAATCGTGAAGTTTCCGGATGTATCTGAGATACATTTCCTTTCTGTTGATCTCGTTTTTATAGAAGTTCTGGAATATTTTCATAAGTGAAAGCAGGTGTAAAATATTCGACTTGTACATGTTATTGTTACTTTAGTCAAAACTATTTTAAATATATGACGATAAAAAAATAATTAGTAACATTATTATTTATCATGATTATCTAGAATTTAAATTGCAATTTGTATAATGATCCTTTCTTATTTTGTGATTAATATGTATTACATTTTTATATGAAATAAATCAAAAGTTATTTTTTTCAAATATTATTAAATAGGCATTCCAAACAAATGAATTGCCAGTGGGAAGGTTTGGTATATATAAGGGTGGCGACATACGGTGTATTCTATCTACTTTACGTAAAATCATGAATAATGGATTACATTTAAATATTTTATGTCAAACACAATAAAAATAATATTTAAAAAACCCACCTATACATATCTTCATAAATTGGCAGGCTTGGCGAGTACTACTTCGAATAAAAATAGCGTCCAAGCTGCAAGTCTATGTCGCTACCCCCCTTAGATATACAAGAATTTCCCACTGGCACCTATTGTTTGACAGGTCGTTGGAATGCCTAATTAGGCATTCCAAACAAATGAATTACCAGTGGGCAGGTTTGGTATATCTAAGGGTGGCGACATATGGTGTATTCTATCTACTTTACGCAAAATCATGAATAATGGATTACATTTAAATATTTTATGTCAAACACAATAAAAATAATATTTAAAAAACCCACCTATACATTTATTCATAAATTGGCAGGCTTGGCGAGTACTACTTCGAATAAAAATAGCGTCCAAGTTGCAAGACTATGTCGCTACCCCCTTAAATATACAAGAATTTCCCACTGGCACCTATTGTTTGACAGGTCGTTGGAATGCCTAATTGTTAGAGCTTTCAAATTTGACAGCTGTCAATATAGCTACAAACTTGACAGCTTGCCAATGTAAGTACAAAGTTTGAACAAAGAGTTATAACATTGTATTAAAAAAAAACTATTTTTGTTCGAACTCACCAGTAAATTGAAAGTACATGACATCCTCTTATCGCGGTTTTTGTCGCCTTGAATGACATTTCGATAATCAAGAAGGCGTTCTAAAAGCCGCGTTATTGAGCTGATGAAAGCAACGCCACTTTCCTTCCATACCGGTTCTTCAGACTGAACTCTGTCTAGTAATCTAAAAAGGTCATGGGTTAACAACTATACTTTCCAAATCAATTAGGAATAACAACTTTTATAATACATGGGTTTTCTATTTTTTAAATCATAAGAAATTAAGAATGTATATTAAGAAGTTCTATAAATAATAGGAGTAGAAATTATGAAGGGCGACATCTGGCTAAAGGCAATCATTTATTTGGACAATTTTGGGATTTTTGTTACTACAAAATAGTACAAAGTGAAATATTTGACAAGTAAATAAAGGATTTAATCACATATAAGGAGTGGCACACATTTGTGGAGTAAAAAGAAAACTCGACATCTGACCAAGATGGACATAAAAGAAAAAAATATTAATTTTGTAAATATTTCAATATTTAACCAAATTTGGACATTGTAAAAATGAATAATACTTACACAGCACTCAAATGCTCCCTGTGGAAGGCGTGAACAATAATTAAACAAAATTAATTGTATACGTATTAAAAGATCTAAATTAATGTCGCAAAATTCAATTTTTAAATTCGTACTATTTTTTAATTGCAATGAAATATTTGGTTCGGAATCTGACAGCGATACCTAATTTGTTATTAATAAATACAATTAAATATTTAAAAATGTCACACAAATAATATTAAAAATGTGACAGCAACCTAATTTTATATATTGTAAAATGAAAATAATAATGGCAATCAAATGCATAAAAAAAAAGATTGGGAATTAAGTACTTACTGAACACTATTAGAATGAAATATACGAGAGTACATTAGTGCGCAAAAATTATTTAACAAAATCCGACTGAGCGTTCTCAGATAAAAGCCATTATTAAAGACTTCCTGAAAATATCATAATTGAATTTATAATCTAAAATTATTAACGTGTAATGGACTTATGTCGTACTGAATTTTTTTTTAAACGTTTAAGTAATGACTAGCATTGTTACAAAAATGATGAACTAGTTACAATCATGTAGTGACTCAGACTCACTACAGTTACGTGGGCACTACTTAAATTAACATATATACTTTAGGATCGTTAAGTCATAATAAAATCGTTTTAAACTCACATTGTATTAAATAATCTTCGATACTCGTCATCGCCCTTATTTTCCGATATTAAAATATCCAATTTATCTATAAGCTCGCACTCCACTTGCTTAAAGTTGCCTCTAGCTCTTTGCTCGCACTCCATCATATCGAAGAAAATATGCAACGTCGCCTTTCTGAGTTCAATCTCGGGTACCAGAGTCACTTCGAGGAACGGACCCACCATCGACGGTATGAAATGCAATTTGCACTCTCCTAAAATTAACGGATCATTATTCTATCTTAGATGAGTAGATACCAAAATAACGGGGACGATTCAAATAAAACTTTCATTAAAAAAAACTTTAATACAGGACTTGGTAGTTGAGATACTTTTGAATGTTGAGGAATATTGTCATCGCTAAAAATTGATTTTGGAATTTAATTATTGTCGTATTGGTTAATTATATTATATTTAAAATTATATTAATTATTATCATCCAGTATAGTATGAAAGGAACTATTTCATTAATTATATTTGGCCAAGAAAAGCTGTCTATTTTTCGCCTCCAAAATCCGAAAACGCTTCAGCACTCATGAGTGTAAATTTAAAATAATTCAGTTCCGATTCTTGTGCATCTTCCAGAATATACAAACTTCAGCCCTCTCAATACAGTCCACTACATCCAAATATGGTGCATGTCAGCCCAGAAAGAAGTCGGCCTCAGGAAGACAGGAAAACAAAGGTTTAAGATAAGACCTGACTGGCAAAGCTTTTTTTTTTTTTTGACCCGAGACATATTTGTATCTTAGCCATAACGTAGTTAATATACGCTGCTCCGATTGTATCTCACTTACCCTAAACAAGAGGTCAAGTAGGTACAATATAAATCTCATTGTGTGAACATTCAAGCTGAGACAACTCTCTTACTATTTACTACAACAAAAGTTTTAATAAAGAATAAAATAATTTACCTAGTTGCGACCACATAGATAAAATTTGGAATCCCATGAGAACTCTCATATCTCCATATTTTTCGATAATTTTTTCCCGTTTTACATCAGAAAACTGTTCCAGCTGCAAAGACTCCTGCGTTAGATAATCAACGCTAAGATTGAAGTAGTTAGTCCATAGCTAAAATCGAAAAAAAAACTAGTTTATAATAATTGTAATTATGTATTTTTATCTTTAAGGTTCCACTTACTTCCTTATCAAAGTACCCAGCTCGACTATCTAAGAACTTGAACGCTAGCGGTTGAGCAAACTCTTGTAAAGCTTTTAGTATGACGTTGTTCGTCAACATTTTAATGACCAACCAGTCTTGGGGAAACACCTCCATTCGAACGAGGTTTCTAAATACCAAAAAGGCCCTTAAAAGGAAGTCTTTAAGCGGTTTACGGTCTTGATGAGATCCCATTACGATTTCCCACAGTCGTTTGTAGTGAAATTCGTCCAAGAGTTGAAGCAGGCCAATCAAACAAGCAACTAGGCAACCCTGGAATATAAATTTTGATATTTTTCATAAAATCATTTAGTAAAAATCATAAAGTTAATACTTACAAAAACTTTCACATCTTTATCGATACTAGTAAGTATTGTTTGTATCAAAACTTCAAGGATAGCCAGGCACAAAGTGTCAACATCATGGTGAATACAATTGTTAACTTTTCCTTGTTCGTCGCTCACTTTTCTTTGTTTAAACAAATAGCCCAAAATTTCCCCCAGAATTTCCGTGCATAATTTCAATTCTTCTCTTCTAATCAGGTGGTATCGCAGATGCTTGCAAGTGGTTACAAGAAGAATATTTCGAGATTCTATAATAAAATTAAATACGATAATTATTTAATGGATGCCAAAATGGAGACTGCTTACTAACCGTCATCTTGAAAGAGTTTGCCGGTGACTATATTTTTGATGCAAGCCAATTTCGCTTGTATAAGTAAAGCGGGTAAATCCCTGGGTAACGAATCCAACATACTTGATGCCAACCTTGTTACTTCCATAGCGGGAAGAACATCCACTAGTTGTTCGTATACAGCACTGATTGTTATCAGTAAAGCCACCTAGGTACAAAAAAGGGAATAAAATCTGGTTGGGTTTTGGTACATTAGAACTATTATAAAGTCAGTTTGCATCAACTGTCAAAATAGAGATATAAGACCATTGAACGATGACAAGTGACAAAATGAAAGCAATTTCTATTACCTGAGTATTAATGATGTGATTATCTGTAATTGCCAGCATTTTATTTAAAGATGTGAATACGCTGAAGAGATCTCGACGAAAACTGTCCTCGAAATGGCCGCCGGTAGCGCGAGAAAAGAGCAGGCGGCTCTGAATGATCAGTTTGAAGATGTATTCCAAGCTTTTGAAACATTTCTGTATCGGTTCTTGTTTTTCGAAAGAAGATACCCAATCGGCACAGTGCTGGACGCTGGTCAGGAGTCCTCTGAATAATTTAAATATAACAATTATTTTATGATATACTGCAATGTTATACTGTGGTAACCAACCTCTGGTTATGGTTGTTAAGGGAGTCATAACGGGGTAATCAAGTGAAAATTTTAACAACAGTTATGACTGAACTGTCATTATTTTAAGTCACATTCAGAAACTTGTAATGATACTGTTAAATGATAAAATTTTATTTGATTTTAAGTTGTAAAACGTAGTAAATTGCAGTATATTATGAAACGTTGTATGATACACGACCTTTACCTGATCTCTACGTACTCGCATGTAAAGATCTAGGTAACGGGCCTATAAAGTAAACTACTAATATTATAAATATTAACTTACTTGTATACAAGCGCAGCTGAAAAATGATTTTTTATATAGGCCTCCAACACAGGTTTGAAGTACTGGTATTTTGACCCGTCTAATAGATTAAATATGGATACCAATACGTGAAATACTGGTCCGCTGTGCGCCGTTGAGTTGCCGTCTTCGGTGGAAAATAATGCGAACAGTGCGTCCAATACGTCTTGCAAGAATTTAATAAATTCCTCGTCGCCCAAATTTAAAACTCTATGTAACGATTCCGGTATTCGTTCTGGATGAGATTTCCATCTTAACAGAGCCAGTAGATCAACTAAAAAAAAGTGGAAAATCAGTATTTTCGCAAAATTTTATCAATAAAATGTTGACTCACCGTTTTGAGTCAGTTTCGTTGAACACAGTAACGTTTTAATAGAAACGATTTCTTTGTGGCTTCTCGAAAATTGGCCGCTAGCCTCGTGATTGCCCTCGAAGTCTTTTGCGAAAGCGGGAAGCGATAGGTAACCGCAATTTTCTAGTTTTGGAAGATCCTCGCACTTATAAATGTACAAGTCGTGTTGACCGTCTTGAACGGCTGCTCCTTCTTTGTCCATGAGGCGAAGAAATGAAAAACCGAAGAGCTTCTTGTCGTTCTTTTCTCTGGCTGTAAGGATAAAGTTGCAGATATGAGAAGAAATCGCCTTAGATATATAATCACGGCATGTAGGATTATTTTCAAAGTTTCTGAGGCTAAAATCAGTTCACATTCTAAACGTCCTTGGCAGAATTGCAATATTCTGTTTGTAGTAGCGTAATACGTCATCTCGTAATACTGTGAATAATCGGAAGAAATTTTACATTTGAGAACAGAGCAATGATAGGCGACGATATTATTGTAAAGGAGTATAAATCGGACCCCTGAGGAACTCCACTAGTTGAAGTAAAGTAATTAGAATTAAATACATTATAACAAACATATTGTTTGCGCTTAGTTAAATATGATTTAAGAAGATGTACATAAGTAATATCGAAACCTAAACTAGAAAGCTTTTACAGAATTATTTTGTGACTGATTTTATCAAAGGCATTAGAGAAATCGGTATATACTGCATCAACCTGTCCTATACTATCTAATGATTAACAGAGATATTGACTAAAAAATGCCAGATTACTAACAATTGAACGAGAAGTCATGAATCCATGTTGATATACAGATATAAGATTTTTAGCAGATAGATTCGGTTATACAAGATGACCTCTAAAAGTTTTGCAGCATTATTAAGAATGGATATTGGCCTATAATTGTTTATAGCAGCGCGATCTTGAGATTTATATATAGGATAGATTTTACCTACTTTCCAAACATCTGGAAAGACTGAAGTTTTAATGACTATATTAAAAAGAGTTTGTAGCGGTTATATTAATACTATTAAGCAATCTTTTAAGAGAAAAGAAGGTATTTTGTCTGAACCCGAGGTGAATTTATTTTAAATTTTTTACCAGCATCTAGGATTTCTTTTTCCGTTATTGCTTCACTACTAATTTAATAGCATATTAGGATCATAGTTAAGTTGCAAATTCAAGTCTTCACTATCTACTGGCAAAGAATAGTCACTTTCAAAGAATGTACTAAATGCATTCATTATCGATTACAAAAGTAGAATGGAAAACATGCCTTAGACCATTATTATTAGTTTGAAAATGGTTTTATAGTCGAAACCAATCACAAACTGCATTATTAAATCAATTTTACGTGGGCATTTAGATGTCAAAATTTTATCTCAAAGATAAGCACATTTGAGGGTCGAATTCCTTTCTTTCTCAAATAGTATTCAAAGTGAAATTACTTACTGGAACAGTGCCGGTATTCCAGTCGAACATGAGCCCCTGCGAATTTATCAATAGGCAATGTTAATCTTAAATTTTCGGCCCACATTGGTGAATTGTGGTGGTAAATAACCATTGAATTGTATTCCGATGTAGGTTCCATTCCCGATGCACCCCACCAACAATTCTAAAATAGAAAACATAATTATTGCATGTAAATGTAGATTTTTTACAAATTTATTTCTAACCTTAATAATTTTCTTCTCGCTATCTAAAACGACAACGCTAACTTCGATATTCTTCCCGGTAGATTTACCGCCTCTTTCGAACTCGCCTTTATCCAAATACAAATATAAGTCGTTCCGTACATCCCCGGGCATTATCACATCAGGAAAACCTAATTTGCTGGTCAAGCACACGTTTTTGAATAGAAGAGCGTTTTCTTCCTTGATCACTCTCAGTTCGCCGTGCAACATTTTCACGCTGATCATGATACCGTAGTTCATGTGACCAGACAGAGCGCTGTATTTTCCCGATTGTCGTATTATGAATTCGTGTAGTTGATGGAAGTCTTTTTCTTCAGCTTGATATACCTATGTAGGGTATACGGTTGTTAGTTAGCATTATGAAAACTAGTCTTCATAGTTAACATGTATGGTTTGATATGTGAGATGATAGTCACGATTTAATTGTCAGAGTTGTTAAACATTTATTCGCTTCTAAAAGGCTCATAAAATTTACTATAATTGGGGACCACGCAGAAAAACTATGGTTAAACTATTCAAGAGTCTGACTAAAGAAGAAATTGGCAAACTCTTGCAGCATTTTAATCTCAATGGTACCGGCTCTGTGGCCGACATGAAGATGATGCTACAAGGAGTACTTTCAAGAAGATATCAAAGCTTATCCAACGTTAACGATTTTTATTTTACTGACGTCCTAAGATAGTTACAAATGAGATTGATAATGAGAAACGGAAAGAGGCTTTATAATCAATTTAGAACTTCAAGTAAAAAATTTAGAGTCTATATGCATATTGTTAATATTTCTTTTTTGTATCATTATCACTAAGGGGGGACTAATGTAGGCTCATAAGTTTACTATACCTAAAAGTAAAAGAATAAAAATAAACACTGTTAACTTGGTTTTAATAAATTATGGAAAAATTGAATTGCAATACGTTTAATATTTATACAAGAAAAAAAAACCTGAGTTACTCTGAGGCTCTCACGCACCCATTGCATTCCTGTGCCTTAACAAATAAAAATGTAGACTAAATTAAGGAGGAGGACGAAACCTCCATTCACATCCTAACTGAATGTGTAGCACTCCAGAATATAAGGGCACTATATCTAGGAGGATATCAAATAGAAGAGGGAGATTTACCTAACTTAAAGCCACTTCAAATCCTACACATCCTTGATGAAATAGGATTGGAAGGGTCGTTATAGGCATTGAGACATTTCCTTAGTGCATTGGCGATAGAAGGGGGCACAATAGATCTTTTAAGTCGCAGTGTATTAACACCCCATTTTCAACATAACATAGACTAAATTGAATAGAATGTCTATCATACCTTCATGTTAAATTCTTTCTCTTCGGTATCGCTTTCTTTGCTTGTCAACGAATCGCCTAAATTTTGCACGGCTACGCCGTGTGGTCGTTTGAATATTTGTTGTTGAGCTACCACTTTGTCAGTCTTTTTCGAACTATCCGAATATAACATTCTTCCTATTCTCATTATATGAGCAACTATGTAAATATCTTTGCTTAATTCTGCATTACCCAAATCCTAAAAGAAAAACAGTTTTCAAGTAGATGCACTATATAATTACAAAACTTGATCTCTACGATCCACTCTTGACCTACTTACAGTATACTTTTGAAAATGTAAAAATGAAAACCCCAATTCGTCCTACGAAATTAGGGAAAAAACAACTTCAAAGTAAAAACAAACCAAATAAAAATTTAAAAAGCTGACAAGAACAGAAAATAATGCGTGCTCGTAGAAATTCAATTCCTGGTCGGAGCCACACTAATTTTCTTCTTTTTTTGTTCCTATTACTTTGCTATCATCTTTTTTTTTTTAATATCATTAGTTTGTTTTCTTCTTAACGTCACCGTTTACGTTGCTTAGGTTAATTTTGTTTGAATAGAAAATAATAAATAAATTCCACATAACTATACATACTTGTAAATCGAATTTTCTTACCGTAAAGACAGTGCAATTGCTATGTAATTTTTCCACGTAATTCGAAAAACCATCTTTGGAAATTTTGACTAGGAACCGTTCGGTAATATATTTCTGTTTGGAAGCATCGTATAGAGAGAAAAAAATTTCAGTATCTTCGCCGATATGGTGACCAAAATCTCTCATGCAAAAGTACAAATGGTGTGTTAAAGTTTTTTTTTGTTCCTTTCTTTTGAGGGTACCTCTTGCCTAAGACATAAAAAAAAAAGAAAATAATATTGTTTTGCTGCGTTATTCTAAAATCGTTACTTACAGATACTCCTTGTATATTTTCGGCACTAGAAACGTGAACGTGGTACAATTCAACTACAGACATTGACTCAGGTTCAACCATATGGGCACCCACTCTAGGGACCAGGTCCAAACCCAGTTTTCTGAAACAATAAGGTACATTACAACAAAAATCTGACTTGTAGTAATATTTAATCGGCCATTAACAGTTAAATCAATATATTATTATTTAATATTTTGTTGAATTCTATTCGTAAATGGTTGAAAAAAAAAACTCAATTTGACCTGTCTTGTATATATTCTAAATTACCTACAAATATTTAATGTAATCATATTTTATGGTTGTCAACTTTGACATATATTATTTCTCACTTTGGCTTCAAACAATCTTATGAGCACAATAAGAAGAGGTATAAGAATTCTTTTATGAAGATGAAGATTTTTATTTTAATCTATAAGTTCTCTGTTGAGGCATTTTACAAACACTAGAGCATATTAGAAAAGGATATATTATCTTTACAGAAAAACAGAGTAATAAAGCTCCATGTGGCATCGGTTGTATTTCATTTTTAGACTTCGTCAGAGGTTTAAATGTGAATCGGAGGAATGAAAGTTGCCTGTTGTTTTATTAAGTGACCCACAGTTCCTATAGAAAAGTTACAAAGGAGTAACAATATTAAATGTAACGTCATGGTGACGTCTCAAATAACTATAAAGAAAAACGACAAAGGTGACATTAAAACAACGTTATAAAAACGTCATAATGACGTTATAAAGACTACTAGGAAACGTCATAAACACGTCCTATTTAGACGTGACATATTCACGTCATTTTACCGTTATTATGTGTTTATATCCTACTTATTATTGTATTTTTTTTGGATGAATAAATATTATTATTATTATTATCACGTTAGTTTTCAGAGGATAAATGACGTTCTTTATGACGAAAATAAGATGTCATAATGACGTCAGTCTGCTGCCTGGGACATAATACTGCAATTGAGCAATAGATATTCTTCATTTAATTAGAGGTATTTCAGTTAGGGCAAGTTTATTTTAATCTTGAAGCAAAGCTTATTAGCTACTGTTAAACAAATATTACTACAATTTCAAATCGAGACGAGTTCTACTTGCGAATGGATATACAAACACAACAAAGCATTGAAGTAAGACCATTCATCTTGAATATAGTACGCCTTTTTTTCTGTGTTTAAACGTTCAAAAATAGTACTTAGGAATTTAAAAATTGAATAATCCTGATCTACGACGATTTGACGATTTCTAACTGGTCTATCTATAGTAATAATTGAGCTTTATGGATAGCACTTTACTTGGTATGTATGTCTTTAACGACATAACCGGTTATCTGTCAGGTATACGGCACAGGTTTTACAGTCTGCATACAATAATAATTAAGTTTCAGTGGCGGGTGGTACACCGTCCAGTTTTATATTACTTACCTACTAATACTTTCGATTTTAAGTTGGCAAATTATAAATATTAAAATTACTGAAGTAAAAAACAACCGATGCTGTTACTCCTTTGATGCTATGCCGGTGATAACAAATTAGGATTCGTATTTAGGACAAGATTTCCTTTTTCGTCTAACCCCCTGATTTACTATTTGTATATTTCCCGTACCATTGTGTATTATTATTGTGTACTATGTAGGATATGCCGTAGGTAGCTACCTATATTGCGCTATGTAATAATAAACATTTACTATAGGTAGGTAGATTGTTGATTGTCACTTTGGCATATTTTAATTAATAAAAGTTGTCTTAATTCCGGAGATACTTTAACTAATTGTGTATTATTTGGTAATAATGTAATAATTGCGTGTAGGGTTATTTCCACTGTAGCGATGGTGACCCGGAGAGAAAAATTACCACATTCGCGCAAATTATTCTCTCTTTTTTAGATTCCACGTAAAACTATATCGCATACCTAGTTGATGTCTACTTGGCGGGAATGGGAGTACGTGACGATAATCCATATACATCCATCTTCGCAGTGGCGTGAGTCATCGACCCATGGCGAATTATAAAATTCAAGATAATGGACGGAAGATTCGGATTTTGCATTATTGCATGAACTCCTTCCTTCGGCTTCGTCGATCACGATAAAAACGAGCGCTATTCAGGGAATTCACTCTCTATTCTCGGCTCGTGGTTTCGATGTAAATCCGTATTTACCTTATCGTTGCATCTGCTTTTTTAACGAAAATAATAGGTATGCGAAACATAAAAAAAATATATTAGTTTACTTGAAAATGTATGATAGCACAGTTTTTATATAATTTTGCTATCATTTATTTTAAAATAAACATAATAATTACAGTTTTCTGGTTAGACGGTCGTTATATCATTCTTCTATGTAATATTTTCAAATAAGAAAATTTTTGAAGCTTGAAAAATAAACAAATTATCTTTTAAATGTTCTTTGTTTCTTTCTGGAATAAAAACCTCGAAGGGTAAACCGCTGTTCTACACATTTTGCTCCAAATATTTACACATATTACAGAAATAGTACACATATTGAAAAAAATAAATAGTACCCATGTAGAGAAAATTTGATTGGTCGGCTGAAAAAAAAAAAATGTCCCAGAAGTCGTACCGGAATATATTGTTTTTGCCTGTGAGAAACATTTCCAAAAAACACGTAACTTAATTTAAAATCTTGATATAATTGGTTGCCAATTAGGTATAGGTACTATTTAATATCAATTATGTTCTTGAGATCATACGAATTCTGAATATATCTTCATAATTTTGGCTTTTTCTTTTTTACCTACCTTGTTATTCTTTTTATCGATTGTTTATTTCCTTTTTCCCGTGGTCCTTATGTCTGTCAAATGAAAAAAAAAGTGTCGACAGATTTCTAAACATGAAGCGAGTGCCCATATTTTGTATTTTATATTTTAGTTTTTGTCATGTCAAGCCGTTAAGCTATTATATCAGTCATTGATAAGGCATTTCTTTTTGATATAATATGGTGGGGTGGTCTGACAAAAAGTTTTGCAAAAATGGTGGTCAAACTAAATGGTTTTGCAAAAATGGTGGTCAAACTAAAAAGTTTTCAAAAATGGTGGATGCACAAAAGATCATAAGCATGTGAGCGCCACCATAATAATTGGGAGCCCACCATAAAATAATTTTTTTACGTCGCTTAACCTATGCAGGGTAAGAAATATCACAAGAATTTTTGTTTCCTTGGAAATTTGAATACGTCCCCTTCTGTAAACTTAAATCCCTATTGACTTTACAAGCCTGATGATAATCCTACGTGGTCGAAATTAGTAGCTAACAAACTCCTTTTTTACAATAAATTTAGTATGGCCAAGACTTTGAGAATTTTGTTGTATTTAATACATTTTCTTACATTTAATAGTTTTGTGTAGTGTCGTATATCCGTAAAAAAACTACGAATGTGTCGTTTTAGAACGAAAAATATAATCGAAGAATAGAATTGTTCTACAAGGTGATTCCTAAGCTGCTAGATAATTCTTTTTTAACAGTGTAGGTTTATATATTATTAAAATAAATATTTTTAAATTAATTAAAAAAAAAACTCACAAAGATTTAGTATCGAGTGACCTCGGAGGTCGCGCAACTAGACCATTTCGACCGATCTATCTATTCGGAAAAGTCATATCTAAAAACTCCTACACTTCCCAACTTAATGTACAGATCATGTTTTGAAATTTTGAGTTCTGTAACTTTCTTTTTTGCGTGGTCTACAGACCTAAATCCTGGTGATTATGTTTTAATTTTCGTTTCGAAATAGTGGCAGAAGAGGGATTACTCAAAAAAGAGCTAGTGCAGTTATGTAAACAACATTCACCAAAATTTGTGTAGATGAAATAGAAAAAGAACATGGAGTTAGTGTTGCAGTTACCACCTTAACCCCATTGAACTAATCTGGGCTCAAATGAAGGGATATATCGCGAAAAACAATACCACATTTAAACTTCAAGATGTTCGTCAACTATTATGTGACTCTATATCAAAAATTTCACCGGGCAATTGGCAAAACGTTAAAAAACAAGTCATAGCAAAGGAAGAGAAATTCTAGAAACTTGATATGTTAATAATTATTATTTCTGTGGAAAGTGAGGAAACTAATGATGAAAAAACGACATTTATTTAGGTATGTAACTCTATATTTATATTAAGTATAAGTTTATATGATAATAGTACCCGAAATACAAACAAATTTATAAAGAATCACCCCGTATTTCTAAAAACGAAATATGAGTGTATTATGAGAAAATGTTTTTTTGCAAAGATTTTTTTTGACATATATAAATTTGGTTATGTGTATATTTATTATTAAATTTTAAGGAAATGTCCTAATCTAATATCTAGTATTCTATTTTTATCAAAATAAATGTGGGTACTTAATAATTACAGTTTACTATTTTTTATATCAAAGTATTTTCGTGTTCACGTCACTGAGGTATAGAATTATTGGATATAGTCTCTTAGGGTTTGCTCATTTACATTTTATGATGTATTGTATTCAGATAAAAATGTATCAATATTTATTTTTTTTCTGCTTTGAACAATCCTGAATACTTATAGACCTTTGCCATAAAAACTGTGCATTTTCAAATAAACTATAGGTATCTATCTATATAAATTTCTTATTAAACTATCAAGTTTACCAACTTTTAAGTCAGCACACAGTTTTACTTTGTTTTTTACGAATTATATTAGGGAAAAAAAGGCGAGACTTTCTAGGTGTTCAGTACAGGGGCAACTTCCCCTAATAGGTAACAATTATAAATACCTACATATAAATTCAAATTAATTACACAAATTATAAACAAATTAAATTGACCGTGTATAATTTCGCTCCGTCTAGACAAATCATCTGCCGGTGCACTATTTAATCAATTTCTTGATTCTCGAGTCAACCCCAGGTAAGTACCTACCTTACAAGTAAGTGACAATAACCCAGAAAATCCCGAAATCCAAGAATACATTCCGGCATAAAACCAAACCTGCATCCGCGTACAATACAACAAAATCCGCTGTTCGAAACCAAAACTGAGCCTTATTGTTGAAGAGGATAAAGGTCGCAATTGAGTAAGCCACGCGCGGCCAGACTGTCTTCATTCAACCTTCTATGGCAAATAAAGCCGTAGATAAGGAAGGAAAAACAACGAAACCGTAGATTAGAGAGAGACGGAGTTCCCCTTCCATGGCCTTTGTGATTACACGAAGACTGGTTTAGTGAACGCTCTTAGTGGCATTTCTGTGGAACTGCAGAATGTTTTAAATGTTGTGAAATTCAACCTGGTTTTATAGTGAAAAAAACTAGTGTTTTATTAGTGAATAAATGTGCGCGTGTTAGTGAAATATAACTAAAATATAACACAATTTTGTTTTTTCTTAAAAGGTAAATAAATTATATCAATTTTAAGTCTATTTACAGCGTATGTTGCATAAGATTTGCTAAACGCAACTTGTTGGGTAAATTAAAAAAAAAAAAATGTGACTAGATCAGTTGACCTTTCAATTAATGTGTTCAACATTTCAATTAAAGTCCAATATGGAATTTAAATAAGACATCGAGTATGACTAATCTTTTATAGGATATTAATCAACAAAAAAAGTGCAGACAGGTGAATGAACCTACAAAATCGGTTAGGTATACTTTTTCATTTTTGACGTAGACTTTACATAGCAGGAAAAACTTAAAGAATACTAAAACAAAGCAAGTACTTCAAAATCGTAAGTGGACATTGTTTCGAAAACTATGGAAGCACTTACAAAGAATAACGGGATTCTTTTCTACGAGATTGTTTATGTTTTGAATGATAGGTATATGATTAATAAACTCCATGTGGAAGGAAAATATATGTCAAAGATATTAAAATAAGTGATAAGAATGGTCATGCGAAGATAGTAATACAATTTAAGTTTATGGAAGTGTCCTCATTTGGGTGGCTTTTTTGTTAGCGAAGTCGAGACGAGTAAAAATAAGTTTTGGCGTCTTTTAGAAATATTTTTATGTAAAAAAAATACTATTTTAGCATTTATAAGATGATTTGTATCAAGAATAATTAGAGGTTTTGTTTTTAAAAATATAATTTGTAGCATGAATTTGTCATATAATGAATTTTCTGCTCGTAATACTGCTTATTTTTATTTCATTTAGGTACTTATACCTGCTAGTTTTATAAAAACAAATTAAAACAGACAGAAATCCGCCTTCTTTTGTGATGCCTGTCTCGAATGCACGTAGCAGTAGGGTCAATTCACTGGTTATCCGGCCAGCACTGGATCTCGGCCTTTTTATCGTTTAAGGCCAAATAATAAGAAAATAAAGTGTCATGGGCTTATTGTCAGTACTAAACAAGTTCCCGGCATCTTTTATCTATCCAAAGTGGTAGGGGTTGGTTTGGTATTGTAATGGATAAGCGCGGGAAAAAGGCTTCTTTCTTGTCCTGACAATCAGCAGAAAACACATGCGTTTTAAATGTAAAAGTGCCTAATAGTGTGAATCAACGAAATAGTAAATATTTGATTATTTTTTTATTCCAGGTGCATGCAATATGTTTCACATGGTAGATGAGGGGTTAAACTATGTAAATTTGTGTTACAATTGAGCAAAAACTGGTTTTATAATTAAAATTTCTAGTGGCCGCGAACCAGTATTAAAAAAATATGTTTTTTTAGATCTCGGCCAAAGGGGCCGAGAATTAATTTAAGAAGTAAAGTTTTGATCTTAAATAAAATTATGAAAAACGAGTTTAAATGTGCTTTTGTTTTTATTTTTCTATTTATTTACATGATTACTTTTTAAGTATTGGTTTGCGGCCGGTAAATTAAGTATGAAATGTAGTTTATTTGATTAATAAATATTTTGATAAATGTAGTGGCCAAGAACTAGCGCTTGTCGGCCAACCCAAAAAATGTGGGGCCGAAAACTAATATGTACAGTGATTTTGGTTCTCGGCCCTTTAAAAACCTAGTGGCCGAGAACTAGCGTTTCTCGGCCACTACGAAAAATATGGGGGCCGAAAACTAATATTTACAGCGGTTTTAGTTCTCGGCCTTTAACATGAGTGAGGTTTCTTTGGCGTATTGAAGAGTGAATTATCATAAAATGAGGAAGATTAGAAAAATGCCTTTGCAGGACAGGCTGCTTGCAGTAAGAATTTTGGATGTGTTGAGAAAAACAGGCCCAACACCACTATTTAGCGGTTAAAGGGGAGACAGATGCTTTTGGATACAGTTTCTAAGATAAATGCAGATTCTAATCTCAATTTATTTAAAGGCGGAATACCAAAACATGGTAGATGAATTTCATAGCCGATGGAATAAATAAAGCTTAAACAGCAGTTACATAACAATCTGTGAGAAAATGGTTTCAGAACCTAGAACAATATTTAAATGAGAATATTTTGTGTTTTGTAATCCATCCTAGAAGAGTGTTCAATGAAGAGTAATCAGGTTTCGCACTCCGTCAATCTAGTGGCAAAGTGTTTGGTCTAAAAGTTTTTCGAAATCATAAAAAAAACATTTTTATAATTCTTGTTTAATGCTAAAGGAAAATTTGCTCCTCCACTATATTAGGTCTGTCATTGATAATGTGCCAGGTGCGTTGGATTTTGGGAAAGTCGGAGAAAGTATGGTTGACATGATTTTTTTTTAATTATAATGGCTTTAACAACTGGTTTTTGTGTGGCCGAGAACTAATATAAAATTGGCCGAGAACTGTGAGGGGTGGCTGAGAACCAACAAATACGCACTTTTTTTAGTTTTTAATGTTTCAATACTATAAAGTTAAAAACACAACAAAAATTCATTTCTAGACCACTAGAAAACACTCCAACGGACATTTTTTTATAAAAGCAAATTACAATTTAAAGACTTCCTCTATATCTATTTGGAAGATAAAGTCGATTTTTACGCTAAAAGGCCGAAAACCAGTGCACTGACCCTATGTTTTTTATTTGTAAATCTACAGCTAGGTATCACATTTTCTATTTGAATAAAAGTATGTGTTTATTTTTAATGTAGATCAACAGGTAGGTTTCTAGATATCGTGATCCGTTATTTTTTATTTTGACAAACTCTCGACATTAGCAAGGCTCTCGGAAAGGCTTACTGTGAAACAAAACAATGCATGACAAAAAAGGTAACATAAGTACCAATATACTATTGAAATTTTATGGAAAGCTTGTAGATGCTTTGAAACACTACATATAAACTATTTTGGGTCCACTGACAATTAAAAAATTGTTTTTTTGTTTTACCTTAAAATCATCAAATGTGTTGTCCAGTCTTGACCATAAAAAATATGAATTACCTAAATTATTTAAATTGACTTCTTGTTGTACAAACCTTTCGTATAACAATAAACCATATAAAAAAAGTTCGTAAACGTTTACAAATCTTTAATTTTTGTTTTTGAAAATTCTAAAATAAATATAAAATAATTTTTGTTGTGACAATTAACATTTCTATTTCTACAAATGCGGGGTTGCCAAACATAGTAAGAAAGCGTATATGACAATGACAGTGGTTGTTTGGCAATACGCTAGTTCGGTGTGATGTCATTTTGGTTCCATGTACATTTAATTCTAACCAAACTTTAAAAAAAAAAAACATTTGACGTATACGTTTTTACTGTTTTTAGTTTATTTCTAAATATTGTTTACAGGTCATAATAAATAGTTTAAAGGTATGTAATTGGTAACTAAACGACCCACTATAAAGTACCTCCAGATGTTCCGACTATGCCCAAAATCTCATCAGCTCACCGCAGTATAGATTACAGCTTAAGTTTAAAATTTGGTAATTTTCAAGAATTTTCTTTTCCAAGCGTAAATAACAAATATATTCTATATAAAGTAGAAAAACGACTCATCCATGATGTTTTGACTATGACAAAAATCTAATAAGCCCACCGCAGGATGGATTAAGTTTAAAAATTGGTGTTTTTCTCTGTATCCGTTCAAGAGTTATTGAGTAAGTATACATACACACACAGAAATCATCGCAAAAATAGTCAAAACGGATTCAAGAGACCCCAAACCTTAAAAATCCGTCGAAAAAATCATGATTTCTATACTTTCCTTATTTGTATAAAAAAAAAGAAATTAAAAAACCTAAAATTGCAGAATCTTATAGGTACAAAAAACCTGTAGGTACCTGCCAACCCTGCGTCAGCCTCCTAAGAATTACAATGTCTTGAAATCAAGGCCATTATGACGTATTTTAGCATACCTATACAACAATAATTTTATTAACTGGAATCTCATTTACGCGTTTTCTAAGAATTTAGCAAAATTTAGTGATACATCAATTCTCAAATCACGTTTCAGATAAATAAGGAGTAGATACCCAATTAGTCACCTATCTTTAAATCAACGATTTCAGTAGATTAACTTACTTTCAAACAAATAAAATCAACACATTTCCGATTCAATAATAATTTTGTTTACATTATATACGTTCGTATATTTACAAATTAAGCTACTGTACAATCTGAAGAAACAGTATACATGCATCATATCGGAAACGTGCATTCGGTTCACAAATCTTTCGGCCTGTTTCAGCAATATCGAACCAAAATATTTACTTTGGCGACTTTATTGCCGTGTTTACAATTTTTATTGCCTTCAAACGTTGTTTTACAATAGAGTTGTTAATATTAATTGCAGTTATCCCTTCGTAAACACTGTTTATTTGTTTATTTATTTATTACACCAGATACTATTAGTTTCAATTTACCAGTTGAAGTTGAATTATGATTGGTGCAAAAAAATATAAATTATGTATGATGAGTTTTATCTTTATAACTAAACAAATCAACATGTGTCAAAAAAAATGTAGGTGGGTTAAGTTATCTATATCCCTATGGTTCTGTTAGGATATAACATTGGCGTAACTAAGGGGAGCATTTTACTGATTTCAGGATTTGCAATTTCTGGATAATAAATTTACAATTTTCAAAAATATTTTAATTTAAGGAATATGTATAGTAGAAACGTATTTCGGTGAGATTAAGAGGGTTTATTTACCTATTATATAAAACCATAAATCAATATAGATAAGACAGAAAGAGAGTCCTTCATAAACATTTTTCAACATAATTTTTTCACCGTCAGTTTTGGAGCATGCAGAACTTTTTATAAAGAATTACTTTTTTTTATATAACTAAGAATAAACAAATTTCCCATATGGTTTCGACTTAATTGGACACACTTTATATGAATTCTTAGTCAATCTTATAAAAGCGTAATTATGTTATGTATGTTTGAATACACTCGAAAATTTATTACTTTAAAATATTTATAAACGTCTAATGTATGATTGAGGATTTTAACAGTAGTTGAGAGATTTTCATTGATCAGTTTTTGGAAATTGAAAGCTTTTAGTCAAGGCTATTATGCTCAAACACTTCAGGTTTATTAAAAATCATCGTCCATCGGTAGCACACTTAATTTGTTTAAACATATAAGTCGTATAGTTGATTCCAGAAATAATAAACAGTAACAGAAAGTCAAGATTTTGTGAAGAATGTTGAAAGGCGTAACCTCCGAAATATCAACCGAACTTTGACGCAATGACAGATAAAATTATTATTCACACATTCCATTACTGCCTACTCATGATTCAATTATAAGCACTGAGACAAAACAGTATTTTAACGATTATTAGTTTAACAATGGGCCAAAATAAGAGCCTTGTGGAACATCCGTCTAACATCTGTATTTATAAAGCATTTTTAAATAGTTATCTACGTGTTAAGCGCCAGTTTAAAAAAAGTGCTAATTCTAATAAAATGTACACACATACACATTTAAAAAATTGAAAATACCTTCATTCGCCTCTTTATCTACAAAATAATATAAAAGCTTATAAAAGCGATTACTGTCGTCTTTATTATTTTATATACAAAGAAAATAACGCGGATTAGGAGTAAGATAGTAGCAAGATGTAATGCAAAGAAAAAATCTCTTTTTTTGTTACTCCAATATATCAAATAAATATACAAATTTTAGTAATTCCAAAGGAAAAGGGACAAAATAAAAGATATTAATCTTTTTAAGTGCAACTATCTCGAAAAATAATCTCTAGGAGTTCTCAACAAGAGTACATAATTTAAATATATGCAAGAGGTGTTAGTCATTAATTTCTTCGACCGTCTTTATGTAGAAACACTTTCCTAGTAGACTAATACCATCTTCCATGTTCTAAAATATTTTTGTACGATAAAAGGAGTCAATATGCTCCTTATTTTACAAGACTATCGTCAATTTCATTTCCGTGATTAAGGCTAGACTGGCAAGTAATATTTATAACCTTCAAATACAACGCAACACAATGTTTAAATTGATTTTTTACAACAGGGAAAACAATCCACTTTGTAATTCAAAACAATCAAGTACCCTACTTTCTCGTGTTCATTATTTCAATTTTTACTGAACCGTATCTCTTTTAAAACAACTTTTTATCGTAAACTATATAATCATTTTTTATTATTTTATTATACTATATTTATTTTACTCATTATCAATTATCTTATTAAATTTGCCACAGACAAATGTTTATTGGGACAGAACCTGTCATGTCAGTTTGTGTGCTTTGTTTATTAGATACCTTGCACAAAACGCTGATTAAACGCCTTCCTTCTATTATTAATTGTGTTAATTTACGTCGTTTGTCAATATTTGATAAGACAAGGCATCAGGTCAAGGATGTTATTCCTTATTTGAATAGTTCGTTTAATAAAAAAAAATGCTTTATAGATTTTGTAAATAACTGGAAATAATTATGTCCTAATTTATTCTTTATTGCAATTTACTACATTTTAACCGTTAGATTTATATCAGAACAATTACAACCTCTTGAAGTTTACTAATTGGATGATCTGTTGAGTGAGTAGTTCCAGTCAATGAGAGGCAATTTGCGTAATTAATAATTGAAGATATTGGTGCAAAGAGGAGGCAGCTCCATACTTAGTAAACCAAGAAATTCTGATACAGAGTATATGAAAATAAAGTCTAAAAAAGTAAGCCAAAGTAAAACAAAAGTCAATTCTTTAATATTAAGTAAGTTGAGGCAAGTTATATAAGATGTACGAAGGTGCGCAACATGTAATAATAAAATCGTTACATAAATGATTTTCGGAAGAAATGCCTGATGTGAAATGTTCTGCACGGTCAATAAATACATGGATTCGAAAAATTGGCTTTCGCTTTAAAAGAAGTAGCAACAGACAGTTTTTATTGGAACGAACATCGATTCAGTTTAAAAAATATCGTTTTTGAAAATGTTTAACAAGGAAATAAACCTGGGTAACTTTAAGTCCGTATTATAGATAAGACGTGGTTATATAGTAAGGAAAGTGACAGAAAAAGTTGGAAAGATGGCTACCGATACATAATTGTCCATGGTATTAAGGGTATTATTAATTGATATGAGGTCTCCTTTTCGCTGCAATTGATTGACAACAGCAGTTACTCTACCTACTAAAAACAGAGCAACATAAAATCAATTAACGCTGATATAAAGATTTAATTTTACGAATTTATTTACAATTTTATAACTTTCTTTCTGAAATAATAAGTAGTCATACTATTAAACAGTATGTACAACAGTTTAGTAAATTCAATAAGCTCCTTTAAAATGTTTAATTGGAACAAATGTAAATTGATAAATTTAATTGTTTTAATTGATATGTGTGTGTAACGACCATGACTATCAGTACTTTCTTGTGACTTAATAAATTGTCTGCAAATGACATTCTTCACTACATAATTATCATTAGTGGAACTGGTGTTATATTGTATTTACAAGCTATACAGGGTGTTTTAAATTACCGTAACGAATTCATTAAAATATTTTTAAAATTTTGAACTAAATTGATGATGGGTAAAGTTTTTGGAGTTAAAGTAATGTCGATGACAATTTACAAGATCTTCAAAATGTTGACAGTATCGAACAGAAAAAGTTATACAAGACCATTTAAAACTGAAATAACTTTCGGCTTATAAAATAGAGTTTTACGGTACAAATAAACTAATATGTTAATTGTGACAAGTCAAAATTTAACATAAAGAATTGCTTTTCATAATAAACGTACTATATTTTTATAGAATTTGTTATAGAATTACCACTTAACCTGATCTGACCAAATCTTATGTTATATATTTAATTTTTTATTCAAACTATTTCTAAAAATCACATTTTTTTGTTTCAGAGCACAATACATCTAACTCAAAATGTCTGTCTTTGGTATGGTATCGTCCGTAGCGGGCTTCGTAAAAGTCCGCTACCTTGTGGACAAAGCACTGATTGATAATATGGTCTTTAGAGCACATTACAGGGTAACTTCTGCCATATTGTTCTTGTGCTGTATCATCGTTACTGCCAATAATTTAATAGGTGAGTAAATTTTATATAAAGAATTAAAACAAAATATAAATTATCCGGTTTCTGAATAGGTGTAAACTTTTTATATTTTTATTACAAAAATATCTGATGTTTAAAACACATGACTTTTTTTCTATAAAGTTATCAAATATATCGAGTACGGCCCATCTAATCAAAAAGTCTGTAGAATATAAATTTAAGATAAACATTTATTCGAAAATACTGAAAAAACTCAAATTTTGCACTTTTTCCTCAAATTTCTCCATTACAGTCCATTTTAGAGAAATTATGTATATGATAAAAATTTTAGAGAATAACTCAAAGACAACTCTTGATTAAATTATTTTCTTCTCTAATCATAAATAATAAAAATATACCTTAAAGTAGAAAAAAGCAATCATCAAAAAAGAAAATATGTCAAAATTAATATTTCCTATTTTGTTTATATATAAATGATTTTTCATACTAATTGCTTTGTAACTCGCCTTTTTTGACGTATATCACTGTTAATAAAGTTTCACTTAGGAAGACAATCTGGCAAACAAAAAATAATAAGGAACATTTATTTTTAAATCAAATACATAAAAATTCATAAACAAATATTATATAATCGTATCATTCTAATATTAAATGTAAATATTAGATGTCTAAAGTGTTGCCTGGATGAAGGTAGAACTTTCTTGTTGCCAAACATGGATGTAATTTGAGTAATCTTTGACTTTTGACACTTTTGTCAAAACGTTTGGTTTTGAGAATTTGAGAGTTTACGTTTGAACAAAAAAATAGTTATTTTAAAAATAAATTTTTATTACATTGATACACAGTTGAGTTGTTAAAAATGATCTTTAAAAACTAAACAAATGTAGAATAGCAACCTAGAACTGTTTAAGTCATGTTATTGAGAGCTTTAAGTGTGATCTTGAGTTATATTGTGATTTATGATTATATTTCTGATCAGTTCAATGGGATTTAACTATGCGTGGTAAGGAGGCAATCTGATAATTTCAATTCCTTTTTGTTGGGCCATCTCATCTATAATATATTTTTTGAATATATGTTTATCTGTTATTATGAGTACCTAATTCTGCCTGGATTTGGGAGGACATAATATCTATAGAATCTTGTTTGTAGGTAGGGACTCCTTTAATCAACTATGGTAGGATGCATTATCCAAAACAATAACAGAGTTGGCTGGAATTTTTTTTTTTTAATGTTCTGACACCAATTTTCAAACATAGAACCGCATTCATTTCTTCATGGTAGTCTTTCGTTTTCTTTGACTCCAAACATTAATAAACCATCTGGCACAAAAATTTATTTAATGATATACTTTTGTGCACTATTGTTTTGTCACGTTACAAATAAACTAACCAGTTTTTATTTTATCTCTTTTTTTTTATAATATGAGTTTCAAAGATATTCACCAATTATTACTCATTTAAAAATATTTCTACATAAACATTATTATAAATAATCAATGGGTTTCTCTTAGAAATTCAAGTCCGTATGATTTTCCAACTATAGTAGTAGTTTTTTGCTGTTTTATCATTTAAGAACGATTTCATATTAATAAATAATTATTTGGATTGAATATTTAATTTTGTGGTATTTCTCATTTTATTATCAGTTTCTTTCATAAAAAATACGAGCTTATCTGGTATTTACAATAATTATTAATTTCTTTACCAAAGCAATTTCTTATAAATATTAGCAGTATTTTTATTTTTTCCAAACATTCTTATAAAATTCCTGTAAAATGTCAATTTGACAAGAGGGTATGTTAAAACTTTTTTCACAAAAGTTATGTAACATGTGTTTTTACTGGGCGTTCCTTGTAGGGTTGCCAGACGTCCCGCTTTAGGCATAATTATCCTGCTTTTTAACTTGCGTCACGCCATAGTACGAAAATGTCACGCTTTTTACCTGAATTTTACGCTTTTTACTCAAATACCACGCTTTTTAAATCCAAAGTTATAAAGAAATCTTTGAAGAAGCAAGATCTTATTTTTTGAGAAGTTCCCCAGAATTGTTATATAAAAATATAAACGGAGGAACTTTTTTTTATAGATTTCCACAACAGAAGACCTGATTTGATAAAAATACCTGTTTCTTAACGTAATCCCCAGTAGTCTCTTTCGTAAATCTGGCCACTCTAGTTCCTTGTTATTATTTCTCTCCTATTTTATTTGTAAAGTTATTTTTGACATGTTTACATAAGAAAAATAACTCGTTTATATCAAAATACGTTTACGTACTTCTCTGGGGCAAAATAATGTATTTACGGTTTTAGCAATTTAGACTTTTGTGTTAACAGACACCTTTCGTTCTGTTCCATGGATGAGATGTCTGTATGGAACACCGACCTTGATATTAAACTGGATGGCTATATGCCATAAACCCTATTCCTAATTTCTAAGCCGACTGTCAATTTGATTTTTTTTTATAATGTTCTGAAACCAATTTTCAATTTTAGGGTCATCCATTTCTTTGACTCGAACATTAATAAACCATCTGGCAAAAATCCATCAGTGCTTCCAATGTGGGTTATTATTAAAATATTTCCTTTTCCTGTTGGATTTTTTAATCCACAAGAGACCCCTTCCATAAAGGCTTGTGTTTAGTTTTGATAGAGGTATATTGCCAAATTTTTGTTACTGTATGTCCAGCATTAAGCCGTGTTTTATCTAAATAAAATACATGTTTATGCTGATTCCTTGCGTCCGCTATTTTCCTTAAATAATCATGTCTCCACGCAATGATTTCGGGTTTTTTCGAATGTGAGACTTATCCAATAACTGTATCTTCTTTAGTAATGTTATACACTGTCCGCTTAGATACTCCAGGATAGGTCCCACATTTAGTGGCTATTTCATCCACAGAAAGATTATTAAATATCCACTAGGTCGTTTACGCGTACTTGTGCTTGCAATATTATCGAATACACTTGCCATTTTTATATAACTGTAAAATTATAATACATACTAATACACAATTCCGAACGAATTAAAATACTTCATACGATACGGCTATGAATAATAAAGTCTGACTTATCTGTCAAGAGAAAATGTTTATTACAGTAAACACTATGGAAACACGATTTAATCTAAACGAAAACTTTTATTAGGCCAATTAGATGTATTAAAATTTTCATTTTAACTAGAAATAAGTATTGAAGCTGTACTATGTTTTGCAAATTAAATTACTGCACTCCTTTCTTCTCTAAACCATAATGCTCGTGACTTTTGTTGTCATAGTAATATCATTTTTGGCATTTCTTTATTTTGAGTGATTCTGATTTTGAAAACTGTCAGTAAATGTTAGAAAATTAATTTGGGTTATATTGTTTGCCTTTTCTTCTAATCATTGGATTAGTTCGACCAATTTTGATTTTGGATTACGAATTTTTGAAAGATATTCAAACCAAAAAAGTGTATATAAAGTAGGTAACTTATTTAAAATGTCAGTAATTAAAATGGAGTTTTGCAAATGATCTTCTTCATGCAAAGATTCTAAAGTGGGTACAAAATTTTGAATTTGGTCCGAAAATTAAATGAAAATATCTAATTTATCTTCTTTTATGTTAGAAATTTTTTTATTTTGTCCGAAAGTACAAAAATGATTGTTCAGAACGACCAAACCGAGATTTCAATAATTTTATGACTTAATTTTGTGACATAATTCGTAATGACAACCATTTTTTTAACATTGCCTTTCAAATATTTCTGTAATATAAACTGATTTTCCTCATTCGAATAACCACAAAGTGCGTTTGAATTTCGATACTGATTGATTAAATTTGGCCAATCCATAGGGTTACGTACACTATGAACTGTAACCCCCTAAATCTGGTCTAACAATTATATCAGTCATACTGAAAAAATTACTCAGAAATGTTGGGATCGTGAAGTAATATTTGAACTGAAGGATATTTCACTTGTAATTATTGAGTTTAATAATGATAGCGAATAAAGCTTTACTTGTTGTTTAATTTATTCTATTTATTTATATTGGAAAAAGCATTTTCGAAAGCATCTAAAATTGTATATACAAGTTTAATTAATTATTTCAAATGTCAAAAAATGAAGTTCAAATTAAATATTAGTTTTTTTTTATAAAATGTTTCTTCAGATCCTCGAATTTTGTAGCAACGTGGCTACGTCTACTTTCATGAGTTTATGAGGTGCATTGGAAATGTCATTGCATTTACTATACACTTGTACACAAGTAAACTTTTATCCTTTTCTATACCACAGAAAAGAAAGATATCTGTGACATATGCGGATACATTTATTTACCATATCTTAAGGGTTTAATTTTTCTATTTTTAGTTCAGACCTCAGACATTTTTTGATATATTTCTATTCATTTATAGAGCAATGTAGGTTTAAAATAGACTCGAAAAAAAAAACACCAAACACATGTTACTCCAAATTTAATGCCTCATCCAAAGATCGTATTTCTAAATGTACCACATTCGACAATGTTTACATAATATTAAATCACATCGGAATTTGGGGAACAGACTTTTATTTTGACAACATTACCAGTTTCGTAAACACAATGTAATCTCCTTAATTAATCAGAAAAAAATGGTATACTTATGTGATACATATTGTAAATATGTATAAATTGAGCCGTGAATTTACAACCATTTTGATGGTAATTTAAAACGCTCGATATAATGCATTATTTATTTTGAAAATTACCATTAACAGCATGCAATGCTTGTTCAATAAATGTACATAAATACAGGATGTTTATAAACTTTTGATAGAGGGAAATCTTGTAGTTGAATTCGGAAATAATAGGCAGCAATACAATGTGTAAAAAATGTTATAATTTGTCATTAAACATTTGAGAGGGATAGTTTGTGAGAAGAATCGAACTCTCTTTTCAAAGATATTCTAAATTTATTAATTTTTTTGAAACTTACTAATCCGAGTTCCTAACGTGCATTTCATTGCCTCAATCAAAAATAGTGCAAGTGCAAAAGCTGTAAGTCATAATAAACCTTAATAACATTTTAAAATTTACATCAATCTGCCAGCAAATCCGAAACATTTTATCGACAAGTTTCTGTTATCACTGCACAAAAAGTAGCTGGCAATGTCGACCTGTGTTAATTGCTTTAAGACGATTTCAGATCGCGAATCTACGAAGCCCCAGTGCGATGGGTGTACATTTTTCATGCACGCACTGATTTAAAAGCCGATGATCGTGTCACACTCGCCAAAAACTTCGATGCATTAAAATAGTTTGTAACCGTAGATCAATTTAGCGAAGTTAAGGGTATCCTAGAGACATTTAAAATAAATATTGATAAAACGGTTAATTCTTTTGATGAAAAACTTAAATATATTCATACCTAAACGAACTTAAAACTGAATTGGATAATCGAAATGGCAGTGACGACAGGACTATCAAGTACGCAGACGATATAAAAATTTACGCTAATCCGATTGCGGACTATCAGTCTCTTCAATCTGATCTAAGTGCCCTATCAAAGTGGAGTTCAGACTGGTTATTACCGCTAAACGTTGATAAATGAGTTGTTTTTCATATCGGTAAAAACAATCCTAAATTGATGTATAATATTAATAATAATGCCTTAAAGAGAGTATCGTCCCAAAATGATATCGGCGTTATGATTACTAAGGACTTAACGTGGTCAGAGCATATATTATCAGTAAGCAAACAATCAAACTCTCAACTATTCTTATTAAAAAAGATTTTTGGCAATGTTTCTCCCTCAACATTTTTGAGTACTAGGGTACTGTGGTCCTGTTTGGTGTCCCGTATTAATTTCTGATCAAAATAGGTTGGAAAATGTGCAGCGACTTGCAACAAGCCTTCCGTATGGTATAAGAATGCCACTGTATGAACAGCGTCTGTCTGGGGCTAATCTGACTCTTTTTAGTGAGCGTCGGCGCGTGGTGATTTAATCGTTTGTTTTCGCGCAATTAGACATATGTTCGGTATCGATCTTTCGGATTTATTTGTATTAAATAATGACCTGCGCCTACGTGGACACATGTTGAAATTAAAAAAGGAAAATTTTAACTCTAGAGTTAGGCAAAATTTTCTTTCAAACCGAGTTTTCTCTGTTTGAAATAATTTACCTGATAACGTTGTATGCGCACCTTCAGTTAAGTATGTATATATCTGTATAGAGACAATAAATTATAATCACAACAAATTAAGTAATGTAACTTAACGTAATTTATTGTTTTTTTCTTTCATTTTGTTTTTATATTAATTTATAGTTATAGTTTATAGATTAAAAAAAATTGCTCATTTTTAATTAAATTTTTTTGAATAATATGAGCTTTATAGGACTTCGGTTCTCAGCTCATGTTACTGAATAATAATAATAATATGGTAACTCTGTCAACGTTCTTTGCACTTTCTCGACTTTTAGTTACTGCCTATTATTATCGTAGTGAATTATATTATGGAAACACCCTGTATGCTGTTTTCAACAAAAAAAAAAATTCAAAACTCTCGCCAGTTTGAATTGTAAAAATTAAATTACAAAAAAAATACAATAAAGAGAAATAAAAATAAATTATTTGTCTCTTATTCTTTTTTAATTCAGCTGTTAAAGGCTTTTCTTTTAGACCAAGAATTATTTAGTTATTCTACGGTCTTCACATTTATTAATGAAACAACCTGGAGAAAATAGCACTCAAATAAAAATGTTTTATCTTTCAATTCTTTATTAGTTTGAATTGACTGGTAGTTCAACGATGTTTCTGTCATATAAATTAATTATGTAGATTGATTTAATTATCGTGAAATGTTATACTGGGATAAAATAATTGATACATAGCGATTTACAATGAAGCTAAATTTGTTTAATTTAATTCCTAGATGAAAATTAAGTTCTATAATTGGAAGTGATATACTGACATGTTAATTACCATTATTTTTTATATAATAGTTATTTATGTAATCACGCAACGTGTTGTATACAATGTTTATCTAGTTTTGAGTTTATTTATTGTCTCTAATTTAATAGCGGGTCCAAAGTAAGAGGATGTCAAAAATAAATAACAAGCAGTCTATCATTTTATAGGGATTTCTTTGTGGGTTCCATTTTTTCCACCTCAAAAACATATGTGAACAAAATGTTGCATAACTAAATATTTCAATAAAGCAAACAAAATTGATTTATGGAATTTTAAGAAAATTTTAAAAAATCCCTACGAAATTAAGGAATTAACTTCACATTCCAAAATAGAAACATAACAAAGAAAAATTAAAAAGCTGAGAAATAAAGAAAAATGAGTGCCCCGATCCGTTCAGTAGACTAATATAGTCTACTTATTCGTTCTGTAGTCTGTGTATAGGACAGATAACACATGTGAGGATAGATTTTTTCTTTAATTCATATTGTAAACCCTTTTTGATTAGGTGGGCCGTACTCATAATATTTGATGAATTACTGAAAAGTCATGTGTTGGGCACATTAGATATTTTATAACTAACCGTCTTATTTTTTGTTATTCAGGGTTTAAAATTTAATGAATAAGCTAACCTCAGACCTGTAAAACATTTGAAAATTACCTACAAAAAAAATATATTATTTTAAAATTCGAAAGACTTAAAATTTATTATTTTGCACTGTTTTGAGGAAGAAAGAAAATTACAAATTTTGTTAAGCCGACCTGGATTTTTATTATAGTTTCTATGCCATTATTTTTGAATTTTTATATCTAGTGGTTCTTGAGTTTTGGCCAAATAAAAATTTATACGAAATCCATAAAACTAGCTAATATCTAGATAATGATACCCATTAATAATAGGTAATTTTGAATCAATGAAGTGTCACATTCTATATACCTCCAATTTTTTTTATTAAAATCTATTTTTAGGTGATCCCATTCAATGCATAAACGACAGAGGTGTACCGGGTCACGTGATAAACACGTATTGCTGGATAACGTATACGTTCACGTTACCGCACGAACAAGGAAAACAAGTCGGTACCGAAGTAGCGCATCCAGGTCTGGGGAACGAAAATCAGGAAAAGACGTACCACAGTTACTACCAATGGGTTCCTTTCGTCCTATTTTTTCAGGTAAGAGAACAATATTAACAGTAACATTTTAATAATTTTTAATTATTGCTTTTTAAATATACAATAGCTACGTCTTAAAATAATAATAATAATAATATTCGTATCCTACGTGGCTAAATTGATGTCATCAGTAAAAGTAACATTAATAACTACTATTAGTAAATGAGCTATATTCGTACGGGCTTACAGTTTCAAAAGTCTATGCTAGAAGGTACTATCTGTCAGTCTTGAGAATTGAAACTTGGATAGTTTGCAACTCGGCTAAGCGATCCAAGATGGAGGCAATCATTTACGTGAACGAGTATAGATCAACGATAAAGAGAAAAATCATGCGCAATGGCAAAGCCGAAAAGGTACCAATTATTATCTCAGTTACTATTAATCCAATTCAAACGGAAAAAACAGCGTTATGAATGGGCGCAACATAGATTAACGTTGATCTATACTGAACAAGGATATGGCGATGACATAGTTATCCTTATCCGAGGGAAACACCAAACAGCAGTCTTTGAACTCATGCAAAGAGCTGTGGTGCGTTAGGGAAAACCTCTTAGTAAACCCTGACAAGGCACAACTTACAACCTTTACTTGGAAAAGAAGGTTGGAGGTTTTAGAAACTCCGACTCTGTTTGGAGGAAGGCTAAACGAAACGAACCAAATAAAATATCTGCGTCTAATCCTAGATAGCAAACTTACTTGGAACCAATACTTACAAAAAGTGACTAACAAATGTAAAATGTCTCTCATTGCAGGGAGACGGGCATTTGGAAAAACATGGGGATTAAAACCAAAAATGGTCCACTGGCTATATTTGGCAATAACAAGACCCATGATAACTTACGGAGACCAAAAGTAAACCTGAAAACAGCCCTCAATACTCTCAGGAGTTCAGAGACTGGCATGCCTTTGTATTACAGAAGCACTGAGAAGTACACCGACATCCTCCATGGAAATCATTCTAAACCTCCCACCCCTTGACCTAGTCATAAAGGGGGAGGCCAGAATGAGTGAATACAGACTGGAAATCTCCAACAACTGGAACCCACTGGGACATATAAAACATACCAGAATAACACATGAAGTAAATGATTCTATATTAAACATGGGATCAAATCACATGACACCCCTCCTAACCTTCAACAGACTCTTCCAGGTCAACTGCAACTGGAACGAGGTAAATAAGGAGATAGATAAATACTTGCTTAGCGGTCCCGTATGGTATACGGATGGATCTAAAACTAACAAGGGAGAGGCTCTGGCGTACATGGAGTTAAACCCAAATGCGACATCATCGTCTTACTGGGAAAACATACCACATGCAATTGAATTGTGTGTACGAGAGAATTTAAAAATGAAGTACAAAAGACAAACCATCCTAATTCTCTTAGATACCCAAGCAGCCTTAAAGGATCTTGATTCAAACAGAATCAAGTCAAAGCGTGTCTGGAACTGCCTTGGAATACTAAATGATCTGCCACAATAAGGTAAAACTAGCGTGGGTACCAGAGCACAGAGGTATCCAAGGAAATGAAAAGGCTGATGAACCAAAGAGGAATCAGATCTACTATTCACAGGACCCGAACCTGTATTTGGGATAAGCAAAACATCTGCTCGACAGGCAGTGAACAGGTGGATAATCAATCACGAAACACCAAATTCACTGGCAACAGATAAGGGCACAGAATCAGTAAGCTCATGCTAAGGGGACCAAACCCACTACAACTCGCAAGGCCTCAGATATCCATCATTGTGGGATTACTAACGGGGCACTGCTTGCTGAAACACCTTCATGTGATGGGATTACACAATGATCCCACTACGTGGAAGAGGAAGAAACCTCATACCATGTGATATTCGAATGTGAAGCTCTTACTAGGCGACGTTTTATCCTTTTTGACCCAGAACCGGAAAGAACGCCCCAGGAACACTTGGTAGAGAATTTATTAAAACTAACCAAAGACACAGGACTATTCCAAAGACAGTACCTGAATACGGGGAAAGCAGGGAATACAATAGACTCAAGAGGCCGCAATGTTTTGGGTCAAACCTGCTTATAACCGATAAAGATTGATCCAATTCAAACAAAAAATCAACATTATGAAGGGGCGTAACATAGATTAACGTTGTTCCCTACTAGTGGGGTTATGATGGACAAGTAATGTTATTTTTAACAGATACGTTATTTTTGAACAGGTTGTAATTTCTGTGTTTATAAAATAACAGACCTGTTAAAAATAACACAGGTTGTCAATCATAACCCCCTATAGTTCGCGTAAATGATGGCCGCCATCTTGTTTTAATTCTTAGCACTGACAGGAGGCGCCATCTAGCGGTGCTTTTTGGAACTGTAGTCCGTACATAGCTCATCTACTAAGTTGCCTTAAAAGTCACTAAGAACGTCTATTTTCATTAAATTTCTTATTTGACCAGATCACGTGGGTACGGGTATTGTTGAAGATTTGGCAGAAAGGTTTTTAAATTGTTATTTATATCGAAAAAAAAAAAAAAAGAATCTGTTTTCATTAAATTAATATTTATGTAAATTCAAACAATATTAAACGAGTTTTTTAAGTATATTATGCTTATCTAAAAGGAACCAAGCGACAAATTGGTAAGAATGAGTTAAAGACACAAAGCGACAGATAAAGGTTTAATTTACCTTGTATAAAACGTTCTAATTAAATACTCTACTCTAGTACCATCTTTTGGCCAAAAATATATTCACACTCATGTTTGTAGGTAGCTTAACATATTTATAAAATTGTGCCTATGATAACATATATTAGAGAGTTATTGCAAGTTCACTTAAGGTCAGTCACTATTAGTGCCGCTCTTATTTTGACATCTGAGCATGCGCATATCACTGACTTTAATAAAGATTTAGGAATAGGGCCGAAAATAGTAAAACTGTACGTAGATGCCAAAGAGGACACTTCGCTGAATATCTGTTGGACATTCTTTAAACTTATCACCAATTGCATTTTATTAACTTTCAAGAAATTATTGCACAATGGAAAATCTCTAGGGAGTAATGCCTGGACTCTTTGAATTTTCCAAACAAGTATATGTGAAACATTAAACGTTGCCGCGATTTCCTCGTGCTAGTTTCGGGGTTCTCCTCAATTTCATGTAAAATACTTCTTCAAGTTCCAGTGTACTTTATCGTTTATCCCTGTGTTTATCGGTCTAGATTTTTTTTTTGTGAATCACTTATAAGTTTCTGATTTTCTCATTTGGTATCTACTAATCTATTTACAGGGCATCATCTTCTACGTGCCGCATTGGGTATGGAAAAACTGGGAGAACGGCAAAATTCGCATGATCACCGAGGGAATGAGAGGCTCGATGGTGGGAGTAGGAGAGAAACAGGAGAGAGAAGATAGACAAAATAGACTGGTGCAATATTTGATCGAAACGATGCACATGCACACTTCCTACGCGTTCGGATACTTCTTTTGCGAAGCGCTGAATTTCGTTAATGTGGTAAGTAAACAATGCAATATTATGTTGATGACAAATATACTACAGGGTGTCTCGTTTAAAATTAACATCACAATTCATATCCTCTTTCATATTTCGAAAGAAGATCTTTTTATAAAATTGATATTTAGCCAAAATCGGATGTTTTCAGTCTTATTAGACAGAAACGCCTTATATTGAGCAGTGAATATTACGTTTCTTTGTTACTTTTGTAGAAAATCACCACTTGTGCCGATAAATACAATACATTGCCAATAATCGTCTCAGTTAACATAATTCAAGCATTTTTGGAAATGTGGTGTTTCTGAAAGAAAGCCTTCAATCAGATATTTGGAAAAAAATTGAAATTTAGTTATAGATAACTATCTGACTTTTGATAAATTATCATAGTATTATATCCTCCATCCCATAGTGACAAAATGTTTGTTGCATTCAAAATGAACGCTTCTTCTTCTTCTTCTTTCTTATCTTTTATTTTCTAAATAAGATCTGAAAATACTTCAGTAGCGTAAATTTTCAAGGGTTTTACCGTTTTCATCTATAAACATACCGATAATTTTTAGAAATATATATATATTTTTTTTATTTGTTAACGCTTTATGAAAACTAGCTAGTCAAATTGATAATACGTTTTGTTTTTGTGGAACTATCCGATTATTTTAAATACGGTTTTTGGAATGTTTATTCTAATTTTATCAAATAAAAAAATATTTTTCAGCATGACGATGTATTAAAATTTAGGATTTCAGTTATTCCTAAATAACTCGATAATGACCCTAGATTTGTGAGATATTTCCATATACTATTTCTGTCCTAATTAGGCAACATTTTTTCTATTTTAACTGAATTTGTATATCTAGAAGTTACAAGTTTCCCATGCTCTACATCCACACGTCGGACACACTGTATATTATTTCCTCTTTAGAGGTTTTGAGCCAAAAAAGCTGCATTATTCTATTAGTGTAGGATAAGGATAAATAATTTCTAGGCAGTCTAGGGGATTTAAATAAAAAAAACTTAAATATTATTTCTATTTCTAAAAAAGGAAAATTAACTGTTCAATAGCAAAAAATATGCATTTTTTTCAAGACGAACTAATTCGTTTTTTCAAAATTAAGATATATCCGGTTTCCGAAATATTTTCAATAATTTCCTTTATTTTTATTTAACGCCTTTTGAAAAATAAAAAAACGAATTATTAATCATTTTTGTTAAAGATCAAATACCGCATAACATAGCTTAGTCACATTTTCAAAACGACGTTTCGTCTTTAAAGCGCCTCCATCAACAATTTTTTTTTAATACGGACCTGTAATTTTTATTTAATTTTTGAAATCTCCATTTTTCTCTCTCCAATCATCAATTAATTATGGTATTACACTTAATATTTTTAATTAAATTTTAGGAATTTTTAACCTAAATCTTTTTTTCAAATAATTATCAGAAAATTAAAAAAAAAAAATAACAATTGAAATAAACAACTATTGAATTGTCTAAGTAAATAGAAATTATAATTGTGCGCTTAGACTCTATGAAAATTTAAATCCAAACTGTGCTTGAAAGCAAAGTTGGTCAAAATGGTTTAAAAAATTAAAATAACGAGGACCGTACTTACAAAAAATACCAAAGAATAACTCATTATCAAATTAAAACAATTTTTTTTTGTGGAACAAAAAAAGAAAAAATTACAGGTCCGTATTTAAAAAAGCGAGGCCGTTGAAAGAAAATTGTCAAATATTAAAAGAATTGTTAAATCCCTATCTATCCTATAAAAATTTACGTCGCAAGAAATATGATGAAAACCCGTCAATATCTTTTTAAAATTGAATGTTTATATTAAGGAAAGCATATTAATTATGATTTTTACGTTTTGACTATTTTCGCGATGGTGTCTCTATGTGAGTGTGAACGGATACACAAAACACCAAATGTTAAACTTAAGCTTTATTACGGCCTAAGGTATGCTGATTAGATTTTGGGTATAGTCGGAACATCTGAGGGAGTACTTTATAGGGGTCGTTTTCCTACTTTATGAAATATATGTTATTTAGGCTTGGAGAAGAAATTTCTTCAAATAAAAGTTGCTTACAATGTTATTCTCTATAATTTTTGTTCTATAGAAAATTTTCTTAAAATGATCTGTATTCGAGAAATTTGACGAAAGTGAAAAATTCTATTTTTAAGAAAATTGTTCAAATAAAAGTTGTTTGTGATGTCATTCTCTATAATTCTTGTCCTATACATAATTTCTCTAAAATGGACCGTATTCGAGATATTTGAGAAAAAGTGCAAATTTCAAAGATAACTCAAAAAACGGATAAAAAGAAAAACACCAAATTTTAAATTTAAACTTTAGTCCATCCTGCGGTAAAATGATTAAATTTTGGGCATAGTCGGAACATCTGGCGGGTACTTTATAGAGGGTTGTTTTCCTACTTTATGTAATATAAATTCTTTAAATAGAAGTTGCTTGCAATGTTATTCTCTATAATTTTTGTTGTATAGATAATTTTCCTAAAATGGACCGTATTCGAGATATTTGACAAAGAGTGCCAATTTCAAATTTTGATTATAACTTAAAAACAGATAAAGAGAAAAACACCAAATTTTAAACTTTAATCCATCCTGTAGTGAATAGATAAAATTTTAGGCATAGTCGGAACATCTGGAGGTACTTTACAGAGGATTGTTTTCCTGCTTTATGAAATATGTTATTAAGACTTTCTTCAAATGCAATGTTAATCTCTATAAATTTTGCCCAATAGAAAATTTTCTTAAAATGGTCCGTAATCGAGAAATTTGACAAAATGTGCAAAATTCGAATTTTTAAGAAAATTATTTAGTCAAAAATTGTTTGCTATATCATTCTCCATAATTTTTGTTTCATACATGATTTTCTAAAATGAATCGTAATGGAAAAATTTGAGGAAAAGTGTAAAATTAAAATTTTTCAGTATTTTCGTTGCAATTAATATATAAAGAATGTATGTATTTAGTTCGTCCTTTAAACATTTACAAGGGTGATACAATAGGTTGTACAAAATAACCGGAAAAACCCTGTAATAACTAGACAGGAAAGTCACCTGTTGAATACATCAAATTTTTACAGTACTCTCATATTTTATAGAATATTTATAATAAAATTATTTTCAAAAAACGCTTTTTTAAAGTTTAATTACTCAAAACTGGTTTTTGAAAAAAACATATTTGCAGATAATTTGTTTCTAAAAAATGTATTTTAAAAGTAATTATCGGTTGTCTCTCTTTGACAGCCCATGATGGTAATAGTGTATTTTTTTTTTAAATTCGCCTGTTTTGTATTTCACCTAGTTTTAAACTGATTACATCTGAGATTGGAATTTTTCTTTTTATAATTTTTTTGCTTCTATCTAATAAGTTTCTGTCGTCTTCCACTTCAAACTTCTATATATAATATCTTTTTCTCGATGGTATCTGCTTTGCCAGCGCCATTTTTGATATCCTGATAACTTCTTCTATCCTCAATGTCTGAACCATCTAATCCGTACGATTATAGTTTCTAAAATTTCTTATATATCCAGGTTTGTTGTTCTTTTCCATATCAAATGCACCTAATTTTATTTTTTCTTCTAACCTCTGATGCTTCTTTATTTTTCATCATTATTGTTTTGACGATTTTTTATGCAACTACTGTACGTTTAATTTATTTTACCCTTAAGGGGGTGTCCTATTTCCTATTTCCCGTCGACAAATTTATTTGAATTTATTCATTCGTTTCTAATATTTTTTCAGTTTTCTTATTCTATTGATATAATAATTCTAATTTAAATGAACTATCTTGAAAAGTTTAAAATAATGGATTTTTCTTATAACGTATAAAATTCTAATTATTCAAATCAGTCAATAGCTTTATTTTATTATTAACATAAATACTGCGTTCATCAACAACAAACTAATAAATTATTATTGACTGCAATAAAGATTGCATTCCTTCCTTGCTAGTCCCAATTTCCATTTTTATACAATTGCAAGGCTAAAATTAAAATTTTACCTTTTGCATTTGTATAAATAACAAAAAAATGGAACATATATTCACTGCAGATTAAGCTTATCTATAACAATTAACACACATGGTGTTATTTTACAACTATTTAGATATGCCTACCTAGCTAATTTCATATTCGATAAGATGACAGTATAAAATCACACCCAAATGTACTGAGTGGTTAACAAAAAAAGGTTAGAATCATGTAAAATTATTTCGTTTATTTAAAGGATTTTTTATAAGGATAGGTAGGTATTTTATTTAAATATATACTGAAAAACAGTTCCTTATTTTTAACAAAAATCTATGGGTGTCCTCCTATAAAATAATACATTTTAACAGTTTATAATTTTTGAACGCCACAAAGACCAATCCATTGTACCCGAAGTTTTTTTTTTAAGTCTAGCGATTCTATATATCGATCTCCCCTGGGGTGGGGGAGTGAAGTAGGGAGGGGGAAGGTGGGCGGTCCCGCTTTTAGTTTTTTCTATCCCTTGCCATTTAGGCGTTGAAGAGAAAGGGGGAGTTGAAAGGGTTAAATAAATTTGGCTCAAAATCGGTGTAAGACTTACAAAAAAGGTCAACAAATCTATTAATAATTTCTCAAAGTAATTTTCATTGTAGCGCATTCTGCTGGACAAACGAGTCAAGTGTATTTTATTTGAAATAAATGACCAAAATTTGGCGGGATTGGATGATATTTCATCTTCAGAATTTGGCGGGATTAGATGATATTTCATCTTCAGATTTTTTTAATAAATTGTTTATAGGCCACTTTTTATGATTGTCCTTAATCTTTTATATTCGTCGAAAGCTAAAATATCATTATCAGATTTATATTTACGCCAATTTTTTCCCTTTTTAAGAATATTTCGAATGATATTACCATTAAACCATGGCGGATATTTTGTTTTAGAGGGTATGGAAAATTTTGGTACGCACAAGTCAAATATGTTGTATAATTTTCCGTAAAAGTAGGAGCAAGCGTCATTGGGGTCCTGAAACACTTCTAAAAATTGCCAGTCAACTTTTGATAAAATGTCATACATCCCTGGGAAATTTGCTTTCCTAAAATTATAAGAGTGCCGAAAAGAGCTTTCAAATCTCTTATTTACTTCTGATATACCAAGAGCATTACAAGTTATGTCAAATGATGGGTGATACTTATCTTCCGCAACTAATGGATCCAGAGATCTCAACCAAAATAAACTTATTACATAAAACTAAGTCTAAAATTTTGTGATATTCATTATATACAAAATTGTTTTGTGACAATGCAAAGAACTCCATGAAATTGTTAAGTAATGAGATATGTCTATTACAAAAGGTAGAATTAAGTAGGTGGGATGCATAATCTGTAATGTTAAAGTCACCTACAACCAAGAATGACGCATTATATAAAAAATCTAAAGTTCCAAAAGATTCAAAAAAAGTTTTCGTAATCTGTTAGTGTAGTTTTAGAGGGTATATAAACATTAACAATATATGTAGAACTAAAATTAACTATTAACTTGACAATAACAATATCAATTAGACCAAACCTAGGAAATGAATAATATTGTCCATGTCAGTTTGAATTTAAAGGTTGCTCATGTTCGCCATAGGCTAATTTAAATTTAGTTGTTAGATTGAGTTTGAAGTAGATGAATTGTAGATTGGAACTTGTTTGAAGAAAAATTACAAATATAGAAAAAGTAAAAGAATAATTTAATTAATTAAAAAAAGAATGAAACATAATAGAAAAGGAGATCCAATAAGAGGAATCGTGATAGTAGTAACACCAGCAGTGATCACAGGAGAGAGGGCAGATAAAGTTGAAGATTTTAGTTGGATTTAAAATTTTTTTATATCCCTAATATTAGTAAACAGTATCAAACACTTTGAGAAAATAAACTCATTCCTTATCGAGGTTGATTTGTCATCAAAAAGAAGTTTCCATATCAATATACGTATAAGTAAGAATAAAGCATTCTAGTCTAGATTTTTATTTCCAGATGATGAACATTTTCATGACCGACAAGTTCCTAGGCGGTGCCTTCATGACCTACGGCACCGACGTCGTCGCCTTCTCAAACATGAACCAAGAAAACCGCACGGATCCCATGGTGCAGATCTTCCCGAGGGTTACGAAATGCACCTTCCACAAATTCGGTCCCACCGGAACCATCCAAACTCACGACGCCCTCTGCATTTTGGCTTTGAACATTCTGAATGAGAAAATTTACATTTTCCTGTGGTTTTGGTTCATTATTTTGGCTGTGCTTAGCGGTTTAGCTATCGTATATTCGGCCGCCGTCGTGTTGCTGCCTAGCACTAGGGAGACTATTTTGAAGAGGAGATTCAGATTCGGTGTTCCTAATGCCGTGGAAACCATCGTCAGAAAGACGCAGGTATGTTTCGAATATTAAAAATTTTACCATAAATTTCGTACCAGCACATTTGGAGTAACATTCTAATTGGTGGTACATATAATGTACCGGCATTTTTTGTGTTAGATGTACCACTCAGAAAACCCCTTAAATATCCACATATTTATAAAAATAATCATCAATTCCTTACCACCACTCTACTTTAAATTAAGTAACATTCCAATTAGTGGTGTATATATGTACCATCAAAATTTTTTGTGGTGCGCATATTTACCACCTAGGGAAAAGCCTGACATTCATATATTATAATTATTTCCGTAGCATATGTACCAGTCATATTTACATATTTCTAAAAATAATCAATTTCGTTCCACCATATTTAATTAATATTTTAGAGTGATTACTATTCTAATTGGTGGTACATATATGTGCCATCAAAATTTTTTGTCACGTATATGTACCACTCAGGGAAAAGCATAATATATTAATTTATTATGATTTATTTCAGAAACATGTACCACTCAAAATTATTATATTTACATATGTCTAAAATAATCATCATTGTACCACCAAATTTAATTAATATTTTGGATTCAGTAATATTCTAATTTGTGGTTCTTATGTATCATCAACATTTTTGTGGTATGTATATGTACCATTTAGAAAAAAAAATCTAAAATATCCACATATTTATAAAAATAATCATAAATTTCGTACCACCACACTAATTTAAATTAATATTTTGGAATATGAAACATTTCAATTAGTATATACCAGCATTCGATAAAGGGTTAATCTAAAAATAAATTACTCTGCTAGACGCAATCGCAACTGGATCTCAAGACCATTCATTTAGATTGTTTTGACATTTCAAAGTGGTAAATTAATCTTTTGGAGTGAATAAAAATAATTTTAATTGTCCCAAGGTCATTAAAACGAGCCTTAACGCTTTCGAGCCTATTGGTATACATATGTACCATGATGGACTGTTTACTTCGATTTTGTACCACATCTTGTTTTTAAATAATTAACAATAAACTATTTATGATGAAATTAAGATTTCTAAATTGGTTGGTGCAGATATGTACCACATTTAAAGACTGTTTGAGACTTTTGGTATACTATTGTACCACCATCTTATTACAACCCTTGTGTTTTTAAAATAAACTAAATGTTGGATGTTATTTGTAGTCTTGAAAGGAATAAATGTAGATGCTTAATTTTTAATTATTTTTTAGGTTGGAGACTTCCTGCTGATTCATTTGCTTGGACAGAACACCAACCAGCTGGTCTTCAGCGAAATATTGGACGAATTTGTCAGAAGATTAAACTTCGGCAGCAACAGCAATTTACCTTCGGCGCCTAGTACGTTAGAAATGAGCCCCATTTATCCGGAAATAGAGAAATTCAAAGAGACCGAAGCTTGATATGCGACATAAATGTATAGGCGGGACCAGAAGTGCAATTATTGCAATAATTGTGCTTTTACTCATATACGTCAGTATTTTTTTCATTTAAAAAGAATTATTTTCTGCTTTTATTTTTGTAAACTGTTTATGCATTGTTTTTACAATTTTTTACAACGAAATTAGGGGATTTTTGATTTAATTTTATATTTTAAATAATTATATTTTATTATAAGGATCGAATTTTATTATATTCATTTCGAATCGCCATATCTCTAGAAAATAGATCTCTAAATTTTTTTTTACCCTCTTATATGATTATGTAATCGAGATAAGTAGGTAACGATACTTATTATGACTTTTTTAATAATTAGGGACCAATTTATATTATAAGATACGGAGTTGTTCTTTATGTAATTGCAATAAGAGTGTAGCTAAGTGCTTTATCAATAAATATTTTTTAATAATACCAGTTTTTTATTTATTAGTTATTGAATATGATAAAAATATTTTAAAAATAATATCTTCGGTTATTCCTCGCTTCTAATAATGTTAATTTATCTCACTCTAATGTTATTATTTTAAAACTAACTTTAAAAGAAATTCAACTTAAACGTTGAACATTTCAAATTTTTTATCTCGCTCTGATCATAAGAATGTTTGAAGTCAAACAGAGAAAGGGCAAAAATTATTTTAATATCGGTAACACAGAAAAATGGTGACATCATTTGGCATAGGCGTTATAGTATTAAGTGTTATTTATAATAACTAGAAGGTTTTAAAAATGTAGTAAAAAGAAATGAAATAATAAATTATTAGACTTACCTGTTTCCCCAATCTATTTTCTGTATAATTTTGAGCTTCAAATCTATGGTCTGATCGTGGGTTAACGTTCCTAGCACTAGCTGCCTTCTCCATTCTAAAAGATCCCGCATTACTTTGCCTACTGTTTCGAATTTGTAGTGATTTCTTTCCTATAATAGAAGAAAAAAGTATCATCAGCAAAAAATTGTATAGCGCAATTATTAACCTGTTTGTATGAGTCAGATGTGTATATTAGAAACAAAAGTGGGCCTAAGACAGAGCCAGATTCAATATGGATCGAAGAAGATATTTGACCATCCACTAGTAGTCCATTTAAAATAACGGTAAAAGGTCGAGAAACGCCGCACTTGACGAGACCACTTGTCCCCTACGTATTTTGGGGCGCTGATTACGAAAATGAGGGTTAAAACTGGCAACAATGGTTGGAACACCCCTAAAATTGCAAAAAAAACACCCCTATCCAGGGGTGTTTTTCGACTGTACTTGTTGTTTTGCAAACTAAGTCATCTTATATGTTTTTTGGGGCGCTTATTACGAAAATGGGGTTAAAACTTGCAACAATGGTTGAACCACCCCTAAAATTGCAAAAAACACCCCTAAGTAGGGGTATTTTTGACTGTAGTTGTTGTTTTGCAAACTAACTCATCTCATATGTTTTTTTGGGTCGCTGATTTCGAAAATCGGGGTATCGAGACTGGAAAATTTGTGACACCCCCCACATGCCAGAAACACCCCTCCCAAGGGATAAACCAATTTTCCGGTTTCTACTTACCACGAAAATTCCTTTCCATATCCTGCCCCATTCCCTTAGCACCAACGTAACTTCTCTGACGATCGGATCTTCAAGGGGAACGATGCTTTCGAACAGTCCCTCATTGTCGACCTTGCAGGCCTTGAGGTGTACGTACGATTGCGGGAATATGCCCTTGTGGGCACGATTTTTCGAAGAAAAGCCCCGGTACCAGCCCTGACATTCTTCTAGGATTTGAATGGTGTCGCCTATTTCAAGAGGAAGGCCGAATTTCGTCTCTCCCTTCCAGTTGTAGATTGCTAAAAATAATAAACAAAATTAGTTATATAACAATAATAAAATGTCTTTTTCTCCGCCCATGTCAGTAAACGTTAAAAATCGCACTGTCAACATTCCATGTAAATGACATTTAACAAGAACATGCATGTAATGAGATCTCATAACATACACGTGCGTTTTGATAAGAAAACTTAAATTTCTTAGTTTAATCAAATTGCAATCAAATATTATCTACGTTCGAATTTATTTGGTCTATTTACATAAATTTAGTGTATTGAAAAACATAAAAACTTAGTTTTAGCGAGATACATTTTGAATTAAAAAAGTGATGCCCCTAAATGTCGGCAACACATTATACATTATACAAAATATTGTATTCGAACATTTTCTTAACTTTACGTATGAATATATTATCTGTTAGTAGTGAAAGTGATGAAATTATAAGCACTCTAGCAGAAATTTTAGAAAAAGCTCAAGCTGCCATACATAATTTGTTACCACTAAAATCCAAAAAATGTAATAGAAGAAAATAAATGGACGTAGAAAAAGTATAGTACGTTACACGAGTTGTAAGCCCATTACGCACTCGAGAAATTTCTTTCTTCTTTCTCACTTGGTGCGTAATGGGTTACTTACAACTCTTGTTACGTAATATACTATTATTTGCTTGAAATATACAATACACACAAACATCATGAGGCAAAGTCTAGCCTGCGCTACTCAACTTAACCTCAACATAAATATAAACTTAAAAATATATAACTTACAATATACAATAAATTTATGATTAAATAATGTTAACCCTGTATTTAATCTAAAATGAAATCAATTTAGGTCCTAAAATCCGTTATTTTTAAAATGCAAAAACAAGAAAAATGTATGGAACTTAAAATACAATTGAATAAGAAAAAATGTTTGAAATTAATAACATAATTTTTTAATATTACATATTTAATATCATCGTCATCTAATCCTTTTAAAATTATAATTTCTAATGGCTTTTTAATATTATGTACTATTATAGATAACAAAAAACTGTAATTTAAAATTTTTAAAATGAGGTTAGAAATAAGATTCAAGGACAAACTGTCCTAAAGAGAATGACTTGCAAGATCAAATAGAGTTTTTCAATCCCAAGGAGAAATAGTCGAAATCAAATATCTCTGTTCCTAGACATAAAAATATATTTATTTTCTAGCATAAAGTAGGTACAAATACCACTTTCAACAACTCTTAAAGAGAACGACATGAAGTGTACCTAGGGGTTGTAGACATCTTAAGAAACGGAGTTGTTTTTAAAGAACTCGAAAAATGACTTTTCTTTTGAACTGAACATTAATTTTTTCTTTCCGTTATAACCCCTACCACTAACACAGGAAAATTATGAAACACATCACACTTTAAAAATATTGTTTAGTTTTCTTGAGAGCTAAGTTTAAAATTAATTAGATTTTTTTAGGAATTATATTTTGTATGCACTATATCACGTGACATATCGGAACATTGCAAAGTTGAATAATTTTTAAAATTTTTCGTTTAACGATTTTGTAAAAAATTGTCCAGATAAACATATTTCGAGGTACGGCCCTTAATTTATATGGCTATGTAGGCATTTGGATACCCTTCTTTATTACTTGCGTGTTCAAAACTTTTTCTATAGCTATAATAATCTCTTCTAGATACTTTATACTGTTAACTTACTATCTAATAAAAATAATTTTGTTAAAAAAAAAATTAAAAAACATCGTACACAATTGACTCTATGTAGTTTTATTAATTATGATTTAATAGTAACCAAAACTTTCACATTCCAACAAGTAATGGAAAACTATTTTTAATTTAGATGTACGTACACCTTTATGTGAGTCATACTGGAATTTCCAATTTAAAATATTTACGATCGTAAACACAAATAAATATATCCCGATAGACTGAGAAAACATCCACTTTTTTAATATTAATTTTTGAGTTCAAATCTTAGTCATTATTTTAATGCTATGTCCAACCGGCAAAATATTTAAGTAAATCAGCCATTTTTTTAAATCCACGAAGATCTAATGCCTTCCCACAAATTTCCAGCAGATTTAGATAATAACTTTTGAACTTTATGTTATTAAAACTTCATTTCAATAAACTTAAAATGTTAGTAAGTTTATTCATATCATTCTTATGATTAAAATAGTCTAAATTTTGAAAATTAAAGAAACCAAAAGAGGTTAACGACTGTGTTAAATGTTTGATAAATCATCGTTCTTATTTTATTAAAAATTAAAAAAAAAATTAAATTAAAGTTGTTTCTTCCACTTTGTTAAGTCATTTTGGTATTTTTTTTACATTTGGAGAATGCAGGAGTGCGTTTAGAAACCTCGCACGGCGCGTCTCACCACATACATTAGAATAGGGTCCAGACGCGCCGTGCGTGGTTTCTAAACGCACTCCTGCGGTAACAGCGATGTCGATGTCAAGTGTCACCTGTTATTACTGATATGTCAACAGGACAGGAATTCCTATGTGCGAACTCAACACGTTACGTGTTGAATAGAGAGACATTACATAAGAATCACATTCTGTCGAACGAAGATAGAAGCTTCTCAACACGTGTCGAATTCAAAGATGAGAATCCCACTGCTGGTGACAAACACCGCCTCAATTTTTTTAATCGTACTGGCTAGCCGACTGCCGACGGTAGTTGAATTTAATAAAACGAAAACCGTCTTCCGGCGGCATGGTCTTCTCACATATAAAATTCTAAATTGATTTGTTGATGAGGGCGGCAGGCTATCAGAGTATTGATAAGGCCACCGAACGACGGTCTACTGAATTTGAAACATTAAATGCCGCCGGAAAAAAACTCGCGTATCGAAGACAACACTAATCATTTGTAATTGCTGTGGTGGGAGGTGTTTGTGTGAATGCGTCTTGTTTGTTTTCATTTACGCCGTGACTAGCAGTAGTATTTTATAAATCTTAGAAGCAAATTTCACATACATGAACAAATAATAATAATAATAATAATAATACCGTGACAACGAGAAGACGCAGGGTGGCGCCACCATAAAATTTTAGTCCATACCTGGCTACGCCGACCGACATAAACACCAACGGCCTGGACACAGCTCATCTACTCTGTCAAAAGGAGACCGATGTACAAGTAAAACGCGTACAACATATGATCATTTGCCACAAAAATGTAGACGATTTTACAAGTATTTTTTCTTACCACCGGCATTCAATGTTTTAAATACAGTAGACCGTCGTCCGGCGGCATTTTTCAATTCACTGATAGCATGCCGCCCTGATCAACAAATCATATTAGATTTGCGGCGGCTTTCCTGTATGAAGAAGACCATGCCGCCGGAAGACGGTTTTATTTTCAACAAATGCAAACACCGCCGGCGGTCGGTTAGCCACCAGTATCTTTTTACTTTCCTATCTGTATACAGATAAGGAAAGTATAGGAATCATGATTTTTTTCGACCTCCAGTTTTCGACGGATTTTTACGTTTTGGGGTCCTCTGAATCCGTTTTGACTATTTTCGGGATTATTTCTGTGTGTCAGTGTGTGTGTCTTTATCCACCATAACTCATGAACCCATACAAAGAAAAACACCAAATTTTAAACTTAAGCTTTATTCCGGCGTCCAATGAACTGATTTGATTTTGGGCAGAGTCGGAACATGTGGGGGGTACTTTATTGGTGGTCATTTTTATATTTTATGGAATATATTCGTTATTTACGTTTGGAGAAGAAAATTCTTCAAATAAAAGTTACTTACAATATTATTATCTATAATTTTTGTTTTATATAAAATTTTCCTAAAATGGTCCGTATTCGAGAAATTTGACAAAATGTAAAAAAAATATTTTGTTATAAAAATTGTTCAAATAAAAGTTGTTTGCAATATAATATAAAATTGAATCTTAAAAATGTTTAATTAAGAAATGAAAATAAAAAATAGGTGGTTATAAAAGAAAATCTGGTCCTGGAAGTATTAAATCTTCATAGCTCCGATTCTAGAATTTAATTAATAATTAAATATAATTATAAAATAACGACACTAAAAATATAATTAATGTTATCTATATATTAAAAATAAAATATAAATGTTATCTAAATTGTAATGTCGTTTTGAAACGATTTGTAACGTTAGTTCAAATTTAGGATTAACTTCCTAATGACCCTAATTAAATATCTTAATCTTTTTATTGTACTGACGACGTTATAGAAAATTAGTCAAGCTTCGAAGAAAATAGATAAAAGATGAATGCTATTTGAGATAATTTCTATTATCTAGGTTTGAATCTGAAACACTGCGCCGCAATTAACAGATAATTCTTAAAATCGAATAATTGCCTTTATAAAAAATTTTAAACTGACGCTAATGGAACAAAATTATTTGTGTATATCTTTTGAATTCTTTCAGGTACCTACCCTTTTTTTGTTGAATACATTAAAAACAGTAAACAAAAAACTGTACAAGTGAAATTCTATCATTTATGTGGTCAAGGTTGCCAGGTCTAGTGAAATTTCACTAAAACTAGTGAATTTTGAACGAATCTAGTGATTTAGTGAAAACTTTTGTTAAATACCCTATTTCTAGTGATTTTTTTGAAATTGAATTTAAAAATAGACTAGGAAAGATATAAAAGTTTAAAACACTTTCTTATAAAAATATTGTTTTACAAATAACAAAAAAAAAGACACTGATATTACTAGGGTTAAGAAAATATAGTGGACGGGATAACAACTGTTAAAATAACATGCGCATGGTCGTTAAACCACTAAAACAAAAAAAAAAAACGTTTAAACCAAATTAAAATTTCTTTGAATCCGGACCTCTATGAGGGCCCGCAAAAGAAAAAAAGAGGGTAACAACACCCATACAATTGAACGGATATTACAACACCACAAATGGACATGACAAGGATAATAGAAATTAATTATATAATAATAATAAAAAAGAATTTTAAACATTTCAATAATTATAATGACACACCCCAACGTTGTACTAAAGAACGATTTTGACATGTAAAAAAATAATGTACAAATAATAAATAAAAAAAAAAAAACTACTGAAGAATGCACTGATCAGTGCCGAAAGCTTTACTCACACATACACGAGTTTCATTTCTCAGTAGCACCTAAAAATCCAAGAACTACAAGGAAAAAAATATAAATTAAAGTGTAAGAAAAAAAAAAACTTTAGAAAAGGAGATTTCCTTTTGTAAAGTACCAATATCTTCTGTTTTTCGGAAGAACAGTGATGAACATTAACTACCTCACTCATTTTCACTACTTATTTTAATTATATAGTACCGAAACCTCGACCAAATCGCATAAACTTTGAAGCTAAACTAAAGTGATTAGGTAAATTCCACACCAATACTACCCAGTGCGAGAGGTTTTCGCGAAAGCCTGTAGCTAAAAGAGAGGTCAAAACGTCAACTGATCCGTTAAACAATGTACCTGCTTAAAATCACTTAAATCACGTTATTTTGTGCATCACACATAATCAAGGCATGACGTCACAAAGTAGGGCAGGGCATACGAATGTTTCCAATATTTGATATAGAATGAAGAGGAGATGCTATGACGATACTAAAAGTATCTGCACTTTTGCTTTACACTTTTACGTCATATTATGTGAAACTATGGTGAGACTAAATATCATTTTTTTAAACTAGCATGATTTAAATGATATTCATTCCATCATTGTGATGGGACTGATCTTATAAAATAAACATATTTAGTTCACTTGTTTTATTTGCCAATAAAAGGTATTATTCTATTTGAAATCTGTGACAAATTGTGAAAATTATTAAATTTACAATAAAAAATGAAAAACGGTAGGTAAAATTTCATATTTTTTAGACAAAAATCAATGTCAAGCTTTCTACATAACCTGATATATATTCAAAAATAATCTCAAACTATGAAGAAAAGTCAGCTATAACCAATAATGTTTATACCTAGATGGTTTTCAACATATTAAAAACAAAACAAATATTACAATAACTAAAATATTCATTCATTCATTAATAGTTGTAGTGCTTGATGATAATACAAACCCAAATAAAAAAAATTGCGATGTTGGCCCTTGTATAAATGTACCAAACTTCTTTTCTTTTTTGGGCTATTTACAAATGATAAAATTATTGTAAAAAATTGAACACCCATTTTAAATTATCACAAACCACCACTGACATCATATACATATATTTTTAAATATATTTTAGAAAAACATGAAAAATTCTCAGACATTTAAATTTTTAACCTAAATGGTAGCCTTTTAAAGTAAAATTGGAACCTACAGAGTGATTCACGTATTTGCAGTAATAGATAGGTGAGTTTCTTACAACTCTAGGCCCATATTCAGTAACTCTCAAAAAAATGTAGAATTTATTGATTACTCCTAGTAAATATTTGGGGGTATTTTCAGATATTCTATAGGTATAGCCCAGGTATTCTTTAAGCTAGGTACACAGCTGAAAACAATTTTTCAGTTGTACCATTTACCCTTCTACCCCTCATAGGTATATTTATCAGAGATTTACAAACAATATTTTCCTTCCATATCAATCTTTTATTTATCTGTTATTAGATTTCCCTTAAATCATTTATTATTATGGCTTAAAATTGTATTTTTGTTTATCAAACTTTAAACGATTTTTTAATGTTTCTAATAATCCCAAAAACCTGTATTGATTATTATTGATTCAATTAGCTATAATTATTTCTAGAAATTAAAAAATTTCAATCAATGTTTTAATTAATTTAACCAATAAAATATTCCTAGCAAGTAGTAAATAAAAAAAAACTAATCAGCAAATATTTAAAAGTCTATTTCCATCAAATGTGTTTCTTGAGTATTAGTAAATCAGTCCAAATGTAAACAAACTAAAAAAAAATTAAAAATATTGTAACCCACTCTCTCAAGTTCAAGAAGTAAAATCATTTCTTCAACTTAACACACATGTTTTCTAATTATACATTCCAAACAGGCACAAAGAGGAAACAGCAGTTTTAAATATTGAGATGTTAAGGACAGGACAGGAAGTCAAAGTCTGCAGAGTCTATCAAATAACATAACTAATATTAAATGCAGTGTTCATACATCAGTCCATTACACTCGGTAATAAACCAGTACCTATAATTTGTTATAATGTACAATGCACTCCACTGAGTTGTATTTATGATTTAAAAAAATGTTTTACTATCAGTTCTACAGATAAGTAAAAAATTTATTTTAAAATTAAACAATTATATATTGGCCAAATGACATATGATTTGCAAATATTATTCGCTAAGCAAACACAAGTCTCAAGGAAAAATATCTAGTTAATCTAGACTATTTGTCATGTGTTAATAACTAACCAAATAAAAATAAATGATATGAAAAACAATCAAGTCCTTGCAAAATAATCCATAAAAAGCTATTTAAAATTCAAGAAAAAACACTGCTGACAATAGTAATTAGGCAACTTACCAACTCCGTATTTTTTAGTTTTTGTTGGGATCCACATTTTTGTGAGAAACTTGAAAAATTACATTATAAAACACATAAAAACACTAATAGTCACCTCGAATCGATAGTAAGTTCATTCAATACGCGGCCATTGTTTAGATTGTCAAATATTCGTTTGAGAATGGGAACTGTCAGCCAGGAAATGTCAAATCGTGATAAACAGGAAACCTTCCATTAGATGGCGGATCGATACAAAACCATAGTGTAATTCGAGTTGCCTATGTAGTAGTAATGAAATAGAACAGAAACGTACTTTAATGATATGAAATTTTGGTTCCAAATTTTTAAAAAATTATTACTTTGGGAAGAATTTTGGAATTCATTATTTTCAATGATTTATGATCGATGTGATAATGTTTAGAGGCATTTTTAATGTACTGCCGATACAGATATATATCCAAACACAAACACTCTCATTTTGATAGTCTGGAGGAGCGGTTCATCCCAAACTTTTCTCTTTGGGAATACAGCAGGGGCAGAAGTTGAAAAGTCTTTTGGTAGGTAGAGAGCGGGTAAACGTCAAGCAATGTCGAACATCTTCGAGAATTTCGCAGTAATGTTTACCTACCAGTGTCGTTTCATAGAATAGGTAATTTTAAATTGTTACTGGCGGAATCATCACAAGTATTTATAGACTATAAATAATGATTAAACATGTATTATAATATCCAAATCATAATTCTACAAAATTTTAACAGCTATTCACAATTTATTAAAACTATATTTACTCGAAATTGTTATTACCCAATAAACACAGTTGATCGGCACCGTAACTGCGCCGAAGGAGTCTTGCTGAATGCCGGACTCGGCCCGATATACGGGTGCAGCTTCGGCATATAGGTAGGGCATGTCCGCCCAGCCGAATGTCAGCAGCCCATTAAATTGTAGCCGCGTTCATATATCTATATATAATTGGGCCCGTAAAAGTGCCTCCCATGTCCGGTATCTACTTTACGCAACCAGTTGCATAATGTTGACCATTATGAAACTAGTTTCGAAAAATTCATTAGGACACCAGTGGCGAAAAGAAAAATATACCTTTTTTGGTTTTAAAACGCCCTCTGTCTTAGGTCTCAAGTAAAGTGCATCTCGTTATAACAAAAATATCATATCTCTCTAATTATACCTCGTTCTTTGTTTGTATATTTTTCCATTTAGAAGTTAAGAGGGGGGCACAATTGACATCCTCACTCTCTCATTAATAGAATTTTTGGGTCTGCTTCTCATTCAAATCTCGAGGTGGCACTTATAACATCTATAATCCCCTTCGTGTTTTCCCTACCATGAAATCAATGTGATTAGTAAATTTTAATTTAGAATCAAGAGTTATCCCATCCCCCAAAGCCCCGGGTAATTGGTTCCACATCCAAACACGGTTGGCATCTACCTAACTTACCAACTTGTTATACTATAAATAAAAACAATTCAGTTGCTTTTTTATCTTCTTCCCCCACAAAAAAGCGTTCCTTGATACGGCACTGATTGCTTCAATATACTATTAGCGGTAAAGTGTCAAAATTACTACGCCTACGCTTAGAAAAAGTATGAAAGTAAAAAGTATTATTATTGTATTTAAAATTAAAACAAAAATACCTATATTTGAACATTCCTAAAAATTTAGTATTTGATTTGAATTCATTACATTCTTTTGCAATTTTAATATATTTTTGCAATAAGCAAAAACTGTTTTGTATGACGTTTTCCATTGGCATGCTCAGTGCGTTTTGAGTGTATTTTCACTTTCTTTTTCATATCGATAAACAAGGACACAAATATACTCAGTACACACATCCAGTGTCAATGTAAATCGCTAATATTTGAATCCAGCTTGCTATGATTTCAAGTACTTGAGGGCCAATCAAAAAATTACTTCGTATAATTAAAAGATGGTGGCTAAGTGTGAGTGTTAAAAAACATTTAAAAAAAAACTGTGTTTTATCTTTATAAACGCTAGAAATATGAAAGAATATTTTTCCTATGTAGGTACTTAAGGTAAGTTCATTAGGTATTATAACTCAAAGCCGGTTACAAATTTTTTATAACGAAATGCAATGTTCTCTGAAGGCATGTAAAAACATTGTACTTCACCAAACGGACAAAAAACATCTATCCACGATTAATAAAAACCATTAACAATTATTATGAATCGATTTTTGCTGATTTAAAGATTTATTATTTCTATACTTGTTGTGATTAATTTTTACAGTTTTATCATAGAAATGACATAAAAACTACTTAGAATTGTTTAGCAAGTGTTTATGATTATTATTAACTATCTGTGGCAAATGATTTATCCAATTCACAGACACACATTGTTTAATAGGTATAAGGTAAAAATAATAATAATTCAGGTATAAAAGGTTTACAATGAATTGGGATTGTAATTTTCATGGCAAACAAAATTATCGTTGTCATGTCTTATGTGATTTTTTGTATAAAATAGTATATTATGCAACGATCATGTAATGATGGTTATTAATACACGAGCATTAACCGGGATACGAAACGAGCCAAAGGCGAGTTTCGTATGGTTTATGCGAGTGTTTTAATAACCATTACATGAGAGTTGCATACGCTATTTTTTCTACACCCGATAAATAATCAAGACCTATAAATATTATATTTATATTGGTATTGAACACAATAACAGTAATTACTCGTATTTCTATAAAAAATTCTACAAAATTGTAATTAATGGTATTACTTCAGGTATTGGTATTTCCCTAGATTTTTGCGGTAAAATATTTTGTACTGTATTTTCTGCTTTCTCCGATATGTGTGGAGGAGTCTTCTATATCGCTAATATCAGACATTTTAATATTATAATTATCGAAGTTTAGCTACCTACGAAAATTTAATACGTTTTGACAACTAAAATAATTACATAGGAACCTAGGACAAACGTCAAACAGCATGCTTGATTGAAAAATTGTAGGTTTCTATTGATTAAAAATCTGTATCGTAATGAAAAATCTGTATCATAATGGGTATCATTATGAAACGGATTATGGGCATATAAGTGCATTATTATAATACGGGTGTAGAAAAAATACATTATTTTAACCCTTTTGTTTGGGATAGTGATTGGCTTAGGTGCCGTTTGGTACAGTACAATGTTTATTACATGCCTTTGGAGCATGTTTCATTATCAGATGACAGAAGAAATTTGCAGTGGGATCTTCTATTATTAGTTTTAGAAATTGATACAGAATATTTGATAAAGGATTAGTCCTAAATCCTTACATTTATTTGGTACATCAATTATCCCTAAATTGACAACTAATTTTGCTTGTAAAAGTTAAGTGTACCACTGTGATTGATTAGTGAATAAATAAATCAACGTTATTACATTTTTGCTTTCCTGTCTGTCTACAGATAAGGAAAGTAGAGGAATCATGATTTTTAGATTTATTATATTTCTCTCTTTGTACTTACATCATTTAATGCATTTATTGGTATTTTTTTGCTAATTTACTCTATTATAAGTATTAGTCTTTGAAGAGTATTAAACGTTTATATAAGACAAAAACGAAAAATATAAATTTGAAATTTTCAGAATAATCAAGTTCTACAGGGTGTTTCAATAAGATTGGTCATGAATTATACCACGTACTCTTGGGTCAAAAATAGGTCGATTAAACCTATATACAAAAGTGCACCCAAAAATAGTTACAGGGTGTATAAGATTAAAATTTAAATGAATTTTTTTAACGTTGCTCTTAAACCTTTAGACATTTTTTCATGAAATTTTATATGACGTGTTGGAATATCATGACTAACAAAATCGAGGTAGAGCCAATATATTTTTTTAATTTTTGTAGGATTTTGGAGGGTGTCACCGCCCCTTTCTCTACTCAACTTTTTTGTAATACAAAATTTTAATAAAAATCGAGCGCTATTGAAATGCAACATCTATTTCGAAACTTTCTTGTCTCTTAGTATTTGTTTGTAAAATGTTTCGTTTAGACGATACAGCCACTTAAAATGACATCTTTAAAATATTCAATGTAAATTATAGGTATGCAAAAATATCAAAATTCGATTTTTTCATTGTTAAAACTATGTAGTAAGTGTATACAGGAGAATGTAATTTTGAACACCTGTTAAATCCATTTTTTTTATTTTGATGACATTAGTTTGTAATTTAAAAATAAACTTGATTTTGATATTTTTCATACGTAGAATTTCCATTGAATATTTTTAAGCTGTCATTTCAAATGGCTGTATCGTCTAAATTAAACTTTTTACAAACAAATACTAAGAGACAAAAAGTTTCCAATTGGATGTTGCATTCCTATACTACAAAAAAGTTGAGTGGAGAAAAGAGCGGCGATCCCCTCCAAAAACCTATAAAAATCAAGAAAAAAATATTGCCTCTTCCTCGGTATTATTAGTCATGGTATTCTAAGACGTCATATAAAATTTCATGAAAAAATGCCAAACGGTTTAAGAGCAACGTTAAAAAAATTCATTTAAATTTTTATCTTATACACCCTGTAACTATTTTTGGGTGCACTTTTGTATATAGGTAAGTACGGTTTAATCGACCTATTTTTGACCCAAGAATACGTGGTATAATTTTTGACCAATCTTTTTGAAACATCCTGTATAATGAAACGAAGCCTATTTTCTGAAAAAAATGGAGGGGTTAAAAGGAGGGTTGAAATATTTAAAAAACGAACAATATTATCAACTTGACATTTTTAGCAAAAATCAAGTTCTATAAAAGGAAGAAGTACTCTGATTAAAAATAAGTGGTTTCAGAGGGGTTGAAATTTAAAGAAATCATAAATAAAAAACAAAAAGCGATATCAACATGAGTTTTTTAGTGAAAATCAAGTTCTCTAAGGAAAAAAACTTGAATAAAATTGGAGGGGTTAAGAGGGGTTGAAATATTTTAAGAAATCCTAACTAAAAAACGAACAATAATATCAAGTTGAAATTTTTGGAAAAAATCATGATCTATAAAGGGACAAAACCCATTGATTTAAAAATCTGAATAAAATTGGGGTCAACGAGGGTTGAAAAAAAAAATATATAATTTAAAAACCGAAAACAATATCACCATGAAATGTTTAGTAAAAAATCATGCTTTATAAGGGAATACATAAATAAATAAAAATTGGGAGATAATGGGGGTTGATATATTGAAAAAAATCCTAACTCAGAAACATATCAAATTAAAATCCTCAGGAAAATTCAAGCCTTTTAAAGGGACGAAGCCTATTGATTATACAAAAAATCTGATAGAAAATGGGGGTCTTTAACCCCACTTAGGGTCTGTTAAACTATGACGAGTATATTATGGAATCAGGCCCGACGAGAGGGGGGAGGATACAAGGGGGGCCCGGCAGCTTTAGCAGCTGAGACTTTTGTTTTTTAGAAGTTCGCACCACCAAAAGAGAACCTTTTTTTAGAAATTTAGCACAGAAAGGACTTGATTTTTTATAAAAATTATAAAAATGCCTCGCTATTTTCCGCAAATCTGCCACCCCTTATATAAGGGGCCAGTATTTTTGCCCGCAGCTCCACCATAGCTCTCGGAGGCAAGGGCGATTCCAAGACGAATTTTCGGGGTGGGGGCACTGCCTTTAGATCAGTGGTTCTCAAACTTTTTTCGGTGACGGAACCTTTTTGAAAAGCGAATTATTTGACGGAGCCCTATACACATTTCTAAAAAAAAAGTCCTTCGTGCAGAATCCTCATTGCTCTAGCCTCTTGCCAGGTCCCTCATGTTTCTTTGCGGAGCCCCTACACAAAATCCTCAAAATCATAAAAAAGGTCCTCATACCAAAATCATATACTCCGTCCTCTTCTTGACTTCTAAAAAGAAAAAGGTCCTCATACCAAAATCATATACTCCTTTCCCTTCCTAACCCCTATGACCCCCCCCCCCTGGAGCCGCTCTTGCTTGGCGGCCCTGTATAGAATGCCAAGTATTATATATTTTCATTCTAGTTATTGCTTGCTATAAATTCTAATTTTTTTGTTTGTTTTTTAGTTCTTTTGTTTGTTCTTTTGTTTTTTTAATGTCAATCTTTGGTAAGAAAATTCAATTCCTAAGAAATATTAAATAACTCACTAACAAAGATTCGAATTTGTTATAAGCAAACGAATATACAGGGTTTTTCAGAACTGATTTTTCAATATTTCTGTATTAGCTTTTCATGTTTAAATAATAAATTTATATCTATATATTTATGCATTTTTGGCAATGTTAAATAAAACTAGCAAAACATTTGGTGAAAACTGTTGTCTTTTTGTAATTTTTATGGCTAATTTTAGTGTAACAAACATATTTTTGATAATAAATGGTTATAATTACCATTTTTAAATATAAAACAAAATATTCTACGTACTAGATATACAGGGCGATTAGTAAATACCGACGTAGACCCAATATGTTTTTTTATAATTATCAATGTGTAATTTTACTTCACTTTTTGCAATTGTTATATTTTTAACATATGTATAACTATACAATTCATTTAGCTACAGGGTGATTTACTAAATATATCAATAATTGATATATTAAACGTGTCAAACAATAATGTTTGTTTAACCATCCTGTACTTTTTGATTGGTATATACAGTGGAATTATTTATTATTTAATTTACACAAAAGATCCTTATAGAATACGTATTACCTAAAATAAAAAAATATCATGTAAATAACGAAATATTGTATTTCTTAAATTTTATTTATTATTTCATTACTCAACAGATCAAGACTCAAATACAGAGTAAGAGTACAAGAATAGATAATAAAATTAAACTAGAAATACACTAATAAATTTATTGAACAGCACGTAAAAAAAAGCCAAGATAATTATTTCCAACATTTTTTAAATAACTTAAATTTTTTAAAAATTATGTAAATTTTCAAAGACAAAATGTTCCTAAAAATCCTCAACTTTTATGGTAGGAATTACCCTTAAACATTCTTAAAGAAATAATGCCTAATATAAATTTATTAATTCATTCAGTCAACAAAGCTGATGAAACCGAATTAAAAAAAAAAACAAATTAAAATTTACCTCTAAAAAATAGTAGAATATTTTTTTGTAAGTCTTAGCTGGTTCCTTTAATAATATCCTGCCGTTTTAAAATTTTTCAAATTTCCTAATAATTGTTTTTTCTTTTCAGCGAATATCCGTAAAAAAATTTAAATCGCCGCAAACATTTCGAGTTAATCGGTAGCACGATATCAATGGTTTGAGCTCATGTTCATTTCATCTCTGACAATAAAGACGTTTGATCTTAAAATGTATTATATCCTTTGGTGTTCAATGTAGATCTTTGATTAACATTGTAGCGTCTTTGGATGTACCTTCTAAGATCAAATGGACAAGGCTGCAGATATATTAGCCTGCGATACGTCTATTTTGGAAAATCTAACGTATCAAAGGGTTGATATAGAATTGAACATGATGCGATGATTATTAATGTCGTCGGAAATAGAAGATTTGTCCGGACGCGATTTTATCGGAAAATTTACTGGAAATAATGGTTATGGAAAAAGGAAAGCAATACTGGACTAATGGGACGGAAAGTAAAGGAGCAATTAGCGGTCTAACATGGTGAGTCTTTTGAATTAAATTGAGCTTTTTGTAAACAAGTTATTATAAATATCTTAATCTTTTTCTGGATTTGTAATTTATTTTTATTAAAATTCTTTATACCAAATAGTGCAAACAAGTCCAATGCCTTTCTTTTCATAGAAAATATGTAAAAATATAAATAAAAGTTATAGGGTGTTTTAATGCATATTTATAAAATACATTGAGGGGATTTTATACAAGTTTTATACAACTTATCATTCTTTAAACATCTAAAACTTAATTTTTTCGAATTTAACACCCAGTATATTATTTTACAGTTGGAACCATTTCCGTCAAATTATATTATTGACGAGGGACAACAAACCATCAACTTAAATTTTGTACACCTATATATATTAAGTAGAAATTAATCCTCATACGTGGGACGGGTCCAAGGGGGTATAATTTTTAATCTCTAGAGAGTAAAAGTGCCATTTTAATCTCTAAAATACATAAAAATAATTAAGTTACATATCTTCAAGGGGTCTAGCTTGCTCTTCTCTCCTCTAGGTTTTACATGGCAGCACTGAAGCTGTACTACTCCTTCCCATTCGTTTAACTCTAAAATACTTTAACCACTTTTAAATTATATATATATTAAAAAAATAGCAATCCTTATTAAAAAAATATATATTTATTTTTAGCCCTTTCTTAAGGCAGGAATAATAAATAATACGTTTTAATTTACAAAATAAATTTTATTTTTTTTTTGTACATACAATATATCTACCTGTTTACACCGTCAGTTCGTTTGCTTAAATTAAGAGGCATACAAAATTTGTTATTTTTAATATCAGCATTAAGTAAGAAAAACAAATTTTTTTAAACAAATCAAATCTACATTATCATTAAAACTAACTTATCATTATTTACAATAAATTGTCTTAATGAAAGCAAACTGAGCCATGTGACTAACTATTACTAATCAAAATAGTTTTAAACAATATCACTTCCTAAAAATAAACTTAATCTAACATTCACAGATATTTTATAATAATAACTTATTTTAACTAAATTTCCCTTACTTTTGCTATCTATTTTTTTTTAACAAAAGAACTGCTTTACTGTAATCTGGAAAAATATGTCATGTCCATACTGTCAAAATGACATAAAACAGTAAAGCAGAATTTGTTTATTTCTGTTCTATGGCATGACATTGACATACTTGACATTAACGAGTAATAAGTTTAAAAAATATTTCGTAATACTTCGAGTGTTAAAAACAGTTCAGGAATTATTTCGATAAATGCATACTATAAATAAGTCTATCAAGTATTCGATATTTTATAACAAAATAACATACAAAGAAATACTGATGGCTTTTTTAGTCCAGGTAGTTTTTTTGGTAAATTTTGGAATACCAAAAAAGTATAACGTCATTTTTAGTGGTTAAGTCAATTTAATTATCTTAAAAGTATCAAAGATGTTCAAAGCTGCAGGATCCATTGACACTTGACGTTATCGCTGTAAACGTAAAAAAAAACTTTCGAAAAAACTAATAAATTTACTGATTTATTTTAATTAAACTAATTTTATTTATTTAAATTCCTATAGAAATCAAGCCATAGGTATTTTTTATAAATCAAAGAAAAGTTTCTTTTTTTATGGTAAGTAAATATTTATCTTTTACTTTCAAATTTATCTAAATATATGGATTGTCCTTTTTTACTAATATTCTACCGCTATTATCAAAAATAGAGCATAAGAAATTTTACGAAAATATATTTATTGAGCTACTTATTAGCTTCTGTTCGAGGCTTCAGGTTCTTTCGGATTTGGAGCAGTTCTTTGCTGATCACTTTGTCATCTTCGTTCTGAAAACAAAACAAAAATCATTCAATTATTTTGGCCCCACGTTGGACGCCATGTTAGCGGCGTATGCCTCGGATATTTCACTGTTCTCGTAGTGTGGCAAAAATTACAATGACATTTTTACAGTTACAATAAAAATGTTAAATTAAATCTATAAATCACTTTTTTATGAGTAAACAATAACATTTTAAAGATGTGTGAAGTTGGGCTCTCAAAATTATAAGATTCATTCGACCCTATTAACCATGTTTGATCACTCTCAGAAATTCGATTTGGAAATTGAATTGTTCGAATTTTCAAATTCTTTCGACTGATGAATTGCTGCACTGCTGACAGAACATCTGTATTTTGCAATTAGGAGGTAAATGATTTTATAATCAATAGTTCATGAGCACAACAATTCTGAAGAAATTTCTCATTGAGCTTTGCGTTACACTTTACTGCAACCCAAAAGAGACACGTACTATAATAAACTATTTAAATACCTTTTCATGAGAACTTTGTAGTCGTTTCGCCCTGTCAGCGATGGCTTTTTCCAATTCTGGAGTCTCGGTCGCAACCTGCTCTCCAATTTGTTTTTTCGCTAAGCTGTCTCTTTGTTTCTCCAAAGCTCTTTGTAGCTCGGTTTTCTGGTTCAAAATGTTTTTCCCTCTGCAATAGAAAACATTTCGTTAGTGTGGTTTGAATTTTATAAGACTCGGTAACGCGTATTTCGTCTATAAGAAATATACCAAAATATTAAAGATAAATCATGAAGGAAAAAGAGAACACGGTCTTTTGTCACAGAAATAAGAAAATAATAGGAAAATAATAAGAAAATAATAAAACAATAAGAAAATATAATAATACAATAAGAAATTAATGGAAAATATTAAAAAAATAATAGAAAAATAATAAAAAAATAATAGAAAAATAATAAGAAAATAATAGAAAATTAATATGAAAATAAGAAAAAAATAATAATAATAAAGTAATAGGAAAATATTAAGAAAATAATAGGAAAATAATAAGAAAATAATAAGAAAATAATAGGAAAGTAGGAAAATAATATTGAAATTCATAATAGGAAAATAATAAGAAATTAATAGGAAAATATTAAGAAAATAATGGGAAAATATTAAGAAAATAATGGGAAAATATTAAAAAAAAATTGAAAATAGGAAAATAATATGAAAATAAGGAAAACATAATAAGAAAATAATAAGACCGTGCCATTCTAGACTTGAAAAGATTATATGTATTTATAATCCTTATGTAAATACCTAGCAAACTATTATAAATTTGATTCGCTAAATAATTCAGTCTCTTCTGACCTTTCTTGGTGATAGGAATTCTAGTATTTTCTGCATTATTAGACATGAGTATGTTTAATCATACAGATTGAAGATTCATTTTTATGAATATATACATAAAAAAAGAGAGTTATCGAATTTCAAAAATTTATGTTTTTTGAAACAATAGGTATGAAGGATTTCAAGCTTTTTTAGAACCGTCTGCAAGACTGATCCCCAGGCTAATATGGCATATGATAACAGTGACTGTACAAATGCTTGATATAACATTTTCAAGTGAGTTATATCTATACAAATATAGATAATAGACAATATACAGTCCTAAATTTAGGAATAAAACTTAGACAAAGGTTTTATTAATATATCGATACCTTCACTAACCTAACTGTGACGTAAAAGGCACTTAATAGTTCTAATCCTACGTATCACAAAAACATGTTTTGATACCTGTTTATAGTTTATTAAAAGCAGGTAGTATTCCACAAACTTTTAAATTTATTAATGATGATATCGATGACGAATTTTACTAATTTTAACGATCGTTATCGATTAGCTTTTGTCCTACACACCAATCAGCCGAATAATGGAAACATTTTATCGCATAATAAACGGATGGAGTTAATTACCTACATTACATTCGTATTTTTACAAAAACCCCGCATTGCATCTAGTTCTTTTGTACATATAAAAAAGATGCCGAAGTCGTAGCCCATATTTAACTACTTATTTCCTCTTAGTCTTGCGAACAGATGTTGTAGTTTCGAATTGAAACAATAAAAATATAACGTGACGTAAATATAAACAAGTTAAAATGCATGACTTGAATGCATTTCGTTGAATATTAATATTAGCTTGAAAAATATCGTTGCAAATGCAAATGTAGTTTCCTAGCATAGTCGTTTTTTTGGAATTATCTAATGTACTATTTGGACTACCACCGCCCCCTTTAGAAAAATAAAATAAAAAATACAACGCCCCCATAGTCTATATTAAATATTGTTACATATATTATCTGAGAGTTGGTGAAATAATTTCGAATAACAAAAGTTCGAATTAGAAATGTCGAATGACAAAATTTCAAAATCTGTTCGAACTATAAAAATTCGAATAACAAAACTTCCAAAACAAAAAAGTACGACTGACAAAACTTCGAAAATATAAAAGTTTGAAATTGAAAGGGTCGAAAGTGAGAAAACATCGAAACAGAAAAGATCAAAACTAGAACAAATGATCACTTCATGTCCGTTCAATTTTTTTAGTGTTAAAATTGTTATTTTTAAGCTATCAAATTTAAAAAATATAGCAACAATATACAGAGATAAAATTAAAAAAAAAAAATAGAAGGCTGCAATGGGAATGTATGTAAATATAAGCTCTAAAGAGGTCTAAAAAACTGTTTTTATTCATTAACAACTTTGTTTCATTTATATTTGTTTGCTACCTCCTTGTAACCAACGAAGTTTTTAAATAACCCTCGTAATCTAAAACGATTTCATTCCGCTAAATTAACCAAAAGGACCACACCAACATCAAACAAATAACCAAATCGTGTTTTCTTTCTGTTTTGACGAATTATAAATAAACACGACAATTTAATGTGTCCTATAAAAAATTAATCATCTATTATATTCCAAACGTATTATTTTCTTTGAAATACTCACTTTTTAGATTAAATTTTACTTTAAAGAGAATTTAATAGTGGTTAATGTTAATGGTTTAGTCACTTTTCTTCGTCACATCGTGAACCTGACACGGTTTCTTAAAATGGTATTATTTGTTAATGATAATGATAAATGGAAAATATTTATAATTATATATCCATCTGTTTAATTTATTGAAAGCTCAATTGCAATATCGATATGATCTAAAAACTCTTTAGCGCAAAAGAGTAAATAATGGAATTTTGTAGGTCAGTTATAATTATTAGATTTGTTTTTAAAATTAATAGCTATTATTAATAGAACTAATCTTTGAATGAACTCATTGGCATTTGTTTGATTGAGGTTATTTCTTAAATAAGAAAAAAACAATCGTTGTCCAGTTCAATTTGCACTCATCAACTTATATTCCCTGAGATTAAAAGCCTCAAAGCAAAAATAGAAGTGGTCTACCTAGACCAGGCTTTCCCAAAGTGGTTATAATATTAAAATCCTACACATTATAATAAATTCATAACAAAATAAACTTAATATCAAAATAAAGTAGGAAATTAATAAACCGTCTAATATATCAGTACGTCAGTAGGAAACCAAATAGAATGTTATATATACATAAACCCAAAAAAGAAAAATAAATTTATCAAAAGAGGACAAGGTAAATCGTTATAGCACTGGTAACAAAGCGAAGGACAACATGCGCAAAATGTTACATAGAATTTTACATAAACTAAAAAGTATTCATTTCTACTTTTCTACAATAACCCATAAGTTCACCTGTAGTATAAAAAAAATATAAATAAAGTATAATGAACCTTTAGGAACACTCGTTTCGAAAAAAAGAACGTTAAAATGCCTGTACCTACTATATGAAACCTTAAATATTGGGAAAAAATAATCCTGTAAACAGGATTTTCACCAGTTTCAGCATCACTATGTTTATATCCAAAGGAAGTAACATCCAGGCCAATTGAAATTAGATAAAATTAAATCTAGTAGGTTGCCATTTTGATTTAAAACTTTATTGAAGTTCTTAATATCAAGAAAAGAATAAAAATTGTATTAAAATATCTACGGCACTGGCTCACATCTAGAGATTTTTACATTTATTTTCACCAACCGCTGTCATGACGATTTAGTCACGTGGGATACATGTATTATTGAATACCCTGTATATAGATAATATAACAGTTATTATTCAGTTTTTAAATAATATTTGTTGGTTGCATGCCTTCTATTGTCAATTTCTTTACGAAATTATGTTAAATAATTTTCTTTGTAAACCTGCAGAAGAAGAATAAATTCTTTGATGTATATCTAAAGTAACAGAACTTCCTTGTCTTTTATTGGGGTCCTTCTGAAATTCTTTAATACGATTAAAAATCGTTAAAATACATTTCTTGTCGCATAATTTTTTTTTACAACTATAACTGATTTTTTATATTTATTAACATCAAAACTCGATTCCCTATTATGTATTTGTAACGACACCAAATTATATTCCTTTTCTGCCACCAGCTTCCTAGTTATATTAAGATTGGAATTTTAAATTAAAATTATATTTGATTGTAACTTAACCTTTGGTAATTTAAGACCATCTTTTTCTTCTGTTAAAGACGCATAATTAACATGCTTCTTATGTCATCTGAAGACAGTGGATTGGATGGAGACTTTTGATGTATATTATTTATATTCATAAAAAAAATCATTATTACATCATGTAAGAGGAAATATCATTTACATTCGAAACAATATGGCGAGATTGAGCACTTGATGCTTACCAAGTATCTAGTATTGAATTACGAATGTCATACCGAAGAAATATTATTATGAGTATCAAATATAATCTTTCTACAATCAGACATTAATTTATGCAAATTATGTTACGTCGAATTGCAATTGTTAACAGTATTCCATGAAGTCGTTAAGAAGTCGCATACGTAATAGGTAGACAAAAAATCGTTATATCTGTACACACGATTTTTTTTAAAACAATAGATAATAATTGATGGCTGCTTATTAGAATATTGAACTCTTCTTTTATGTTATTGAATGCTGCAGTTCTTGTAGAATAGAAAGTGATGGAGAAACTGTGCACTCTATAATTTGCTATTACCATCTTACGTTTACACAACTTTATAACGACAGTTTTTTTAGTTGGATTTCACACACAATAAAATGGCGCTAGGAAACAGTAATAATGCCAATACAGATCACGAGGCAATAAAAAATTCATTTGAAGACGTTTCTAGTGATACAGGCTTTGAATTCCTAGTTTTCTTTTAAAAGATTGTGCTGTGGAAAGTAGCTAGAGTATGTCCTGTGTTCAAAAATGGTGATATTACGAATATCAAAAATTATCGTCCCATTTCCATTTTAAATAATTTTGCCAAGGTTTTGGAGACATTAGTGTATAACCTAATTTATGCTCAAATAAATTGTCTTATTTCAACCAATTAGCACGGTTTCATGCGACAAAGATCTACCACTTCGAATCTTGTAGAAATTACTAAGTATATAGCTGAAGCTGTGACAATAAACAACAGGTTGATGTCATATACACTGATTTCTCCAAGGCTTTTGACAGGATTGACCACAAATTATTAATTCATAAATTAAATAGTTTTGGTTTTAGTTCTTCTCTCATTACATTAATAAAGTCATGTCTACATAACAGAGGACAATTTGTTGCTTACAACGGTTACTATTCTAGAATATATTGCCCTACATCAGGTGTTCCTTAAGGGTCTAATTTGGAACCCTTGTTGTTTTTATTATTTATCAATGATCTCTCCACATTATAAGAGTGTAAACATTTATTATTTGCTGATGATATGAAAATTTACTCAAATGTGACTTTCTCTGTTTATTTCTACAAGAAGAATTGAATAAAATCTCTGATTGGTGTACAAGTAACAATCTCTTCCCAAATGTAAAATTTGTACATATGGTCGCAAACTCCATCTGGTTTTGCATGATTATCAAATAAATAACATATTTTTATCAAGGGTTATGCAGATGCGAGATCTTAGTTATATTTGATTCTAGTTTGCAATTTGTAGAACATATTAATAATATAGTTTCTCAGTCTTCTAAAGTCTTAGGGTTTATTATAAGAAATTGTAGAACTTTTTTTAATGAAATTGCTCTAAAAACGCTATTTTTTGCGCTCATAAGATCAAAACTTGAATATGCATTGATTGTTTGGGATCCGCATTATCAAGTGCATATAAATTCATTGGAAAAAGTTCAAAGCAATTGTTTATCTTTCTCCCCTTCAGTTGTTTTCAATCCATCATTCAATGTCCTTTTAATTAAGGTGCTTTTCCATCAATTTTTTTACACCAAAGTATACAAAAACACTTTGTTTTAGAACTTAAAACAATTTTTACAAGTTTTCTTAGTTAATTTGTAATACTTTCTTTCTAATCCATACAATTTACTTGATCATTTAAATTTTTAATAATTCCTATTACTTTTATTTTAATTTTACTTTTTTTTTTTTCAGATTAAATTCACATGGTTTAGAGTTTAGTACCATTTTAGGTAAGCAATTTCAAAATTCAATCAATTTTACTCTATAGTTCATTATACCATTTTTGCTCCAACATATTCATTGTTCTTATATACCTTATTTTCCATTACAATATATTAAAGATTTATATTGGACTAAAATATTCTAGTTTTAATCTTACAAAGAAATAATTGTCTGATAAGTAAAGTCGTGACAAGTCTTTAGATATTAGATTATTTATAGTGATCAATGAATATGAATTCATTCATCTACATCCTTAGATTTTTTACTAATAAAGTGTTATTTAATTTGATTATGAAATTGGCCATCAGTTCACTGGCCGATTTTGCCGTATTAACTGATAAATGGAGTAGGCACCTACTTATAAAAAAAATCTGAAGAAAAGTTTCCCAAGTGTAAACGTACCTGCGTCTCGGTTAAAGAAAAACGCGACACGGTTATTGTCAGCGAATTTTAATCGTTCTATGCTTCTTTCTTCTGAATTGAGAGATAAAATAAAAAGTAATGATTAGAAAATCGTCTGCTGGCGTTGATTCAGACGAGTACTTATGTATCGTATAATTTTTATAATTAGGTATTACGAGCATTGTTTTATGTGCTTCCTATTTTTTTTTTAAATTTATCTCATCTCGTAAAAGATGCAACACAATACGCAATTAGTTTGAATAGTTTTAGTTCATAATTTTAATTTTATTAGTAGTAATAAAAGTGGAAACAGAGTTGGTTTAGAGCATAGATTCCTAGTGGTTGCTGGAGAATTCTATGGGCCACTATAGTACACTATTTTGCGAACTTCGAGCGAGTGTAATCAAAATGGCGAATTAGAGTCGTACTTTGATTATATTCCACGCTTTGTTCTCAATGACCATAGGTATTATTCCGGTCAAGATATAAGAGAATAGTTATCAGCAGCTTAAAGATTCTGAAAAAGTGAACACCCTTTTTAAATTACCAGTAGCCACCACTGTTTATAGATATATTAAACTAATTTAGACTCATGTTTTTAAAATGGTTAGGGAAGTAGTAGTTTTAAGACCATTTAGAAGAGTTTTCAAACTTAAATGTTGAAAATATTCGAGTTTCTAGTTTGATAATTATGTAAGTAAGATTTGGACAATAGTATGAATTTAAATTGTCTACACTCTGTATATACCATTTCTTATCTGGACTATTAGGAATAAAACATTTGTATTAAACTAGTAATAATATTTCTAAAAATTAATCATCATGATTTAACACTTTTTATTATACAATTATCGACTGACAAAAGTCTCTTCAAAAATTAAAGGGCAACGAACTCATTAACACTACATTAATAAAGATTATATTTTAATATCAATGAAAACTTTATTAATATCTCCCATCTGTCAGACGTTTAGTATGCATTTCTATAAAAATTAAATAACTGAAAGTTTAATTCATTTATATTAATATATCGATGCCCACCTGTTCATTTTTTTTACGGGATTATGTTAAAATATTTGATACATTATGTACATTAAATAATAGCATTAAGTATGATTTAAATTTAAATATTTTAAGTGGGAAAATTAAGTAAGTGCTTTGCAATTTATTTTATTTATTATTAATTTGACCTCTTTTGTAAGGTACCGATTATTCTAATATTCTAATTTCTAATTACTTAAGCCTACTAAAAATAATCATCTTACTTGTGGTTACGATTTATCAATATCAAAGTTATTACTTTTTCCATTAGTAGGAATCAAATCACTGAACTTCCCACCAGTGAAACAATACACGATCCTACCCACCTAATAAAAAAATGGCACAACTGTGCGATGTTTAGAGGTAATACAACACATGCGCATTACGGAGTATTTGCAAAAAATCTATCGAAAATTACATATATGCGTCATTGGTTGCCTATATGAATTATCAGGGCTGGATCGCCTCGCTTGCACGCTTGATGTTTGCTTGTTGATTTACTTGATTTGAGTTCATAGTGATTTTATAATTATTTAGTAATTATCTCCGAGCTAAATACATATTTGGTTTGGTTTCTTGATTTTGTGTTATTATTTGGATATTTCACCTGTTTCTACATATTTATTATTCAAGAATCAGGTGTCAAAAAATTCAAAACGTCGATTACTTACATTTTTTGATTAAATAACAACTCCCTGTGTAGATTTTGCCGATCAGCGTTTTCTTTGACGGGGTTTGGAAGTTTTTTGGGAATAATAAGTCCGTCTTCGTCGAACAATGGCGATTTCCGATTCTGATGGTGATCGGAGTTTTCCGAATCGCCTATTGTGTCTGGTATCATCGCGGTGGATTTGTCGAGCCGTCGAAAGTTTGCTGAAAATAAAAGTCAAAAATTAACCTAATGAAACTGATAAATCAGCAGTATTATTAGTTAATTAAAGTCAGATTATTGGGAAATCAATCCGTACACCGTGGTCCATAATAATGAATCTAAAATGGACAATTCGATTGCATGCAGGACCGTCGCAAAAGCTATTATAGAAATAATTAAGCTATCATTTGGTAAGGCGCGATCCAAGACCAACTTCAAGCGTAAGACGATTGCAAGCGAGACAGAAACGTCTCTTCACGTCTAAACACATGTAATTATATGAAACACATTTCGCAAGGCGCGACCGATGCGAGAGACCAAAGTCCACAGCAAGTTTGAGTTATGTTGAAGATAAGAGATCGTTCTGTGTACATAAAAATATTGTTTATAGTATTATCTAAGTAGAAATAAATTAGTTATAAAATAAATAAACGTTAAATTATTAATTAATTTCTCAATCACAGGTCGTTAAGTGTCCTGAAAGTCGAGTAGGTATCATGATCATTTTTTTCTAATTGTTCTTTGATTTGTTTTCACATTAGGGTGTATAGTAATTTATTCCTTGATTACAAATGAGGGAAATTTTGAAATAAATGGATGAACGCCGAGGGGCGAACAACAAAATTTTTATCCGTTTATATCTTCGTTAATTTTCCCCAAATAGTTCGACTTTATAAAATACGTAGTGATTAAAGTATAAAAATATAATTGCATGTCAATAAAACAATCTATACTAATTTATAGTTACAAGTATCGCGTAATAGTGGCTGGCACGTGTGGGCATGCAAGTGCCTACTCACAAACAAACTTACCTAGAATGAATTATACAGGAAGTTAAAAAAAATGTCAACATAATCGATTAATGTTCATTGACTAATACAAACAAGTTTGATCAAAAGAACCATGGCATTAATATTTAAGCAGCTGCCAGGTCAGTAATTTTTTTAACAGTCCCGTATGAACTTGATGGTGGAACACCCTGTACACGTAATTAATTTTTTTTCGACGCGAACGCGGTGTGAACGCCTCATTTATAAGCTACAGACAGCTCGGTGGAAATAGATTTGTAGCGAAAGAAAACTACGAAGTGTTTATTATGAAGGAAGATACGATGTGATTACTTATTTTCAAAGTATACGGATGCATTAGACATTAGACGGTAATAGCTGCACTGAAAACAGAAATCTGTAACTACTCAACTTGTTGACGTGATAATGTAACAACCCAAGTGATTCCAATCTGAGTTAAGTGGCTTGTTGGAAAGCTTTTTCATTTACAATTTATACGCGATAGACAAGAAAAGTGATATCACGACTTGTGTTAGGGGTTTTTTTATACAGACAATATACCTAATAGAAAAGTATAATTGTCCTATGTACTCTTTAACAGTCCAAGAGGTGGGTGGTTTCTATTCGCAAAAGGTCGGAAGTCGGAAGAAATGAAATTTGGTGGCATGGTAGACATGGGTCCCCTAATACCTAAGTTTGCGACCTCGGGGGGGTAGCCGCTCGAGGGGTGAAACGATGAAAACTCGCGACGATTTTCTGGAAATAGCACCGTTGTGATAACTGATATCGAAAAAGAGTTTTTAAATGAAATATGTACAGGACAAAATCGTGCACAATTTTGACTTGTACATTTTTATCTGCGACCAATAGTTCCCGCTCTACGACGCGCCAAAGTAGGGGGTTGATTTGCAATGTTCAACAAAATGAGAATTTCAGCGCCGATTATGCCGAAGATCGCTATGAAACAATTATGTAATATTTTTTTTCAAAAAGAGTTATGAGTTCTGCGTCTGCAAATGATCGATTTGATACATTTGGTCGTATATAATAAATGCTATGATGTTTTAAAGCGCGCCCCTACATATTCCGATATAAAGATTTTACCGGAAGCTGTTAGCCAATTTGGAGAAAACAGTTTTGAGTAAAATACTTCATTAAATAGTGTTGAGCGCAAGTTAGTGCCTAGGAATGTAACGGCTCTGAGCTCTGTTTAAACTGTCCCCTTAAGGTGCTGCATCACCCTTTATAATTTTCTCAAAAAGCAATTTTGTTAAAAAATTAAAATTTTCTTAAAATAAATAATATTTTTTAGATATGCGCGTATTTTAAAATTTTAATTCCTTCTAGTTTCCGAGAAAAAACACAAGGCGCTTTAAATTTCAAACTATCATAATGAAAATACATGAATTCCTCAATAGCACTATACCCAAATTTGAGTTATTAATATTTGTTAATTATTTTTTTAAAATTGGCCAGAGTTAGTGTATTTAAGTTAATTTAAAGAATATAATTATAAATCTTAATTAATCTTTGTGGGTGGTCCCAACACCTGAGTTTGAATTGGGTGCTGTAATCACCTTAAGAGAGTGGTTGTAAAATCGTCAATTAATTTCGGAATTTTGAGGATTTTTTGACTCTCCCTCACTTCCTGGTAAAATTTCGTAAGATTTTCCTAAACTCCCTCCACCCTCCCCTAATCTCACGTGAGATTTTTCAAAATTTGTGCTTTGAATGAATTTGTGCGTTGGATTATTAAAAAAATGAAAACAATATGTTCTATTAATTTTATTTAAGACTAGCAAAGACTAGTATTTGAGAATATTGCCATTAATATTAAATTAATGGACGCACCCAAAGGTTTTTTTCGCCTAGGCCGAAAAACATTGTTGACAACTAAGGTAATTTTCTCATACATTTACATTTAGTTCAGAAATTGTTTCCTATATGAAGGTTATCACCATGCTCTACAATAATCTGTCAGATTTAAGTTTTTTGACAATTTGACACATTTATAATATTATAGTGTATGTATTTAGAGTAATTTTTTTACGACCACTATTTAAAACACATCAATTACCATTCGCAAAGTTATCTAGAATATAATATACAGTGTGGCCAACATATAGAGAAACGGTTAAATCTGAAAAATTTTATACGAATAAATTTGCAACTTAAAGCCGTTTAATACGTGATTCTTTCTTTTTGAGATATTTTAAAAAACAAAAGTTACATTTTTGAAATTATGTCGTAGCTTTTTTATTGTTCACTATTTTGGCAACTTGTAGAAACATATTTTTGAAATAACTTTTTATGTAGATTTCAGTTCTGCAATTGGATTTTAAACACGACGTTTCAGTTATGTCATAACATCATCAGGTTCATTTTTTTTTTTTTGAAAAAATTTCACAGATTGCCAAAATAGTGAAAATGCAACGTTCTGGATTTTTCAAAATTGCTCAAAATTAAAAAAAAAATTTACTTTTCCTCGCAGCGACGTGAATAATTGCATAAAAGAATAAAATAAAATTATAATAATAAACTTACCTAAATCATGATTTTCCAATTTCGCCCTTATATGGTCAAAACTGTTTCCTTTGGTGTCGTCTTTTCTTATATCCTGAAAAGAAGAAACATATGATTAATATAAAATTATACAAAATAATTATCTATTTCCCTCAAGCAGAAACGAAATCTTCATGTAGGTATATGTTTAGTTCCCATTTTGATTTAAAAGTAAAATTGCTAAATAGGAAACAGTACGTCTACGTCTGTTTCTATTGTATAGTTTTAATAAAACCTTTTCCCCTAAACGGCAATTATTGCATCACGCTGTAATGATGCAATCATAAATAATACTTTAATTAGGTACATGGAGGAAAAAATGTTATAACATAGGGGACTGTTTATAAAAAGCCCACATGTCGCTAATAGCTTTGACATAAAGTTTAATAAACAAAAATTCATCATTTTAAAATGATAAAAGATGTGGATGAACTGAGATGTGTTTAATTTAGATTCAATAAATATGAATTATGAGTTTACATATGTGAAATACACATTAATAAATAGGACAGAATCGGATTAATGTACAGTGAAATAAATGCACAAAATGAAAAAAAATAATTGATAAACCCATTAAATATAAATTAAATGCCAGATAAAAGTGTCTGTCTAACTAATAATCGAAATATTTTGGAGAAGGTAATTCATTTTTTTTAATTACGTGTTGAAGTATTCAGAAAAATTTTTAAGTGTTCAAAAAGTAAATTTATATGTTATTTATAGTTATAGTTAGTTATTTATAGTTATAGTTAGTTATTTATAGTTTAGTTATTTATAGTTATTTATAGTTATTTTATTTATAGTTATTTATAGTTATTTATAGTTATTTATAGTTATTTATAGTTATTTATAGTTATTTATAGTTATTTATAGTTATTTATAGTTATTTATAGTTATTTATAGTTATTTATAGTTATTTATAGTTATTTATAGTTATTTATAGTTATTTATAGTTATTTATAGTTATTTATAGTTATTTATAGTTATTTATAGTTATTTATAGTTATTTATAGTTATTTATAGTTATTTATAGTTATAGTTATTTATAGTTATAGTTATTTATAGTTATTTATAGTTATTTATAGTTATTTATAGTTATTTATAGTTATTTATAGTTATTTATAGTTATTTATAGTTATTTATAGTTATTTATAGTTATTTATAGTTATTTATAGTTATTTATAGTTATTTATAGTTATATAATCTAGGTGGTTGTGAAGAAAGTGCAACTTAGTGCTCATGTTACATCTAAGGGTTTAAAAGTGACTCATTAGTTATTCAACGTGTTGAGAATAGTTAGAACTTTTCCCAAAAATTTTTGAACAAACCAAACAAACTCATTCCATGCGTTTTTCTCAATTTCTGTAGTGTCCGTAAATTTTGTGTCTTTTATTAATGATCTTATCTGTGGCCCATCGAAAATGCCCTCTTTTACTACAAAAAAAGTGGGGGTGTATTTAGAATCGGCGACTTAAAATTAGTAAACATCATGTGACATAAGTCATTAATCAGTCAAAAAGTATAATTTTGCTGGCCAGTGTTATCTATGAATTTTGTTTTCGATATTAACTCCATATAGAATTAAACGCAACGCTAATAGGTTTAATAAATTTTTAAAAAATTCGTTTTCTTGCTGTCATGGAAAAAAATTGCTGCTAATTGCGCAGTGATATGAAAAATATTTTCAAAAAGCCTATCGGCCCATATAATCTTTGAAAAAAAATAAATTTAAAAAGAGGGATATAAATTTTTTATTCACTTGCATTTGTTCGTTCCTATTTAAACGACAGTATATTAACGATTTTTGTGTTGACATATGCTGTTTTTTACATACGAGCGGAATTGTCTTAAAAAAAGTCATTTCTGTATTGTTCCGAACTTTCATCGAAATATTGTTAAAAATAAAAAAAAGAAGTAGAGCTCCGTAAAAATAACTTTCTCTCACACATTCAACGTAATTGAAATTGAAACCTTGTAATAATTACAGAAATAGAATTATATAAGTTACAATTTTATTTGATACACTTCATTTAAATTTATTTAGATCGTTATAAGAGCAGCTTAGAAGCCGTACATAAAAGTAGTAGTGGATGAAAATGTGTAGTATTGATGCTCAAGGTAATGAAATTAATTGAATTCGATTAATGTTATCAAGTTTCTCGAGGTTGCGGTTGCTATGAAAATAGACTTTTGAGTTAAAGTAGCTATTTATGATACTAGTTACGAAATGCCTTATTTTATGTAACGAGTGAGGTCCCGCAACATGAGCGGTCAATAAAATATAACGATCAGTAAGAGAAAACATTTTTAAACGATTACAAAAAAAATCTATGACTTACCAAATTAGTCGATATAAGATCAAGAAATCAAACTTCTAATCTTAATTAATATTATTTTAACAATACACTTATCTGTAATTAATCTATTTTAAATGAGGATTTCCTCTTATATTTTTATCAATGTGGAGTGAGATATCTGCTAGGCGTCAAAATTCTAGTAAAATCAAGTTTATCGACAATTTGATAGATAATAAAAAAAAAGTCGCCTTAAATATTCGTAAAATTTGTATATTTTAGGATTTTCTATATTCTGGATGCAACCTATATGTTGCATAGAAGTATTTTTTATTACAAGCCAGCTATTAAATATTGTAATTTGAGGAATTAAGGTTAATAATGGTCATTTATGGATGAGAAGGTATCACAGCAGACTTATTATTTTAAAAACGTTAAATGACACGTTTTATGATACAAAATTCAAAATAAAACGTGCTATTTCAACAACAATGAATAAAACTGGCATTGATAAATTTAATCCAGGAATGTCCGAAATGCCGCAAATTAATTTTGCTACCAAGCACGCCGTAGCGAAAGCGGGATTTGAACGTTTTGCGAAAATTGATGTGACATTCTGACATTTCAAAATGTTCAATGTTTATGTTTAGAGAAGTTTTGATTGGATCTTAAACTAGGTGTAAGGATTGGATAAAGATGGATCCAAAAACCTCAAATATCACGCTGCGAATATGTTCTTGTCAGGTAATATTAAATATTATACAACAGAGATCGCAAACCCTATTAATTGATTTTTTTTACTATTTTGTTAATAAGATGATCATATTTAAGGAAACCTGAAAAAACTTGCAACAAACTTGCATCGTGAAAAGTGGTTTATAGTCACTTTACATCAGACAATTTTGATGCAATGTAAGAGTTATCTTTCTGTATCTGTTTGTGTATATGTGTGATTGGATTTTGTGAAACTTGTGGAGGGTGAGTTAACCCACTATGTCCATATGCAGGAGTCATGCAAGACGATTCATTTCATTGCACAATCGTTTTACTTTTATGCAATTCTGATGCAATCCAAATGAAGTACATCCAGTATCACCAACAGAAAATAATTCTAACCATTGGTGCCAACATGTTATCATGAAATTCTTAAAGCCTACCCTGTGTACGCTCGACCTTCAGATGGCAACCGACGGAACGTTTAGGATTGCCTGCCGCTGACGCACTAGAAACAGCTGCAACGGCGGAGAGGGAGAGTGCCGTTTGATCATAGAAATGGAATGTTCTAGAGCCTATAGTGTCTTCCAATAGCGGAGTTGGACTAATATAAATAGCCGACGTATCGGCGCCCAGTTTAGTTGAATATAGAACATAGTAATGAAAAGTTAAAGTGTAAGAAATAAATTAGAATTGTTAGTTAGTGTCTAAGTATTATATAAATTAAATAGTACGTCTGAAATAAATTGTAAATAGTGTGTTTTTAAATAAATTAACTAAAAATAAATTAGACTATCGTTACAATATTGGAAATTAATCTGTTTAATTTAGGTTGTAGCTAATTCGGTTGAAGAGAAATCATTACAATTTATCTAAAATCTAACAGCCACGGCTTTTATTCAATTTTTAAAAGTACAAATGGTCTACAACTAAGTGCGTTGACTAGCATATTGCAAACTTTGTGGTTAAGTTTTACCAGTAGGTAACGCGTCCCTTTACCACCAAATAAAATAACTAAAATGTCCTGAAACTTGTACGAAAAATTGATTTGACTGTTTGTTTTTTTTATAACGGTAAAAAATTTATCGAAAATTTGGAAAATAATATCATGCGAAAGAAACAGATGAGGTCACTTGTTGGATATTTTTCATTATTTATTATTAAATTAAACCGGAATGTCAAATTTGGACTCCTAAATAGAATTGAATCCGGACCTGTGCTTTGGTGAAATTGCCCGGTAAATTTCGGAGAACGAAACGTATACAACTATAAAATTTATAACATATATTATAACTGAATATGTCAACATTACAACATGTAATTGCGAAAAATATTTTTAGAAAATTTACTACTTTCCGCGTATGATTGCGGTAAGCCATGCCAGATGGTAATGACGGTTTTTTTATGGATTATGTACAGCTATTAATTTGGGATTTTAACTTTCGATTTGGAAGAAATTTAAATATTAATTAGAAGATATATTCTTCTTTTTGCAATCAAAATAGTAATTATTTTTTTTTGTAATTCAATCAATATGTATAGACATTGATTGCTAATGAATGCATGGAGAAAGGAGAATTAATTGAATGATTACATAAAAGAATATTAAATACAAAAGGAATTGTTATAAGACGATAAAAATAAAAACAGGTAACAAAGGACGGTCCTGTCGACAATGTTTGTGCACATTATTATATTTGTACCAGTCTATGCAGAAAATACTTTTGTTAGAAGATAAATCTGTTTTTATTGGTAGAAAAACTATTTTTTGCTATCACAATATTTTTTTATAAAAAATGAAAAATAATTTTACTTTTACTTAATATAACCTGCACTATGAATGCACTACATTTTTTTATAATGTTTCGTAGTGGTCTTTTGTTTTCTTTGTCTCGAACTTTACTTATCCTGTTGGATTTTTTAATCTACAAGAGACCCCTTCCATAAAGGCTTGTTTTTTAGTTTTAATTGAGGTATCTTGCTAAATTTTTGTTACTGTATGTCCAACATTAACCAAATAGGCATTAAAGACGAGGTATAAATAAAA